CATTATTTCTTCTGTTTTCGTTTTCTAAGCTATCCAGTCTATCATCCATATCAACTATGGTTTTGCTTAATGTCCCATTATTTTCTTACAATTTCTTGTTTTCTTCTCACAGCGCCCTTATTTCCTCTGTTCTTCTCTCGTTTTCTTGATCTCATTTCTATGCTTTCGTCAAGCTGCTTTTGGGTATTCTGCGGCGATCTATCCATTTTTTCGCACGCTTGCAAATTTCGTCGTCACTCTCGCTATCCTCTCTGTCGCTTCTTCTTTTCTTATATCACTCATCCTCAATCCATGCATGCATTCTATTAAGATCATCCATAACTCAACAAGTTTCCTAAGTCCAACTCTGTCTTTAATTACGAAGAAATAAGAAAAATTACCTGTGATTTATATGCTGAATTCAACCTAACTATCGCGCAAAAAATCGTCGGCCGGTCGACCCGTCGGACCTTGGATTCCTTTTATTTGGAACAGCGGTAATAATTGTTCAATATAGACTTAAAGATTGATCTCACTTGAAAAAAGTTGTCTCCTAAAATACTTTTGATCGATTCCCCAGAATTTTGAAGATTATTTCGGAGTCGATGCAAACACAGTCTTTCCGTGACTTTCGTAATTAATAACTTTATTAATTAACTAGTTATTCTTAAAGCCTATAAGTTATTGCACAGCTATTTAACTTTTAGGGCCCTTCGCGGAATTAGCTTTTTAGCTTATTAACAAACTAAATCTTATTTTTAATCTCAAATAGTTTATTTGGCCAATCGTAGATTGTCACTTATTTTCGGAATTACGTCTGTACCTAGATTTCAATTCAAGAAATTAATGTTCAAACATAGACAAAAACGAAACATTACCGGACCTATGTTTATATGCAGTGATTTTTTTAATGCTACTTATTTTTTAATCGAGTCAACTTTGCAGTTTGAAATTCTTAATGATGAAATTGATGCATTTTGGCATAAAATCGACAGTCGATAAATTCACGATGGCAGCTGGGTGTCATCTATGACTTTTTTTAATAAAATGAGAAGTTATATGAATCATCTTAAAGCTCTTGATAACTACTTTAAACCGTAGAATGCATTACTTCACTAACTTTCAAAATGACGGACAGGCGTGCTGTCAGAGTTGATACTTTTTATACACTGACTCGCTCATAACGCACCAACTAATCAACACTCTTCTTTTGGAAAAATATGCTAGAAATTATGTGACGGGATAAATTATTGGAATTAAGAAAAATAGCAAATTTATAATAGGAACATTAAAACGGAATGCCCCATGTTTTATTTGTATTCCGGTAGATCCTTCCAAAAAAGAATTTATGAGTTAGTCAGTGAACTAAAACTCTAAACTCTGACTCTACCAGTGCACCACTTTGAAATATATAGAAATTCATATTCTAGGGCTATTAAATGCGCAACAGAAATTTCAAGATAGCACTCATCCGCCATTTTGAAAAAGACTGTACAGCAGAACCCCGATTATCCGAAATAATATGGACCCAAGTGCTGTCGGATAATCGAAATTTCTCATAAAACGGAAATAAATATTTAGACTCTTAATGCTTTTATTGAAAAAAGTAAATGCGTGTGCTAAGTGAGTATATATACCTATATAAAGTTACGTAAAATATAAACATGTGGATATAAACATACATATTTATTAGTATTTAGTAATAAAGGAAGTAATTTTTAACTGTACACGTTTTGCATTGTTCCTATTTTTGGCACCGATATCCCTCCAACGTTTGATAAGTAGCACATCAACTGCTGTCGCATTTTCTTGTTGTTCGACGTCGACGCCTTTTGTAAAGGTTCTAATCTCTCAGAATGTGATATTTTGGCAGAGATTTCTGTCTCATTAGTTTCGTTCGCGGTTCCGATTCGGGATTGATTCTGAACCACTTCGCATGCGCACTTCAAAAATCGGCGTTCGCGGTAAGAAAATTCTGAATTTTTAGTTAGAGTTGTGCGTTCGCGGGTCATATCGAATTGGTACAGAACTGATTCCGAATTGGTCCTGACGGTTCTCAGATTTTTGGTGATACTAAAAGTTCGATCCGGCTGATCATGCGCGTTAGCATCGTTATGGACATTTGATATTTCATCTTCCGCTGCTTCTGTTCGGGTTTAAAGTGTTCAACCTACTCTGTGAAAATCTGTCACCTGTGCTTTTTAGTGCTTGCTGTTCCATACATATGTTTTGTGTGTTCCATCTCAAGTTCTTAAGATTCAGTGCTTAAGATTTTGTGCTTAAGATGTCGGACCATTTATCGTTTCGTGATGATGATTTGGAAGAACTATTGGAAGTTATTAATCAAATTCAAGCGGATAACCAAATGGAAATGGTATTTACCATTTTGGGTTGGTATTTACCAATCCGTTCAAGCGAGTGTAGTTATCAGTTTGGTTATAAGATCCGTGACGTCACGAATCAGCTGTTATATGTCATAGTTATCACCGCAAAATTGTGGTATTTACCCAACTCAAGAGTAGTTTTATATTTCTGGTTATTATTTGAAATGTGACAAGTTAGAATTTTGCCGGGTATTGGATATTGTTATTGTACTTCAGCTTCATTTTTGAGAAAATTGATACAGGCTGACTTCATTTTTACCATAAAGTAAAGTATACTCATTACGGTTGTTGGGGACACTTTAAATATAGTTCCTATGCTTAACAAAGTATCCTGTGTAGCCATATACCACAAGAATATTAAAATATGGCCATATAAACTCACTAGAGGATATCCACCTGTATACGGTTTTGCTAATTTCTTTTTTCATCATTTCTGCTGAATCAATGTTTTCTTTGACATGCGGAAAAATTTAGAGAATTGAAAGTTATCATAGCTACAAAGCCATGGGTCCATCATTAAATAAAAAATCTGAAAAAAACATTTCTCCCATGAATATTATGAAAGGTTTCTTATTTAAACTTTCCATATACAGTTGTAGACAAAAAAGCACCGATTATTAAGTGATAATAAAAATAATCAGAGATTATATAAGCGCTTTTCTAAAATAACTTGCAACAAAACCGCGGTTAAAACCAACGCGTTCAAGCGATTCGTGTAACTGACGTCATCAACCCGTGTGTCATCTTGAACCATATTATAACCGCGGCACATAACACAGAAATTCTGGTTATTCGCTTGAATTTGATTATTGAAGTACCGACAACACCTGGAAGCTGTCAATAGTGTCAATCGAATAGCAGCTTGGCAACAGCACAAACTAGAGGGCAAATTGGCAACAGTGTTGAATACACAAACAGTTCCAAAGTCGTTCGCGGTAAACGAAAATCTCGAACTAGAAAATAACTGGACATGCGCATTTGTGTAATTCTGGATGGTTCAGTTTTAGTTCCGAACTGGTTCATTTTTTGATCCGCGAACGCAATTATTATCACTAGCATCACTTAAAACTGTCTCATCGCCATTGTTACAAACAGTTTTTATTAGTTCTGCATCAGTTAATTCTTCCACCAATTCATCACCATTAATCCACTCTCACCAACTTCTGTTTGGGTAAGATTTTCACACCCTGCTATTTTTACGATGAGCTTATCTAAATTGTCGTTGTTATTCTCATAGTCTGCGCAAGATTCCATGTCTTGCTTAATTATTGTCAACCAAGATTTTTGTAAAGTAGAACTTTTTACTTGGTTCCATGCTTCTGCTATCCAATAAGCCACATTGTTGAGGTTAATCTCTTTTAAACAATCAACGAGTTTACAACCATTATCAACTTTATCTAAAATTTGCTCTAATAACAAACGTCTGCAATTGCGTTTTAAATTTTCTAAAACTCCTTGATCCATTCTCCATTGGCTGAATCAGTGACGTTACACTAGGAGGCAAAAACATCTCTCGTATTTCTCCACTTTTAAGTTGCTTCTCATTTGGGTGGCTCGGAGCATTGTCTTATAGCAAAATACATTTTCTCGGACATCCGCGTTCATTCAAATATCGTTTTGTCTTGGGAACAAAATGATTGTGAAACCAGTCCTTAAATACAGCATCCAGGCATTTTTTTGATTTTTATACCACACCGAAAGAGCGTTGGGACGGACGTGTTTAACTGCTGTTGGTTTAGCTGATTTTCCGATTAACAACAAAGGAAGTTTGTGTGTACCGGAGGCATTGCTACAAGCAAGGATAGTCATACGTTCTTTACTGCGTTTGTAACTAGGAGCTCCAGATTCTTGTTTTGAAGCTTAACTTTTCGAAAGTAACATCTAATAGTTTATTCCCGTTTCGTCGCAGTTGTAAATTTGATCTGGATTTAAAATGTCCTCCAAACTTTAATGCAGCGGACTTATCCGCAGATAACTTTTCTCTGCAAACTTTTAATTCTCGTATACCGTGTCGTTTTTTCCATCTGTGCAGCCAACCATCACTAGCTGTAAATTTATCAGGCGCCTCAATAACTGGCAATTATTCACTTAAGTTGACTGCCTTTTGCTTTAGAATTGGTTCGGAATTTGGTATTCCACGTTCTCGATTCTGTGTAAACCACAAATATAAAGAATAATCCACTTTTTGATATTTCCCCTTTTTCATAGTTTTCCGTGACGGCTGCGATGATGTCAGAATACTAGACCACTTTTCAATTATCTAAACGTCTGATTGCCTCAAGTTTCTGTTCAATGGTAATAACAACGCGTTTACGTTTATTTCTATGCTGCTCCATCTAAGCGATTATGAACCTGACTGAAACAAACATACACGCACACAAACCAGTGAATTCCGCAAACGCGCTCGAGGAATCACCGGCAGCGAATCCAATGATGCAAACGCCGAAAGGGGAACTACCGGCGGCTATTTAGGATCATGCGCCAATTTCCTGACCAACTTCGCTTAAAACGGAGAGTCGGGGTTCTACTATTGCAAAGCATAGGCGTAAATACAGCTCCATACTACATACACGTATGGAGTCTCTAATATCTCTTCAGCTTAAAGTTGTAATATAATATTTTTTTTTATTTTTACAGTGGCAACGTCAAACAAACGGCGGTTTTGGAACCCGAAGAAGTGGTTCCGACGGAAGAGCAGTAAAGTCAGCAATGAAGCGGTGGCAGCGGAGACAGTGGAAACAGGCAAGGATGCGTTGCGTAGCAGGTCCACCAGCGAACTGTCTGTGGTGGATGAGGGCAGGAGAAGGTAAGTGTCAAAGATGTGGAAGTGGAGGAAATGAATGAAAATCCTCATCCTTGCCGAAATCCTGATAGGAGAGCGCTGGTCAAATCTACGATTTTGACTTAAGATACCACAGGTTGATTCAGCACGGATAGGGTATATGTTCAGAAGTACAGTTCACGGCTTTTGTGAGTGGAAACAGCGGTCCTATATCACTCAATTCAAACGTGTGTGCAAGAGTGAGTAGCAACTGCATTACGGATCGGCTTGCGTAGTGTGCAATTTCTCTTAGTCAACTTAATATTCGCACATGATACCATTAGTCAATCTGTTTACTTGTTTTATATGACATAAACCTTGAAAAGAACTATATAAACGCGCATGCGGATTGAATAAAATTCGTTAAAGCAGTCTCTGATCCGGTTTATTCTATCGATATTTTTCCATCATCTTTAGAATTTGTTCTAAATCAATTAGTTACTTGAAAAATAAATTCTAAATGAAATTATGAACATTTATGGCACAAAAAGCTTAGGTATGCGCAGTTGCAGGTTAAGCGTCAGTTGGAGGGAACATTTCCTGTTTCCTTATTTGATTTTATGGGTTCGGTTTACATCATTGTTTTGTGGATTACATTTCAAACTAAAAAAATTGAAATAGAAGTGAAGGTAATTGGATTTTTTTGTATTTGTATGGCACTGCTGTGTTTTTTACATTTTATTGTAAATCTTGGTATCCTCCATGATTGACAAAAAACAAATGAAATTGAACAAAAAAACATGTGCCAAAATTAGCCTTTTGTAGGTTATGTATGCACAATACTAGAAAAGTCGTTCCAGTAGGGTTGGTATTAGTTCTTCGAATCACGTTACTAGATGTTCCAAGAAAGAAATATATGTTCTGTTCATGGATTGAAAATTTGGCTGGAACAAAGCGTACATGTTATAAATGAAGGATGGGCCGCTGCAGTCCTTCCACTATAAACGGGGTCTACTATCTAATATCATCCTCTTTCCTTTATCTGTCATCGGCACTCAAATAACCTAAGAGTGTTTTTTTGTGTTATTTAAGTACTTTCTGGAGTTCCCTGCAATGTAGCGTTGATTGTTCGTCCTTGGAATAGTAGTAACAAAAATTATTTCAAGTGACCACACACTAACTATCAGTATTTTGATAATCAGCACAGTGTCAGTGAATTGATTTTGAGGAACCATAAATTTTGCCTAATAGCATATTAAAATAGCTGCTATATCTTATGGTTCTGATTGAAGATTATTTGATATAGCTGTTCATTTGTCGCTCCTATACGAGTAGGGAAAGGGTGTATCACTACTTTCCGTCGTCCTGTGCGACTGCACGGATAATACCGCCCGGACTGATGAAATTTTAACACAAGGTTGCTACTATGCGAAAGACGGAAAAGCTCTGCAGGTTTTCAATATCCATCAAGTCATGGCGTGCTACGGGAAAAAACGAAAAAACAATCTTTGTACTTGATCATGCCTAGTCAAGTTTGGTTTCCATTCGGTTCTTTTTTTACTTCCTACGCCACTGACGGGAAAGTATTATAACGCGAGAAATTTCTAAAATGAGATATGTTTTTGGATGTTACATTATATGTATATCACGAAAGACCATGTCTTTCATTTCCGTCGGTATGTCTATCAGTCTGTCTGTCAGACTGTTAGCTAATGCTTGGCCTGTCTATAAGTTGGAAAGTACTGCTCGAGTTTCGGTGAACTTTTTGACACAACGTTACTACTATGCTAAGGACGAAAAAGTTGTGTAGTTTTTGAAAATCGACCCAGTAGCGGCGAAGCTACAGGCAAAAAACGAAAACAATATAAATTGCTTGAACTTCGTTTTTTGACACTATATTTCAGAAAAAAAGTGCAGGGCTTAAAAGTTGGATGTTTGAGGTTGTGGGAAGTGGGGGAGAGTTTATGTAATTTTTTTTGTGCTTGCAATGTATATATTTCCAACCCTGGTAGTTCCACGCACGTATTAGACATATTACATACATCATAGACTTCCCCATTCATTTCCTTTAAAAATTGAATGATAGAGATTTGTCTACACCCCCCAACATTTAATTTTTAACCCCTGCAAGAATTTGTCTGAAAATAATCAGCAACCTCTGAAACGTCAAAAAACGAAGCTTGAGCGATTTTTAGTGTTTCGTTTACACTTCAAAAACTACAAAGCTATTTCGTCCTTGGCATAGTAGTAACCTTGTGCCGAGATTTTATCCAAATCCTAACCCTTTACATGTTATAAAAACATCTCATTTTCGAAATTTTTACAATACTTCCTCGCCTAGTGACGTAGGAAGTAACATATCTGGTTTTCGAAACGTTTACCAATTACCATACTTCCTCGTCAATATTAATATTTATAGCTAGCTTTGTTGTATGTTACTAGGCTCACAATGTACGAGTATTATCGCAACGTCATTCTCTTCATTATTTATTAATGGAAGGGATGTTAACGGTCACTGCACTCGCTGCAGCTGACTGATCAATAATTATTCATTAAAAGGGGCATTTGAAGGATAAAGGTCAAAAAGAAAAGGTTGCCCTACAGGAAAATATGCGGGAAGGTTATAAAAATATTTTATCGAGCGGAATCCGACCTTTATTGAATTTAACACCACCAGTAGAGTTCAAGAACGTTTAACTTGTCCAGTACTCATATATGACGTAATATTAAGCAGTATGGATTTTTCTAGCTGAATATTTTTTTAATCTTTACCTCCTTTTTTTTCGTCGCTGGAAAATTAATATTTTGCACTATTCTTAGATTAATAAAGATACATTTTCTATAATTAATATTATAACCCTAGAATAAAAATAGATGCCTAGAATTCATGAAGGTTATCAGAACAAAAGCAATATTTAGAAAGTTTAGAATAGACATTTGATTATTTCGCTTTTTGTTTTTTGCCACTTTCTCAAAAATGAAAAAATTGGAGCTGTTGTGGTAGTACTTCTATGTGTTAAGAGGCTCCGGCGAGTGAGGAGATACCACCGCGTGAATCTCGATGATGGAGCCAGATTGTGTACATGCCACATATCAACTTATGCTCGGCCTAAAATTCCTTCTGGCTCGAGTATAAAAATCTGAAGTACACATTTTTAGCACTTTATCTTTGAAACGCAACTTCAAAATGCATTAGTTCTAAATTGCATACCTTTTCTTTTTATTTTATCGAGCGTTTCCCAACTAGTAACCGGAAACACCAATGTATGCAAAACCAAGGCGTAACTAAAACAAACATTTAAGGTTATTCCCAATTACACATCTCATGAGCTCTATTCGGATGGCGCTCTGGTTGACTGATCATGAGAAAGTCCCTCGTAAAGTAATTCTAGGGGCGTTAGAAAAAGTTCAGAAAAGTGCAGGGTTGAAAAAAACATGTTTATTTAAAAATATCATGTTTTCTTGTTTAAAACTTTTTTTTGTTTAAAACATTCAAATTTAGCTGAAAAAAACATGTCTAAAACACTGTTAATACATGTTAACAGTAAAGAAAATGAAAAACTATTGCCTATATAATCTAGCAACGTTAATGAAGTTCCTTGAAGGTTTTACTACTATTTTTGGATCCAGCTCTATTAGAGCACATCTTTAATTTAAAAGCGGACGTCGGGAAACTACCGTGCGGACGTGGGGGAAGTAACTTTTGACTTTGGGTAATTTTTCGCGTTGCGGTCTCCAGCAGTCAAATGTACGAAGTCGTAGCGTGGTGGTGTGTTTTGTTTTTTGTGCATTAAAGATGGCAAGAAAAGAAAGGCAATGACAGGGAGGAGAAAGGATCCCGTGTGGAAATATTTTAAGGAGACTGATTGATGCCAAAGCTGGCTCGAAAATAAAAGAGCAAAATGTTTAACCTGCAATATGGATATAGTGCCACTGGTGGCTAGAATCCGCAAGCATATTGAAAATTGTAAACAACTTAAACAAGGAAGTTTGTTAGAAAAACAAGATATTCATATATCAGATAGTTCTGATACCGACAATGATGATGTTTCTACCGAAACTATTTCCTCAAAGTTAAGTAGCTTGGAGAATTGTGAAAAGGTACATTCTTTTACTTGTAGTTCCGCAAAAAGTAGTGAAAACTAAAAATTTATTATATTTACATTTTTCATGATTTTAATTTTAAAAATATGGATTTAAGGATTTTTTGTTAAATAAGATGGATTGTATACTTTTATAGAAATTTGTTAAGTAACTTATTTAATGTTATTATACAAGTGACTACATAGTCATATTATATGATTATTCTGCTGCTTGTAGTGTACTAGTATTAGAGTTCAATGCAGTTTGTTAAGTTCACTCGTTCGTTAAGAAACAGATTTTTTCCACTATTATGAATTCCCTAGTTTCATGTTTGATTAATAAAAAATAAAGTATATTTTTCAGTACGTACGTGTTTTAACCTATCACACATTTAGTATCGTTTTGCAAAATAAAAAGAATTTTAATCATTCTTAAAGAAAGTATAAAAAAAACTTGAATAATTCACAAACGACAAAAAAACAGTGTTTAGAACATGTTTTAAACAGTTTAAAACACATTGGTTTAAAACACCCTCATTGTTTAAAACACTTGTTTTAAACGTTTTGATTGAAACATAACAATCCTGGAAAATTGACTGTATTTCTCTTATTCACAAAAAAAATCTCGATATTATTAAGTGAACGGTACATCATACAGAAAAAATTAGCTATTCTGATCACCAATACTCCTTGTAACCCACTCCCAAATTAACGAGAGCAGAGATAGGAGTAATTTGGACTTGCACATTGTTTATATCCTCGTTTCTGAAGAGCATATAAATTCATCCTTCATCTAGTTTTTATCATGTGCAAAATGTTTAGAACCCTCCCTCCCCGGGATATCATGGCAACGTGGCCAGCATCTGTAAGCAAACTATTCTATTGAAATATACATATGGCACCTGCTTGACATATCGACGAGTTTGGCATTCGTCGCCAATTATACTAACCATGGCGTTACTGTGAGGGAGAGAGAGCACCTAATCATTTGTCTTTATTATTAAAGTATTATTTGAAGTAGCTGAAATTTCATTAATTTTCTAGGAGTCTGCTCATGTTACACCTGTAACTCTGATTGTTTCAGAAGTTCTTCTTCAATGCACCTAGGGCTGAGTGTTTCTCATGACAGCGTTTTTCATTCGCCGAATTCCGGTTCTGAAATTGAACTTGATGCTGCACAAAGCTCATCTTCGCTATCAACATGTCAGCCACATATGGATTGCAGATTACAGGTCAGATATTTTTTGTATAAACTACGAATTTGACTCGTGTCGTGTAGTTTTTGTACGATCTCAAATGTATCCTATGGTTGGATCGATGACTAAATTCTATATTATCCTGGTCGTACGGTAAAACTGCAGATGTACATTGATAGAAACTATAGGACTTTGAAACCGAAACGTTAGTAGATTTTCATTCCGCATCTATGGTTTTATAAACCGGCCAGGATAATGTGAAGATTTAATAGATGGTAGCATTTTTTTAAGTTTTTCCTCGTTTGAGCGTGGCAAAGATAAAAATCATACAACATAAGATATACTAAGTGACATGTAAAATTCAACACCCAGAATTATTTATTGAATTTTGATAAAAACTTATAAACATATTTGCTATAATGGAAGTATACGCTGATAAAATGCCACCACTTTATTGGCCCATTCTTCTTGCCGGGGCGACTTGACGGACAGACTTACCTCAATTTTCTTCAACAACAGTTGCCTTTGCTGCTTGATGATGTTCCGTTAGTAATAAGAAACAATATGTGGTACAAGCATGATGGTACACCAGCGCATTTCAGTGTAGCGGTTCTTAATTGTTTACAAACTGCTTATCCAAATCGTTGAATTGGCCGCGGTGGGCCCCAAGAATGGCCACCAAGGTCCCCAGACCTCAACAGTTTAGATTTCTTTTTGTGGGGCTATCTTAAGACACTAGTACACAAGTCCCATTAACACTGTTGAGGAATAAAGAGAAAGAATAGTTGCAGCTAGTGATAGAATAAAAAACACTCCAGGCATATTTCAACGAGTGCGCAATTCCATGAGAAGGAAGGCGGAACATGCATACTAAGTGAAGGGGGCCATTTTCAACAATTTTTTTAATCATTTCGTTGGTTTTAATGTTATGTTTATGTTGTCAGTTGTTGTTGTTCATTACCCCTAATGTGTTTATTTTTTCCAATTAAATTAATAATAATTTTGCAAGTTAGAACGGTTTTTATTTTTTTAATCAAAAATGACGCTTCGAAGAAAAACAATTCAAGAGGGATCATTTGTTTTAAATTGAACGAGGAATTCAAAAATAATTTTTATTCGGCAAAATACCATTGTCGTACCATTTTTTTCTTAAAAAATATCGAAGTCAATACCCGTACGCACGCCACTGTTAAAGCTGAAAATTATTTTAGCATTGGAAAATATGCAACTTTATTAACTTTCACTATGTACTAAATATCAGTGAAATATCTGAATCGGTTCTGAAAATATTAATTTCCATTTTTTTCCTAAAACTTCAACACCCCGGGTTTTTGTAAGGAAACATTTGTTGACCATAGTTTATAAAGCAAACTAACATTAATTTTTTAAGTAGATTCCCACCCTTAAATATTCGCATATCATTAAGGAACACCCTGTATAATAATAAAAGTATATTGGATGATTTCTTGGCGCGAATGTTTAGTTTATTTATAGTATATAGAAAAATATAGCTCCTTGAGATTTTTTATCACACATAGAATTTAGGTAACGTATGTCTTCGCTTCAATACAGTACTTACTATTTCAAGCTCATTTTTGCGATTTTGAGTTTTTACTTCCTATGCCAAAACCGTATTGTAATCGCGAAAAATTTCCTAATTGAGATATTTTGTTTTTTGGATGTTATATGACATGTACGAGTACATCACGAAAAACCATATCATTCATTTCCGACGGCCTGTCTGTCAGTCGGTTTGTCCGCCAATTTTATAACCGCCTTCAACTTGAGAAGTACTGCTTGGATGTTGATGAAATTTTCCCACACGGTTACCACTATGCCAAGGAGGAAAAAGTGTTGTAGTTTTTGAAAATCGGTCTAGCGGTGTCGAACTGGGGGCAAAAACACGAAAAAATAAAAATCACTAAAACTTCGTTTTCGGGAAAAAATCGTAGGGGTTGAAGCTTGGGATTTGGGTAGGGGGTAAAAATATATGTAAGACTTCCATTGTTTAGCTAGTCGTAGATTTTGAAAATTGATTCAGAAGCGACGGAAATAAAATCGCAGAAGAGATTCCTGTTCATTTTCAGACATTTGGGGGAAATGAAAATTGTGGGTTGTAAGCTGTATGCGGTAAATAGTTGTAAGCGAAAGACCTATTATTAAAAAGTTGTTGCGCCTGTTAAACAAAATAAGTCACACATATTTTCCCTGCCACGGAAACAGAATTATGATAGTTTTGCTTTATGTAGTTCGATATCCAGAGGTCGAAGATTCATCGTATCTAAGTGAACCTACCTAATCACGATTCGATTTCGCCATTTGAAACGATTTGGCTTAGTGGTATAGAGTATAGTATAGAGTCAATCTACTTGACGCCAAGTAAATAATGGGTTGAGGTATCGCTCATTTAATCCTGTTAGCTCTGTTGTGCAGACATTGAATTTAATTTACTTTTGAAACAGTCAAGCATCGTATGCCCACGATTCTCTCAGCAAGAGGTGCAAGAAAAATGTTTGTGATAGTAAATAGAAAACATTATCTCGCGTAAAATTTAACTTTTGTACCTAAGCTACGTTTGCATAAAATCGACGATATGAACAGAAAATGTGTAAGCTTCAAAAAGGCAAAGTGAAAAACTATGAACAAATTATAAGGAAGATATTTCACAGACAAGGTCTTGTTTATGTAAGAGAATAGCAAGAACATTGTTATGATTACAGTTGTTGATACGTTACTGTTTCTTGAAATACACCTAAGGATACAATAAGTATTTATTTGTACAGTGTATCTAGTAATTATCTCAGAAATCTCAGGCATCTTCGTTTAAATGTCTCCAAGATAGTGTGAGATATAAATTTATAATTGTCTATTCAAAGTTACAACATTGTGACTAATTGTTGTTTCTGTATTCGTATTTACGAAACTACTGTAATTCAATGGCAGCAAAAATTATTCTATTTGGAGAATGAGAAGGTAATTCATTCCAAATTGGGTCAAATGGATTGACTGCATTTCTTACGCATCAATTAAAACAATTTTTCAAATTATTCACGTAATGAATACCTCATAGTTTTAATTATTACTGTGGCCACCGATTCGAAAAGTAGTATTTATTATATTTCATAGACATTTGTAAGGTGGTATGAAAAGCGCTAATATTTCATAGAAATCTGTGACCAGTAGCCATAAAAAATCCAGTTTAATATTCGCACTCACACAAGTTTTTAACATCTCCAAGTGCACAACAGTATCACTCGACATCGCTTGACACATGTTCACTAAATAAAAGTCTGAAAGAGGCAACCGTATGTCGAACATTGTCAAGTATCATTGTCGCACTCATAAGTGGTGTACATAAATGCTGATTATGGTTTGACAAATAACGAACAAAAAAGTGAGTGGATTATGATTAATCCCAGAAGTGCAAGACACCCAAAAATTGAATCATCTAGATTAGTCCAGTACATCCTAGGCAGTACCATCTATTTTTCACCACCAAATGAAGTTGGGTTCAAAGGAAATTGAAAGATCGTTGAAAGTTTTAGATAGGTGCCAAAAAAAGTTAGTGATATCAGTGATTAATATCTGATAGAACTTGTGAAATGAGATACTTAGACTCAAACATTTTAAGTTCCGTATTTATTAATATCCCCACCAGGACTGATTGCCAAAACCTACAAAGCTTGTTCATCTTTGGCTTAGTTATTTCCTTGTTTTTAGCTCTAATTCTTAGTTCTACTTTTTGGGTTATAAGGGATTACCATGCAGACTTCCGGAAACGGGTGACATGTGATGCGTGGATATAAGACGTTCAAAAAAAGTGTTACCATTAACTCTGAAATTTCCTCATCTACAGTAGTTCTTTGCTCAAGCTTAGGAATTAAAATTAGGTTTCGTAAAATATTTGTATTTTCTGCGACAATTCGGAGATACACTAATAATAATAACAACAATAGCGTTTATTTGCAGAGCAAAAAATACAAAGAGAAAAAATTAAAAATGAAGAAACAACATGAATTCCCTGCAAAAGGGACTAGTAAACAGACGAGCTGATCAAAGTACTAGCCCAACAAACAAAATTACAACAGAGGAGTTCTTAACTAAATTATAAGAATTAATATTAATAATTAATAAATAATAATTACAAAAGTCATAAAAATTAATGTATATAAAGAAATTATATAAAAAATATAATTTAACGAAAAAGGTCAAATCATTTTACGCAGATTCAACAAAAAAACATTTAAAATATAAAAAGTAAAAGAACAATATAAAGTAAACACTACAATTCATCTAATAGACATTTTCTGTAACTTCTTTTGAAAGCAGACACAGACATAGACTTAAGGTTTGTGGGGACGTGGTTGTACAAGCGGTAGATAAAATAAGAAAAACAGGTGTTAAACATAGATGTAGAATGACGTGGTTGGGAAATCAGCTTCCGATACCGAACATTGATATTGTGAACATCCCTTCGAAATGTAATCTTATTAAATAAATAAATAAGGCGGTATTTTATAAAGAATAATTTTATGAAACAAAAGGAACGCAACTTTTTTATGACAATACTTAGTCGTCGGTTTATAGCAGCAACAAAAAATATGCCAGAGAGCACACTATTCGGCGGGGGTGAAGAAAAGGGGAAACATAATCGGACTGATTGTGAATCTGTGGTGAAATCTGTATCAACTGAGGCCTGGCAAAGGTGGAAATATTTCGCTTTAATCAGTTGTCAGATCAAAACATAATTATCAGTTTGAAATTCAAGTTGTTCTGGTGTGAGTTAGTTTACGTCAGGCAACTTTGGACAAACTCATCCAGTCTTATGACAAGGCTCATGTCGTTGCTCTTGATATCACGAAAGCGCTCCTCTTATGCAAACTTACATCCGTTGGCCTTGCAGAGGGGCTTCGCTGACTTCCTCCTTAACCGCAAGATATCCGCCGTAATTGACGAGTTCACAACATCAACGCGGGTGTTCCCCAGGGTTCGGTCTTGGCTCCGATATTGTTCCTGTTACATATCAACGACCTTCTTTCCTGTACGATCAATTCACAGCTTTGCTGATGATAGCACACTACATGCAGGATTTCAGAGTGACATGCCGATGAGCTGTAGAAAAGAAACCTAGCAGCGACTTCCTCTCTGACGAGAGACCTGGAGGTTATCACTGCTTGGGACACAACCCAAAGAGCCTTTAATTTCGGCTGGTCCACATCATCGTTTAGTTGATCTAGCACAAACACATCTTGTCAATAGCGGTAGCTGCTAGGAAACAGCTAGGATATTTGTTTAGGGCAAAGAAGTACGTTTCTCGACATGACCTCCTCACTCTCTACAAGGCCCAGATAAGACTTAGCCTCGAGTACTGTTCACATGTTTGGGGTGCTGCCGCCCCTAATACATTATCCATACTCGATGCTGTTCAGAGGAGGGCTGTCCGACCGATCGGTGACTCTTCTCTAGAGGATTGTCACGGGAGCCTCTCGCGCCGGCGGGTCGTGGGCGCTCTAGCTCTCTGCTACCACTACGCCAATGGACTTTGCTCCTCAGGGCTCTCCTCCAAGATGCCGCCGCGCGATGTGCCGCCAGACTTCGGTCTCTCATCCTAATCGTACATCCAGAACTGGCCGATCCGACCTCTATCTTGTTCCTAGGGTATCGAGATTTTGTTCTAACCTTCGGCAGTTCAAAAATCGGATTAATAAAGTTTCTTTAAGCTTCTCATAGAAGCAGCGGTGCCCTGGCATTTAGGCTTCTGCCTACGCGGCTGCTTCGGTGAAAAAAAAACTTGAAGATGTTGGATCGGAATACTACTTTCTTGGATTACGAATCGAAAGTAGCAAGTAAAGTCAGGAAATAAAAATAACGGAATCATGAAGCCATATTCTAACATCGATAAGAAATCTTCATTCGTCATCATGATAAATTATTCAATTTTTAGAAAACGAGGTTGGTGTGCCATGCCGTGGAAACAGTTACGTAATTCAAGAAATACACGCATAACATTATGCACGATTTGAATTGTCCAGCTGCCGTTCGAGCTTCGTCATCTGTACATTTCAATTTCACTTATCACATAAAATATAGATAGCCTGCCAAGTGCAAAACAGTTCTTTCGACGTATTACTAGCATTTTTGTGATTGATGAAACCATCCTGGCTGCTGAACAAATGCGTTGTCGGCTTGGTCGTAATGGTCAGCGATTTTTCAGGTTACGGTAGTTAGAAAGCATGCAATAATTTTATATGTATATGAACTACATGGAATAAGTATAATCGGACTCGATACTCTACGGCACCATACCGAAATTGTTTAATTGCAATATTGCAAAGCACTTTGGATTTCCGTGCACTAGCTGGAAATATTGAAATTGTATTAAAATAAAAACTATAAAACAAAAGCAAAAATAATTAAAGAAATAATATTTAGCCGTAGATGAAAAGATCTAAATATTTAAAAATATTTTTTCTGATTGGAAATATGCCTCTTTATACTTCTAAGTCTTTAATCGATAATAAAGCTCCTTTAAGTTTTCTATTAAAAGCGTGTTACACCCTCTTGTTGTTAAAATGTAATGCGCTTCTATTCCAGAACAAAACTGCTTCATTATCATTTAATGGTTAAGAAGTATAAAACGATATATTTCCATACGGAAAAAATATTTATAAATCTTTTGTTCTTTTATTTTTTATCTTTCCGTATTTATAAAGTTAAATGACCATTTCTATGTAATTTTTATATATATAACTTTATTATTACAATATAATAACGTTTATTGAGAAACAACTCAAAACATTGTTCAAACCCTTAAACCGAATTCACATAAAAAACGATAAGAAAAACAGAAAAGCAGATCGACTCTATAATTGCCACGCATTTATACAGATGTAATTCCAAATCCATATTTTTAAAAAATAAACCTTGGATTTGCAAGAAGTAGCATGAAATCGTATCAATATGATTAGTCAATCTGGTTAGAAAAACTAAAAATAATTATTATTTTTACTTTCCAGGCTTACTGGCGAAGAAGTATAATAATTGAGAAAAAAAAATTCGAAATTGAGATATTATATTTTTTGGACGTTAGATGACATGTACATCACGAAAAACCATGACATTTCCGTCGGTCTGTCTGTCTGGATGTCTGCTGATCCTTGGCCTGTTTATAATTTGGAAAGTACCGGCCCTATTTTGATGAAATTTTCACTCAATGTTGCTACCATTTCAAGGACGGAAAAGGTCAAAGGCCAAAAAAGAAAAAATGAAAATCGCTGAAACGTCATTTTTTGACATTTCAGAGAATCCTGATCAGTTTTGAGAATTTTTTTAGGGGTAAAACAATTGGGAGGGGGACTGTATGGGGTATGGGAGGGCTATCTAATTTTTTCCAATTTCAGAAAAATTATCCCGACGTTTCTACGCACCGATTAGACATATTTCACACATCATAGATTTCCTCGTACAGTTTTACTTACTTTCTTACTTCCGGTGAGCGTACCGGTCTTGGTAAGTGTTCTGGAATAACTATTGTGCTGCCACGTCTAACGCATTGTGCCGTCAGGTATCGGGCAAAGGCGAATTTGCCAAATGGACTACCGCTAGGGAAGGGACGGAATGTATATGGACTTATTGTGTGGGTCTGTTTGATATTCTTGATGCGTTCAATGTCCCTGTTGAGCATGTTCGAAACTAACTTTTTTCTCAGATGGTCTGTGCAGAACAATCCTTGATGAACTTATGACGGCCTTGCGTGGAAAATGCAGATTCAACCTACTTGATGCCATTTTTATAGTCTGTCTAATAGTTGTAAAATATAATATAGAGCAATCTAAAATATTTCTTGGGTATACTTTATATAAAGTAACACAAGTAATATTCCGTTTTCATGTGCAGCCTTCAAATACTTTTATGAGTACGCAATAATTCGCAGACATAATTTTTGGCTCTCGCATTCATGTGGAAGTGCTCTTGTTTACAAGATGCTAAAGTGTCTATTTTTAAATGAAACTGAACTACATGCTAATCTAAACATTGCATATGTGTGTTTCCACTTTTTGATGTTTCTTGCCGATCCGATTATACCAGAAACTAGGTATATAGGTTATTTTACACGGCAAACTTGTTGGCAACGGATTCAATATGAAAACAATACCATGTGCTTAAAATTTTAAATATTTTAGTTGTTTTTATACATTTTATATACGATAGTGAAAAATGTTATTTGCTAGGAACAATTACATTTTTTTATAATCTTATAACACTAGCGATCCGAGATGTGAGAAATGGGTAGATGTCCTTATCAAAAGTTATACAAGGTGGTCCTTGGGAGCGGGAAGTTTTAAATACTTTATGATTCTAAAGGCAATTTAATTTCAATAAAATACAGTATAACATTAACAAACTAGTAATCTGCCATTTTTATTTCTTAAAAATAATACCGCCTAAATGTCCTCTCAACAAAAAGTAATCGCAAGCCTTTAGGTCTGGTGACTGTGGCGGCCAGTCAATGTCTCCTCGTGTGGAAGTAACATGTTGCGGAAACAATCATTGCAAGGAACTTAATGATGCTATCGTCGTGTGTGAAGTAGCACCATCCTGCTGGAGCTATGTTTGATTATTACGTGGAAATCTGCTCAAGCGGTGGCTCAAAAACTGGTTTATCATATCGGTATAACGCACAGCATTCTCATTCTCATCTTCAAAAAAGTAGGGCCCTATAATTCCCACTGAAGACATCGCACACCATACCGTCACTTTTGGGCTATGTAATGGTTATTCGTGGAGCTCCTGTGGATTTTCTGAACTCCAATATAGCTGGATAAATGGAAGTGCGCCTCGTCAGACATCCACAAATTCTGTATATCGATTTCATTCTCAAGCTGGATTTCAGCAAAATTCGAAGTAAAGATGTCTTACAAATTATTAACGCTTAGGCTCGTTTTCGGGTTGAACGTTTTGGACTGTGTTCCACAGATATTCTTACACGATCGATGTTTTCAGGGATCCGTATATTTTTCTTTGGTCCTTTATGTTTGACTTTGACAGCTGAACCTGCTTATTCAAATTTACGAAGCCAGTCCTTCATAGCATGAGCCGAAGGAACTCTGCCATCTCGACCAATTTGGAAATACAGTCAGAAATGTCGCTGAACTTCAACCACACAGTTATTGTTTTTGTAGTATGACTTAATCACAAATGCACGTTACTCACCAGACCACTACTCCATGATTACTAAATGGCATACAGTGACAGATGCTTTCAAAAAACAATCCATAGCCAACTATGCATTGTTACGGAATAAAAACATTATCAAAACTTCCCGCTCTCGGGGACCACCTTGTATTTCTTACTACAACAAAAATGCCTAACCTATTGTCGCTATCAAATGTTCATGCGCGTGTAGTGAAACAAAATAAAAATAAAATGACTAAATAAGCTGGCCGGGTAATATTTCGTAAAAAAATGCAATCTGGTAGTTGCGATTACAAAACTCGCACTATGCACTACACTCTTCAAATGCATGAGAATTGTCCTATAAACTTGAACGTCAAAGATTCGATGGTTGGTTGTAAGGGATTGCTACAATCTTATATCAGGGTGTACCAGCTTCAGTTAGTTTTCACAAGGTTATATTAAAGGTTCAATTCCAGGTGGACGAACTTTTCAAACATTTCCATTCTAGATTTGAATTTACTGTTTATTGCAGAGTTGTATAACAAGTATTTTTTGCAGACTGAACTGAATGCCCGGTTGCGAATGAGAAGAGGTAGAGAAGATAATAGTGAAGATGATGAGGGTTTCCCTTATAGTTCGTGCAATTCTCCAACCACCTCTGATGGACTTCTACTCGATAAGACTGCAATAAAGGTATGAATAAATTCATAACTTTTATTTAAATCGATCCAGGTCAGCACCTTTGTATTAGGATGGGCGCCTTCGATCGCTACAATAAAATAAACGCTGTTTTTTTACCTTTTCGAAAGCGCTTCCACTTTGTAATGGATTTCGAAAGTTTTATTACCTCTACAAATTCTATATGATGATAATTCTTTTCACTCTGTCATTGGTCTATTTATCCAAATCAGCTTGATGATACTAATGAAAGTATGGAGCATGTTAATTATGCTGTGAAGTAATTGTATTTAATTTTGAAAATTATTTATTGATGGGCAAGTAAATCACGAAAACGTAGTTGAACTTCGTAAATTGATGTGTTCGATCATGTTTGAGCGTTGTAAGAAAATTGTTTATGAAAAGTTCTTGACTGGCTTCAGTAGCTTTATGAAAATATTGGTCATTTTATGACGTAGTGAAAAAAATCTTTAAATTCCATGTAATTTTGTATATTGTCCTTGTAAATCTCCTTCTGGGCTGTGTTTAAACGATTACTGCATATATAAATATTTACAATCTTCAGAATTTGTGGTCACTGCTGCGTGCAAAGTACTGAGTGAACCTACTTGCAACATTGCTTAGACATTCTGTATTATGTGTGCAAGAATAGCTTTTGTAGAATTTAAATTAAGCGAAAAAAGTATAAGTAAAAAAAAAACAAGCACGACCAGCAAATATTTCACCACAACTAAAAATTAATATTCCTAACAGATAATAGATTTATACTACCTCAGCAGACGTGTTAGTATTAGAACACTGGCTCCGCATAAAAATGGGCATAACTATAGAAAAATTAAGGCTAAATGTAAATGAATGCATACTTATGCAACTAAATAGTGATACGAAATCAGGTGGCTTACATAATAGCCCATCGTTTTACCATAATGCAACATCGCACTTCAACGCCTACTGCCTTTGTACGTTTGCTTATTGAAACAGTTCGGCTTTGTTGTTAGTTTGCGTTTGTACGGTATCGCCCTCCGAACATTGTCAACGCGTCGCGCTGAAAGACGGAAATGGAAAGCGGGCGCCGTATAGGCCATTGTTTTAGAAATGTTTTGTTACTATCGCGAGTGTAATGTTCGCTTTCCTTGGAGAGACAAAACAAGGATATTCCTGCCCTACGGTACGCTACAGGTAAAAAAAGGCACCTTCAAAAATTAGTTATTTTTCACTTTCTCTAGTAGCCGGGATCCAAGTTTTCAGAGTAAACCAATTCTTTTATAGTTCGTAATTCTTAATTTTTTGAATACACGAGATGATTATGATGAATATCACACAATTGAACTACTGCCATGTATTATGTAGGTAACTTAGACAGACATATTAATACCATATTAGCGTTTTATACAGTTAATCACAAAATCATCTTGAGCAAGCTGAACTACATTGGATTATCTGATATTCCGCTAAGATTTTTCCAAAGCTACTTGGCTGATAGATGGCACGTAGTTAAAACGGTTAGGGGCATCTCTTCTACTACTATAGATTCATGTGGCGTTCCGCAGGGTTTCAGTTCTGGGGCCTCTACTATATTTAATTTATACTATAGACTTGCACTTATGTGTGGAATTTTATTCTATACAAACGTAAGTTGATGACACACAATTATCATTTCATTTTAAATATCTCAGTTAAATGAAGTGTCGTTTAAAATTAATACTGATCTAAATTGATATTATTGGATTTTCGCAAAAAACACTGTCACACGATCAATCCTGAAAAGAGTTCTAATATGCTTTTTTTCTCTGAAACACTTGTATAATAACAAAAGGACGCAGTTGTACTGATTATAAATAAACGAGCGCATCCCCATGATACAACATTCTAAAAAGCTGTATCTTAGACTCTAACTTAAAGTTTGATAGACTCATCGGTTACCTGTCTCAAAAAACACGTATGCCAAACTGAAACTTTTATTCCAACCGGTACATTTTAAACTTTAAGACTAGGAAAAAATTAGTTGAAAGCTTGATCCTGTCATCTTTGTAATATTCTTTAATTGTATTCTATTCTTATTTGGATTCGTCGAATCGGTATAGGTTACAGGACATTCAAAACCACTGCTGCAGGTTTGTGTTTGGACTTCGTAAATATAGTCTTCGAAGATTTATATTGGTTGAAAATGGAATCACATTTTGTGTGTGTTCATAAAGTAGTTCGCACTAAAAAACCATCGCATATTTTAGAAAAGCTCTTACCAAGAAGTAACATTAACCAGAGAAATCTCAGACATAACCTAAATTTTGCTTCACATTTCATGCTATCAGGCTGTATAGTTCTACCGATAAAATGTATCGCAGTAAAACTATAGTACCTTTCAGGAAGCTTGTTAAGAAGCAGCTGATGGGCGGTTCAAAGGCACTGTGATGTGAACTATTTAATCTGTACATATGTGACATTTTTTTGCTGTTTCATATTTGCTTTGATGGCTTGTACCGCCGTATGTATTGTATACACGTTATCTTTCCACTTTGTCTACTTACTTTTCTTTATCTTCTCTTATTATTATTTTTTTGTTTTGTATCTTTGACTAAACTTCGCCTCACTGATGTGGATGTGTACTTGTATTAATAGAGACATGTATTGTTGTTATTATTATTTTTGCTATTATGTGCATTTAACCAAGGAGAACCCAATAGCATTGACTACTCCCGTATTTGCCTAATAAACTTGCGAAGTTAATTTCACCGGACTGTTTTCATTAATCCTCACGACGGAATCCACTACTACTATTGAAGAAGTTAGACTAACAAAATAAACTTATTACGGCAATTTCACCTGACTATATTCATTAATCCCCGCAACGGCATCTACTACTTCCATTCGAAGTGTTTGCCTAATGAACTTACGTCTTCAGTTTCCCATATTATTTCCATTTATCGCCTTGACGACGTCGGCCCCTATATTACGTAACTTAAAGTAGCGATTTTGAATTACATTATGTCGTTTCTTTCCGTAATATCCATGCGATTTTTCGGTTGTGGGTGTTTGTCTAAGAAACTTCCAACATTAATGTTTTTGGCGTGTTACAGATACTAAAAATCGGAGGATATCACCGTGAATTACTCGAATCCAAATTAAAAACAGAATGGAAAAGCACAACCCGCCTGCCATTTATTTTTAAATTTAAATATCTCTCAGTCTCAGGCTTTGGGCTCCTATAGCCGAGGCTCACCAGGGCTCAAAAGCCAGGAAGCAGAGGCCACGGTACGGAGCTATTTTAGTAGCAAAGTGTGGGAACCTTCGGTTGAAGCAACCGTTTTACCTAGACAGTCCGTTGCCGAAAAAATGTCTGAAACCCTGCATCTTCCATGTTAAGACGTTTGCTGTCATAAGATCATTCACACACATTCTTTTTCTGATAACACTCTTAACTACAGAATTCATATTAATTTCAGGAAGGTGAAAATTATTGTTTTTTACAGGATCTCCCAGCAAAATCTCATAGTACTTGCAGCGATGGATCATTACTTAGTATGGATAGTTACGAGATGGATGAGGTAAGCTTTATGCATATATGTTTCAAATGATGCTTCTATAATCTCAGTTGTCTGGAGTAATCTCATGAGTTTAAGATTTGTGGTATATTTTTGATTTTCTGAACTCACTTGATTATTTATGTTATTATTATGACATAAAAAATAAAAGATGGATAGCATTAAACCAAGAAAAATGTTTCCCTTTTTTGTAAACCATCCGCAGTACTAAGGGCAACCAAGGTGTAGTACAATACAGTTATTATAGTAACTTTTGAATCTTTATTAAGATAAACAACTATCCGTACTAAAAAGTAGTATACCTTGGAAATCACTTTGAAAACGTCAACTGCCACCATTTGAGTAATGCACACTCAAACGTTACTGTCTCTTATCTATATTTTAGGGCCGGTTAGAATATCCAAATATACTGATACTAAATATACGAGTATATTACGAGATTCACTTAAACGCTTGATCAGATATCAGTTATTTACCAAACTGCGATTTTTAAAGATTAAAAACAGATAACAATTAAACGTAGTGCAATAGCAGATATGCGCACCGCATTCAGTTAATTCAGAATCAGTCATCTCAGTATTATTGAAAACTATAAATCTGATTTACCAGGCAATTTGGATTAATTTAGTAAAAGAAAAATAAAATGCCTAATTTTCAAGATTTAATTCCTAATTTTCAGGATTTATCGGATCCACAGTCCAGATATTCTTCTAAATTGTCACTGCAAGAGAAAAAGTCTAATTCAGGTATGTATTCAAGATATTTATTATATTTTTCAATATTCACATGATGTAAACAAAATTTTATGAAAAAATGTTTTTAGAACCTTTTCTGTCATCCATATGGTTTATAAATATTTTTGACAATATTAGTAAAATTATATCATCCGCTAAAACGTCATAGTTTTAAACCACTTTGTTATTCGATCAAATTGTTATTGTCTATTGACACAAAGGGCGTTCACATAGTTCCAAATCTGAAAATAATCAGTTGTGAGTTGTGACAGATTCAAAATTAATAAAATTTGTAAAACAAGAAATACACCTATATTTGTTAACGATTTTATTAGTAAAAATTCTCGATTACAAAAAAAGCTTATCACTAAAGGTTTGTGCCCTCTCCAGACTCACGCGCGATTCGCGCGCGAAGCCGCGAACTACCCGCGATCCATGAGTGTGGATCCCATTCGCGTATTCTTCGCGGCTTCACGTCGCGTTCGCGCGTTGTTCCCGTTTGTTGTCGGTTTTTTGTCCCGCGACAAAGGGTTCGCAAGGCGCGAACATGACTAGGCTCCACATTCGCTGGTGGTTCAGTTGCCTCATAGCGAGTGTCGGGAGTGGTTGTGTTTTTTCCACTTATTTTCAATTGCTCTAGTTTTACTTATATATGCGTAATTATAAAATGCCAAAGCGCAAAGTAGCACTGCAGCAGCAGTAGCAATTTCACCATCCATACTCGTCAAGACCGCGAACTATACTGTGAAGCAGGCGCGAACATCTGCGAGTGTGGAACTGTAGGAAGAAATTTCGGGATTCGCACCGCGATCCGAGCCGCGATTTCACGCCGTGATTCGCGCGTGAGTCTGGAGAGGGTATTAGGATCGAATCCCACTCTTCCACTCTACCCAAATTATATTTGCACTTTCGAAATATCTATATCTAACAAACAAATTATGGGCCAATACTCAATGACTGATGACTGAGCAACATACTCAATGATTTAGAATCATGTTCAATATATGTTTGACTGAAATTATACTATGGTGTTTTTATGAATTACAGATTCATTAAATGAATTTGGTCTGAAGTCATCAGGAGCACCATTAAATCATAGTGCTGCTCATCATAGGGTTGCAGTGAAACCAAAAAGAACCCATGGTGTGCCACGACGAAAAAAAGGACAACAGGTAAACACAATCAACAAGATTTATATAAAAATCATGTAATATGACTGTTAATAATAATGGCACCAGTTTTTGTATATACTTTTTGATATGTATACAGTAGGCATTATTTTTAAAACTTTGAACACTGATTATTATTAACTGTGGAACCTAAAATTAACAACTTTTCAAAGTAGCTGAAAATCGTGAATAACTTGCCAGTATGATAACGAATATGCATGACTTTTTTATTTTTTGTGTATTATTTATTTATTCCATTCATTTTTGGTGCGCTTCACCGTGACGTCTACGTTCCCGACGTGACATTTGATTTTTTTGAGTTTGCTATCGAGTTTTTGATATACCTTTTGTTTGTAAAATTACAAAGTATTTATAGATTGGCTTTATTAATAAAATTAAATTGAATAGTTGAAAAATGATATATATATATATATATATATATATATATATATATATATCTTTGTCACCTTGCATCTTTCACTCTCCTTCAGCTTCAGTCTGTGTTTGGGGCAATATACGAAGTCATCTTATTTTCGGAAGATTATCCAACAGTGCCGTTTTAAAACCACTTTTATTCATTGTTGATTACACTTAGGAAGGCTATATATCAAGAATCGTCGTTGGTCAAGAACAAAGTCTGTGGTTCTGAACGGAACAGAGCATGCGTAGATCGAAATTACCGTTCCAACAGAAAATGGAACTGATTCCGAACCGGTTCTAAACTGGTTCTAACAGTTCTGATTCTGAGAGAGCACTAGAAATTCGAATTTGATAGCGCTTGCGCGTTTATAGAATAAATGACTTAGATGAGCTGTTCATAGCTGGGAAGCTGGATTATGTGGCTGAAATTTTGTGCCAGTTCTACCGTTTGTTTCTCCGCATATCTCAAATCTAAATATACTAAGTGACATATAAATCCGAACACCCAGTTTAAATGGCTTTATTTTAATAAAATTTTGTATAAGTACTTAGTGAAGCATAATAAGTAAATGATAAAAATTTCAAAATGATTGCAATGCTTTAAAGCCCTTTGACCTTTAATAATGTGTGGATGCACCCTGATGTGCTACGCATTCTCCAACGCGCCTAGGCATGCTTCTGATCAGGTGGTCAATGTCCTCCTGTGGTATCTCATTCCAGGCAACCACCAACTCCTCTCGAAGTGCTTCTAGAGTCTGAGGAGGACGTTGCAAATTGAGCAATCTCCTACCCATCATATCCCATATGTGCTCAATTGGGGATAAGTCGGAAGATCTTGGTGGCCATGGTAACAATGTGACATCATTATGTTGAAAGAAGTCTATTGTGACTCTTGCAACATGTGGTTGGGCATTATCTTGTTGGAAAGTTGGATCTGTCAGGGTGTCAAGATAGGGTAAAAGATGGGGTTCTAGAACTTCGTAGATATAACGCTGCGCGTTCATGTTACCTTTGATGAAGATTAAAGGTGACCTGGAACCATAAGCTATAGCACCCCAAACCATAACTCCAACAGTGTGATGAACATGTCTTTCAACAAAAAACTGTGGATTCGTCCTTTCACCACGTCGCCTTCTAACCCTGGCACAACCATCGTGCATGCCTAAACAAAATCGAGACTCGTCACTAAAGACAATACTGTTCCATTCCTGATCCCAGAGTGACCGTTGTCTGCACCACTCAAGGCGATTACGTCGGTGTTCTCGAGTTAAAGGAAGGACTCAGTGTGGCCGGTGTGAAAACAAGCCAAAACTTCTCATTCGTCGGTAAACACTTCGCATGCCAATAGGTCTTCCGTGTTCTGCACACCATTCATTTGCAATGAACCTGGTAGTGGAGAAACGGTCCCTTAAGGCCAATAATCTTAGGCGGCGATCTTCACGGTGTGTTGTTCTACGGCGGCGTCCAGTGCCCCTTGCTCTTTGCGTACGGCCTTCTCGAAGCCATGTCTGACAACACCTAACCACAGTGTCTACACTTCTTTGCACTCTAACTGCAATTGCTCGAAAAGAAAGTCCAGCTTCCCGAAGTCCCACTATACGGCCCCTATCAAACTCACTAAGTTGACGAAATCGTACAGGTCTCCGTACTCTAGGCATCGTAACCGATCGTAAAGGATGTCAAGAACCAAAATCCGCCAACGTTGATTCTTTACTGCGGCTGAAATATTCATTTTTAGAGTGTTAGTGAATTAAAAAAAAGCAGTATAAAAACCGGAATGTCCAACTGATAAGGCTGAAAATTTTTTCACTTGTTATTTACAGTAAGATAAATACATTCACCAACTTTTATTAAAATCAAACCATTTAAACTGGGTGTTCGGATTTATTTGTCACTTAGTATATTAATCGCTTATTGTGCCGTTTATTAAAGACGCTCCAAACTCACGCGAGAATCTCGCCGATAATCTCAGCGAAAATCTCGGGTCCACACTCGCAAGGTTCTTAATACAGTTCTCGTGCAAGATGGCAATGGACGCAGAATTAAATGTCGTCGACACCAGCACCAGATTTTTGCGGTTTGTTGAATTTATTTTACCCTCTGCCACGCATCCTGGCCGTTTAGTTAATTTTTATATTCTTTTAAATTTGTATTCCACAAAATCGGTTCTGCTTGAAAATATTCTAGGAATGCCAATTCTAGTTCGTTCCTGAAAATCCGGCTCATATTGATGCTCAGGAGTAAATCCCACGCACAACTGTTCTAATCGGCGAGTCACCTGCCACTGAGAAACATGCGAGTGTGGAGTCAATAAAAGTTCTCGCCTGTTCTCTCGTTCTCAGCTCTTTTGTCGCTCGTCAAATAACCGACAAAAATCGGAGACCAAGCCGAGATCTTGCGAAGATTATGAAAATGCATATTTCTCATGTTTTTCTCGCTTTCTTGCGAGAGTCTCGCGTGTGTGTGGAGAGGCTTTTGCACATATTCAAAGAATGGATAAGGATGAAGATCTTGAGATGATTATAGTTGCTGTATTGTAATACTTTTAATTATGTTGCAATACCTACTGCTATAGTAATATTAATCCTATATGTTTCTTTCAAGTCAACAAATTATTTAGTGAAAACTTTCAACAAGCTACACCTTTGTTGTTAAATCTACCATTTCGTTTCCCAACACAAATTATCTCAAATTCCACGTGTATCATACGGAAACTTAATAATTTTAAATTTTACTTTAATGAAGGTGATGTTCACGATAACCAGCCATATAATTCTCTGTTCCAACAGAATAGTTCGGACTAGTTCGGAACTGTACTTACCTCGCCAAGTCCTAAAAAAAAGAATCGGAATTAGGTCTGAACTAGTTCGGAACTACTTGTTGGAATAAAATCATTATTTACCTAGAGAAATAAATAAGGCACGTATAATAATAACGGTCTCCTCAGATGTTCCAGTATTATCTTGAATGCATGATTATACCATTTTTACAGTGAACTATATTGAATCCAAATCAGAATAAGAGTATAATGGCCCCATCTATTGTCTGAAACAAGGAGTGAGACTAGCTTTATACTGATAGATCTAGGTAGATTGATACATTTTATATGAATGGCGAAAATTTTAAAAAAGAGTGGAGTTAGACCATTATTATTATATGTGCCTCAAATGCTACTGCTCAATCTAGCATTGTAGTAAATAATGGTGATTTCTCAGGTTAGTAGTAAAAAAATAATTAACCGATATTTGAATCACATGAATATTCGCTATTGTCAACGCTAGAGAAAAACCTAAAATGTTACTCATAAAAAAATCCTACTTCGAATATAACCATTGTTAATTCCACTTCAATTCTTCACATTATGCATTTGTCAATGTGGCGTGTGTCAGGCATTATTGTATTGTTTAGTTTCTGGGTAAAGTAGTAATCCAAACCAAATTTGCTGCAGTTATCATCTGCGCTACCGGTCACACCAGAGGTGAACGAGGATAGTTCCATTAGAAGTATCTCACCAGAAAGCGGTGCTGTTACTCAAAAAGGTAAACATATGTTCATTGATCATTAGAGTCCATAAGGTTATACTTACATTACGTGTTTTACGATAACTACAAATTTCTTATGTATCAAGACTATCGTGATGTACAAATTCGTCTGGCGTATAGACAACTTTTAATACGTATTAAAAATTTCTTACAAATTCGAATATTAAACAAATTTTTCGTCTCATTGTATTTCATGTCACAAAATAAAATTAACATAGGTTCAATATTAACACAAGGTTTATTATTTTCTAAATTATATTATCTATTATTGAAAAGTGTCTTTTCCTAGATGACAACGTGGACACGGATATATTACTGTCAGACACAGTTACCCAATTAACCGAAGCCCAATTGAAGTGTTCATCATTGCCCCCGAATATAAAGGGGGCTAACGATGTCATTAATCTGAATCGGAGTCTCTCCAGCGCTGGTTCGCATGATGAGACCCAATCCAGGAATTCTAATGAGAAGACTGAGGAGAAGCTGTCATTATTTGACAGAATATTCCCGAGGAAAAGCAACAGGAAGAAGAAAGATAAGGTGAGCAATTTATTTGGCAAATTATTCGGAGCCTGTTTCTAGTTCTTTTGGTTTGAGAGTTGTATGCTCCCAAATTGTGACGCTCCTAAACTGCTTTAGCAAATGTGCAGGAGGATTGCAACGGTATGTTTTTTTGTGTTTTGCTTGCGAGATCATTCGTTTGCGTTATTAATTCAAGCTCCAAGCATTTAATTCTTACGGATATAGCTTCTAAGTGATGAGGATGGAGTTTGTCGAGAAAGAAATGCTGGTAGGTATTTGTTGTTGGAATGGTTCTTATCGCCTTCTTAGGTTACGGCGAGAATATATTAATTGGCTTGGAAATTAACATAAACCACAAATAAGTAATTCTAAAAAAGGAACAATGGCTCAAGAAAGTTATAGGTTGTATATGTGGAAGCGTCCTAGAAACTAGAAGTATTTTTGAGTAGAAAAGGCTATCATAGCCTCCAGCTTCAACCAGTAGTAGACCATAGAAAATTATTGATTGATGTATATTGTGGTGAACCAGGCTCTCTTCACGATGCCGTAGTGCTGAGGAAATCGTCTTAATATTATATCTTCAATTTCTTGATATCCATTATTTGTTTAGCAATTCAGCTTACCCTGTTCTAGATTACCTGGTACCTCCATTTAAAAATAATAGAACGTTGACCAATCAACAAAAGCAATTCAATTTTAAACTCTGATCAAAAAAACTGTAGTTGGGTATACATTTAGATTTTAAAAAGTGGGATTCAACAGATTGGAACGTTTTGAAAATTCAAAATAAAGATAATAATTGTTAAACGTATTATGGCTGCCTATGTACGATATAACATTTGTATTTTTAAAAATAACTTCATTTCCCATGAAGGGAATGCTTTTAATGATTATAGAGATACGGGACATGGTATAAGTGAATCCCTTAATCATGCAGTTGCAAACCCACGGCAACAAGTGTTTTGAAGAGTTGAACAGCTGAAAATCGTAATTGGTTCTGTTTCATGCGTGATTTGATATGTTTTATTTTATACGTCTACTAAATTACTACTTGTAAAAAATGGATGGCTTAATTTGAAAATGGGTATTATTAACATCTTTGAAACCTCCATTTTTCTAACAAAACTGAAATTAAACATTTTCAGGAAACACTATAACAATAATGAAGATCATATCAATCTAACAGACTTGTTTTAACTACTAAAGAAGTTTATTGTAAAATTGTAGAAAAAACAACTCCATCATAATATCAGTAATAAATGCTAGGTTAACATATCACAAAAAATGCTCTATTAACAAACAGAACTAAAAGATTCTTCCTGGAAAGTCAAAAAGCTTCCCAAATTACGAGGTGCATTCTAATCTGAGAAAAAACGGCGGAGTTGTGGCTTTTGTCCGCGTCGACTTCCTGAACATCAATCACCCCGCTTCAGAGGTAGTTCTTCTCGGTGATTGCAATGTCCATAATGAGCCTAGCTTGGGCTCAAACAAGACGACAGGTCGTGCAGTCGAAGCGTTCACTCTTACTCAAGGGCTGACCCAGCTGGTGACGAGCCCTACTTTTTTCCACCGCGTCTCGTCCCATGCCAGTAGCCTGCTGGATCTCTTTCTGACCGCGCATCCTGTCCCTTACAGCACTGCTGTCCTATCCCCCGTGGGTAACTCAGACCACAGTGTTGTGGAGGTTAGGTTTCGGTCAGCACCCGCTGTGGTAGAAGAAACACGTACAGGCCGCAAAACTTGGCATTACGGACATGCCGACTATGAGGGGCTCAGAGACTTCTTCTCTACCTTTCCTTGGCTGTCTGTTCTTCGATAACCGAAATTATCCACGTCGGAATGGAGGAATACATCCCTCACACAGTGAAAGTGCCTAAACCAGGGTCCAACGGCTGGTTCAACAAATCGTGTGACACTGCTCGCCAGCAGAAGATCAAGGCACACAGAACCTTGTTACAAAACCCCACTGTAGAGAACAGACAAGCCGACGTCGAGTTCAGAAACAAATATAACGAACCGGTTCGAAATGCCAAATTCCAGCACGATATAAAAGTTAGGCACAGGGCAATGTCGCAGCACAATGGCAGTCGGTCTTTCTGGACGCTGGCCAAGATGACTGAAAATAACTTCTCACACAGTAGCCTTCCACCCCTTATGTGTCAGGATGGAATGATTGTACCCGACTCAAAGGCCAAGGCGGAAGTGCTTGCCAAGATCTTTGCTGCCAACTCCACCATGGACGTCCCCCCGAACGCCCAAGTGCCGTCAATTCAAAGGGTTCCCTACACTATGCGCGAGGTAACATTCAGGTATAAGACCGTAAGTCGAGTGCTCTTGTCGCTGGACATCAACAAAGCTTCTGGTCCGGACTTCATTCCTGCCATTGTACTGAAGAGGCGTGCAGCGGAGCCTGCTCCAGTTCTTTCGCGTCTCTTCCAGATGTCTTATGAATCCGGCACCTTCCCAGAAAACTGGAAATTTGCTCATGTCCAACCCATCCCAAAAAAGGACCTAAGACCGACCCTTACAACTACAGGCTTATAGCTCTGCTCTCTGTTATAAGTAAGGTGATGGAGAGGTGCATAAATCGCGAGCTTCTGGACTACCTCGAACATCACAGCTTGATTAGCGACAGTCAGTTTGGTTTTCGGCCCCAGCGATCCACAGGGGACCTCCTAGCTTACGTCACGCAATTGTGAAGTAAACTCATCCAGTGTTATGGTGAGGCCCATGTCGTTGCTGTTGACACCACGAAAGCGTTCGATCAGATGTGGCACGCTGCCCTCTTAAGCAAACTTCTATCCTATGGCCTCCCAGAAAAGCTTTGCAGGTGGGTGGCTGACTTTATCTGTGGCCGCAAGATATTCGTCGTAATTGACGGGTTCTCCTCTTCATCCCACAACGACAACGCGTGTGTTCCCCAATGATCGATCTTGGCTCCGACACTGTTCCTCTTGCATATCCTTTCCTGCATGATTAACCCAATCCACAGCTTTGCTGATGACAGCACTCTACATGCAGGAATTCAGAGTGGCAAGCCGATCTCTGCCGCTGAGCTGGAAGAAAGAAGACTAGCGATCTTGTACAGTTTAATGCTTTCAAAACACAGTACTATACTTTTACGAACAAAAAACGTCCTAGCGCTCATCCGGTTTCGATGGATGGCCGAGTTCTGCCAAAGAGCCATTCATTTCGGCGGGTCGGAGTCCAGATCACCAAGAACCTGATCTGGCACGAACTCATCTCGTCAATAGCGCCAGCTGCTGAGAAAAAGCTAGGCTATTTATTTAGGGCTAAGTACTTTTCTCCGCATGACCTTCTCACTCTATACAAGGCCCAGATAAGGCTTAGCCTCGAGCATTGCTCACACGTTTGGGGTGCTGCCGCCCCGACTACATTATTTATGCTCTGTCAGACAGACCCGCCTGACTTTGGCCTCCCATTCTAACCGTGTCGAACTTTGTACATCCAGAACTGGTCAATACGACCGCTCCTTTGTCCCGAGGGTGTCGAGATTGTGGAACAATCTACAAGAGGAAGCTTTTCCCAGTTCTACTAACCTTAACAAAATTTCTTTGGGATCATCATAGCAGCCCCGGTGTTCCGGCATTTAGGATTCTGCCTGCGAGGCTGCTTCGGTATAAAAAAAAAGAAGTTTAATAATTTCTTAAGTACTCTAAAATTTATCTATTTAACTTTGGTTTGTTAGGTTTTAAACATAAGAAGATTGGTATCACATGAATTTTTAGATGAATAATTTATATAAATTTATTGTAATATGTCACATAAACGTAATGTTTTATTGTATGCAATGGAAAACCGTAAATAAATAAATAAACACAAATGAGATATGCAAAGCAGCTTTGGGTCCACGTGGGTCTGACTTTTATTGTCATCTTACCGTCGGTCTATCGGTAAATGACGTTCCTACAGTGGAAGTTATATTATATTGAATGGCAGGTGCTGGGCACTAGCGAGTTGCTCCGAATAACAAATGAGAAACTGTTAGCGTTGGTCTATCGGTTAATGACATTTCCTACAGTGAAAGTGACATGAATGGCAATCGCGTCAACGTGCCCGCGTTGACCGAGCGCTAACGGCGCTGTAAAGGCCAACCGCGACTATTATCCCAAACGACTTGGTTTCACGTCACTCCTTTTTTTAAGCCACTCAGGGACCTATTTTAGACTATCTTATATTCGGTCGGATACTACATTGCTCAGAACGAATACTATATACTCCAGCTACCACGAAGGCCTAAACCCTAAACACCCATGGGGTACCGTGGGACTATAGGGGGATACAGGGGAAAGGGGGGTACGCCACACGGCTCTAGCGAGGGACATGTTTCAAATCTGGCATGGTGGAGTGACCTGGATTTGTAGCGTCATAACCGCCATAATAACGCGTCGTCAGTGCCTCAATATTTAGCATCCGTATAACACCCAAAAATTCTTCCTGTTATCCGCGCATGTGAAAGGATTGACTGACAGTATTGAACGCTCATGTATGACTTACTAATTGCTGCTTTCGATATTGTTTGTTCCAAAGTTAACATTTCATATTCAAATTTTGGATTGTACATTGGTATAAATATGGTAATGAATATTGTCCTTTGTTTAGGCTAAAGAAGAACAAGAAGTAGTGAAACAGGAGGAGGAAGTCTGCAAAGAAACTACCCATATCAAAAATGAAATGACTGACATAATACAAACAACTCACGCGACCTCAAGCAAAACTCAAAGCTCTCATTCTATCACGATCTCATCCACTAAGCATGAGGTATCACACTCCGCTACTACTCATTATACTGGTTCATCTTCAAGACAGAGATTACCACCAATTGATATACCATTGTCGCCAAGTTATACGAAGAAGGATTTGGGTAATCACAAGATTGTTTCAGAAAGCATTCCTATTGGTAATCCACAAATCCAAACTCAGCTCGAAAGTTTTTTCAAGCAAAAACAGGTAAGTTTTGTTTTTTCTTCTTTCCCGATTCTTTCTAAATGCAGCATTTCGTATTTGATCTACAGTTACGTCGAGTTGGCTGGCAAGCAGCCATCTTCGCGAAACATGTTTTTGTACTTTTTACTTTCTGATAATTTCGGGTACAGATGTGTCAGTGGAGCCTGGCGGCCCATGATTTTCGGAGCTTTAGGCTCAAGTTCGTTTTTGGTGTTAAAATCAACTTAAAATGCCTAGTGTGGGGATAATCACAATTACATATCAATGTTTGGCCTATTAGGTTTGTTTTATGTAAAAGAACTCAAAATAAGCGATAGAACACCTACAAGAATTGCATTCTTAAATATACTTACTTAATATTATAATTTTGAAAGTATGTATGTTTCCGTTTTCACGTCAAAACGCACATAAGCTACCTTTTGGTGCAAAAAGTAAACGTGAATTATTTTCTTCGGTCCATTTAATAGTCATATTAATACTTTCCAAGGCTTCCTCAGACCTGACAGAACGAACAGTGGTAACATCTTCTTCACCACCTGAAGAATCCGCATGTTCCGCTATTGCCTGGATTAAATCTGTATCATCCATATATGGTTCGTACTGTTCAGGATTTGAACGTCCCACTTTGTACATTTTTGCGACCTCAGTAAACGAAACGCCAAGGTCTATTTTTCGCAAAATTTCCATTTTTTTTTACTAAAGTCAATGTCTCATGTTTACGTTTTGTACTAGTTGCTGCCATTTTTTCCAAATATACACTTCTGCACGCTGTTGTTTCGTACGGCGGACTGCGGAGAGCTGGTAATTCGCAGTAATTCTCAAAGCAGAGACGGCGGATTACCAAGTTAAATGTTTAAGAATGGGCGGATTGTCGAGTTGGTGTCAATGCTACAAAAACGGCGGATTACCGTAGTGGGCGGATTATCAAGCGGCGGATTATCGAGAGAGTACTGTAATATGTTGATTTACAAATTTTGGTAACTTTATTGAATTGTTAACTTTCCGCCCCGAAGTTCTACGCTCGCAGCTTATAGGTAGAGCCACTAACACAATAACCAAATCCAAGCATCCAAGTTGACTGCCAATTTTCTATTACATCAAAGTCACAAAGCGTGATCGGAAATTTTAGCAATGCTTATTATGTTAGTAAAAATGTAACTCGTATGAAGTCGCGGGCAATAGCTTTTAATATAAATATATTGTAAAGAAATGTATACTTATTGTAAGTTCCTTAATCCTGATGTGTTTTTGTTTTTTGCAGAATCCTCATTCATCTAGTCCTCCAATGGCCCTATATTCAAGCTCAGGTGAATCTTCGCACCCATTGGTAGAACGTTCGAAGCCTCCTCTAAGCCCGAGAGGTCCATCAGCTGTTATGTCAAAACATGAAGATACTTCTTATCAATCAACATCTGTTTCATCGTCTATCACCAAAATATCAGAAAATAAATCACGTAATGAAGAGCTAAGAAGTAAAATGAAATTGCCTGGTTTGTCCTCACTGCAACAGCGTGTGCTTTCTTTGAACGATGACGTTGACGATGGCTTCAAGTCTTTGACTGACTTTCCGCCGGAAAGTGGTAGAGTATCAAAGCCTCTGGCGAAATCGCAAAGTTTCAAGTCTACCAAAGAAGGCAGTACCGAAGCTCAGCGGAATAACTTGAAACGAACAGCACAGTTTTTGGACGAAGAAAGGAAAGAAAACGTGAAATCATCATTTGTCAAAGCAGTATCTCTTGATAGCGTCAAAAATTTGGAAGAAAAGGGCGAATTCAAAAGGCCCAAGCGAGATGTTTATGATGGAAAATCAGAGAACGAAGAAAATCCTGAAGAATGTAATGTTTTCCCGGATTCAAGCATAACAATATCGGGACCAAGCCATACTGCTGTGGTGAATGTGACAAGTGATAATATGGAAGAATTTAATATGAATAGGAAAGTAGTCGAGGAAAGCTCCTCTGCTGTGTCTGTGAAAGAGCATACAGTATCGGTTACTAAGATCCACTTGAAACAGGAAACTCAAACTAGCCATACTACAAATTCAGTAGTCAAGTCACCAGTTCCAGAATTCATCAATAAGCAGTTAAACAAGGTAAAGGATGAATGTTTTGACATTATTTTTGGATACGAGTACGTGTTTAAGCTAAACATACTTGTGGAGCTTTATTTTTCCGAATTTTAGATATATTTTCCGGACATTGCGTATTCTCTACGACACAAACGTAACAAAACAACAGGCGTGGTGGCATTACAATCAAGCGTAATCGCACCCTCTGTTGTGAGATTCAGTAGACTACATGGTCCAACAAGTTCGCAACAAATCCAGGCCGCGGCTCGCACTGTGACCAAAATTAATTGAGACTTTTTGAACAACTTATTTCTTACAAATCTACTTGCCAACAATGCCTAAGCTTTTGTCACTCCAAATGATTTACATATTTCCTTTGCTCCAATCCTATCTTCCGTAATTTTCTTCTTTCCTTTTTCCCCTTGATCTTGTCTGGTAACTGGGTAACCAAACTTGATAGACTGACAGACTGATGAGCCTTTTAATTAAGAGTAAAGGTCGACCGGATGGATTTGACAAACAACTACGAAAAGTATCGTCCTAAATGTTCGTGCCACACAATGCTAGACCGCATGTTGCCAGAGAATCGTTAGCCTTCATGCCTTCATACCTTCATACCTTAGCCACCACGATCGCCTGACTAATCTCCAATTGAACATGTCTGGGACATGGTAGGTCGCAGGCTTTTGAATTTGCAACACCCTCCACAGACTTTAGCAGCTCTTACTCACGAAGTTGCAGTAGCCTGGAATGAGATACCCCAACAGGATATCGACCACCCTATCAGGCGTGTCAATGAGTGTACGAGAAATCGTGGATCTTCAACACATTATTGAACCAGCTTCTGCAGTCAGTTGACGAATCAAGCTGAAAATTTAATCATTTTACTAGTAAGGGACACTGAACATACATATATGCAAAAAATTATTAAAATCAAGCGGATAAACAGACGTAGGTGTTTAACTTTTTTTGTCACTCATACGGCTGGATACCTGACATATTCACCGACAAGTCACCGACCACTGTACGAACAAACCATTTAATATTTCCTACCACCTTTTTAGCTCACGTCTCTATATTCAGTATTTATTAATATTGTAATGTTGATCTATAATTCAATCATGTTTTTTACTACTATATTTTTTAGGTGGACCCAGTACCAGCTAGCAACATCATACTTTCGATAGTATCTCCGAAAGTTGTTGAAGATCCAAAACCTATCTTCACCTTTGATGAACCTGCTACCAAACCTCCATCTATACGTAAATTCAGCAAAGAAGACGTCGAAATAATCGAGAAAAATGATCTTCCTGAAAAATCTGTTACATCTGAGGCAAATATTAATTTACAACCGAAATTCAAAAAGAATGAAAAATCTTTCCGAAAATCGTCAGTTACCTCCACAATAGAATTTATAGCGAACGAAAAAATTTGTTTAAACTATAAATCTAGTAGTCTTGACTCTCTAAAAAGTACGTCAGACAAATCCTCCCAGGATAGCTTAGATATGTTGGTAACTGCGAAAGAGAGAAGCGTTATATCAGAGCCAGTGGTTTTGAGAAAGAAATCGATTGCAACGAAAAAGGAGGAGGAACCTGAGCTCATGAAGGTCTTCGCAAGACGTTCGCTGAAGCTAAAAGACTCAGACGTTGAGTCCCTTCAAGACAGTTTGTCAGACACAAAATCCAGAGACAGCGACAAAGAAAATGTAACAGGTTCACCTGTGGAATTACGCAATGACTGCTTCAAAAAACCTGCTTCGGATGAAAAAGAAGTCGCAAGGAGATCCATTATAAGAGCGGCAAGCTTGGAGGAAAAGAACTCTAAAGATCCTTTGGTGGAAATTAAGTTGAGTGATAAAACTAGGAATAGTGAAACGAATGTTCCCGTGGCATATAGGAAGATGCTAAACAGCAATCCTTTCCTAGGGCAGAGAGCTATGAGTGCCAGTACACCAAGGACGGAAACTGCTGTTAAGAAGCAGCTTAGTTTAACTGAAAGACGGAAAACGGATCAATGGATAACTAAATCCAAAGACGAAGAAGAAAAGGATGAAAAATTATCAGATGTGAAGAAGGACCTCACTGCGGAATCAAACAATTTCAGCAAAAGGAAAGCTGAATGGGAAAAGAGGGCACAGTTGGCACAGCTGAAAAAGTCACCTTAGTGTTTAGGGAGCCTTGGATGGAATACCATCTGAAATTAATATACAGGTAATGATAAATATGATTTGTCAGTTGGGTATTGATATTTGGGGGCTTCTCACAGCCAGTTTGCAAAATGGTCTATTTCTGACTTGGACAAAATTGATAATGCCTTTTATCTTCATAGTTTAGAAGGTGCTGTAGCGAACTATGTGAGTTTAAAAACATTCAACGTATAGTGAGTCTCTACAGAAAAAATACACACCAAATTCATTCTACTTAACGAATACTGATGAAAATAAAGTTACTGAAACTATAATTAACTTAAAAAACAAAAAATCGTCCAGTTATGACAATACAAGAGCAGAAACTTTAAAAATTATAGCTATCTGTAGAGCTAGACGTCTTACATTCATAATAAATTAGATTTTTCACACTGGTACTTTACTACATACTACTACATCCCTCCAAATCGCTATTTATATAATCAGAACTTTTAGATATAAAAAAATCATTTTGGTATAATCTTATACTAGAATTCCATAAAAACAAACATTCAACCATTTATAAAAATTATGAATATGATACTAAAAATAAAAATAAACAAATAATTATTGCAACACCAAAGAAAGAAGTAATGTTGAAATCTTCTATATACTTAAGTCCAAAATGATATCTTAACTTACCAAAATATATTAGAAAAAACCGAATATCGTTATTAAAAATAGATGTATACGAGTGGCTTTTGAAAACTGATATAAACGTGTTGTAGTTTATAAAAAACTAACATATATTTTCTTCGTTGCTAGTCTACGATCCAAAATTAATGTGCATATTATTATACAGGGTGTAAACGTTATGATAGTCATTATTTAAAATGGGTGATAGAGGGGGTTAAAAGAAGTTGAAAGTTTCATATAACATGGGGGTCGAAACGGCATTAGAGAAAAGCGACTTTAAAGTATAATAAAATCTGACAACGCCGCAATGCCAGACGCAAATTACGACGGAGTGCAGTGTAAATAAAGATGGAGTTTGTTATTTTTGGCTCTTAGGTATTATCTCATTATTTGATAATGTACTCGTCAAATGCAAACAATGAAAAAACGGACTTGCCACTAACTGTCTCAACTCTTCACCTGATGTGTGAAATTTTATTGAACGTATTAAAAAATCCACTTATAAATAGGGAACACCATTTTGATACATACATTGTTTTTCTTTTTAAAACCCACACTGCACTTTTTTGTATTTAAATTAGGTATTCAAAATGTCGTCCTCCACTTTCCACACAAGCTTCATTACGACAAACCCAATTTCTTCTTACTCTAGGTCCTCGAAGTTGTCCATTTATTATTTCAGCCGCATTCAATTTTTTTTTTCGCGAAGTTGTGCTTCAGTTGTTATTGGACCAGCCCCATAAGCCATCCCTTTAAGTCCTCCCCAATACCAGAAATGCGGCGGATTTAGGTCAGGAGAGCTTGCTGCCCATTTTCGAGGATCAGGAGCATTTCGACCGATCCAGCGATTTGGATAATGTTCATTCAAATACTGAATGACGCCTCTAAAAATGTGTGGTGGTGCCCCGTCATGAAGAAACCACAAATTCTGTCTCCGTTGTAATAGCATGTTGTCTAAGGTCTGTTCCAAAAGTTCTGGTAGGTTATTGGCTAGAAAGCTAAGGTATCCTTCTCCTGACAACTTTGGGGGTAACTCGAAAGTGCTAATTACCTGATCGTCAAGAATACCCACCCAAACATTTATTTTAAAACGTTGTTGGAAATGGCCTTCACGAATAGTATGAGGATTTTCTTGGACCCACGTGTGAGTATTATGGAAATTTAATATCCCGTCTCGCGTAAAAGTACATTCGTCCGTCGCTAGAACGTTTTTAAAAAATCCGGATTTTCGATGTTTTTGGTATGCGATAGTCCTACGCGGCGGCCTAATTCCCGAGTGCTGATATCTGCATTGAATTCCACGATATTTAAAATTTGTTCCTCCTGCTATACAATAACCTATCTTTGACGAGTGCGAATATTAGTGGGCTGAACACTTCCTGTATCTCGAAGTCTTTGATACACTTGCACAAATGTCCTTCTGACTGGGTGTACCCGTTGGCGAAATCTGTTGCGATAAATTTTAACAAAAACAAAACAACATACTAACCACTGTTACAGTTTGCGATCGATTGCCGGTTCGATAAGAGTGATGAAAAACCGACGCGCTGTTGTCATGTATGTTTTAAATATTTAATTTAATTAAACTTACTTACTTACTTACTGACTACAAATTTTGGCTTAACTTAATTACCCAATTTAAAAATGTTTTAGATTAGATTATAATTTAGTAAGATTGTGGTAATTGTGGTCGATATAAAGCACTTAAAGTTGTAAACTACTCGTATAAAGCCATTTAGACAAAAATCTATTGACTTTTGGACCATGGGTCATATGAACTTTTTGACTTGTTTTGACCCCCCCCTCCCTATTACCCATTTCAATAATGACTACCATAACGTTTACACCCTATATTATATAGATCTTTTTTAGTCATATCAGTTTATTATAACTGCTATGTTATATGCATGTTGCGTTAGCATGATATCCACATACAAGGATATTTTCCTTTTGTGGCATATGCATTTGTTCACAATTTGTAATTTATGTGAATAAATTATTATTATGATTATATGAACATATATAGTTGCTTACACCTTTTCAAAGTAGATTTCTAATGAATTATTGCGGAGAGGAGAAACATAGTTGTGGCAAACTCTCATAGATGACGACCTAATATGTCATTTCATCTTGGATAATTTTGTGGACGCCGGGATACAGTATTATTTATCAATGATGGCCCGAGTAGCGGTATGTCCTGGTGAACAAAACAAGTTATGTTTTATTTCTGAGCTATCCGATTTTATCTCTCATTCGTTAGCATCCTTTTGCATATTTTGTTGAAACAACGAACATTTCTTATACGCATATATTCAAAATTAGCGTGTTATTACAGATTCTGCAATGCCTGAAACTGAATGAAATTTGTATGCTGATATGGATTCAACGATGGCCCCATTACAGTTCATCTTGAAGAAACGTATCAAGAACAAAGAAACTAGTACTTCATTTCAGACAAAGATGTGGCGTTAATGCATCTGAAGCCACCGAGGGTTTTAAGAACATTATCTTGGTTATAATAACCAACACCTTTTTGGACAATAGCTATGCCGGCATTGAAAGTGTGAATTGCCATTCTGGCTGTGCTAATCTTAGAATATCATCAAATACTGTATCAGTATCTGATAGTCACCCATGTTTGTCTGGCCGAATCAAACCACAAATGTTCAACGGTAACCTTCTTCAAGTACAATTTTGACCGAAACCCTGTATAATAAGGAGAAAAATTGAACATATGTGGTTTGATTCAGCCAGACACACATGGGGGACTATCAACATGAAAGCCACAGGATAAGTTTCAGATGTTACTTATTTGATAGTTTCGATTTAAACTATAAGACTCAGAGCGATGGTTCATGACACATGCGCTACTACAAATGTGTGAACGTAGTCCCTGGATGGCCTGGAAAATGGATTTTCTTTCTTGTCTTGTCATACTAAAAGTGGTTGGATGCACGCCGCATCTATACATTGAACCATGCTGTGTTAGCTCTGTGTGGGTGTATATCATAATTGATTTGTGGGTTTAGAAGATTATAAAAATGTTGATTATTCTTTAATTTAGCTATTTTTTCTGTATTTATTTTGTTTATTTTTATGTTTTCAATTTTTTTAACGTATGAAATTGCATTGCTTTGCAAATTTCGTTCATTTTAAGGATCTCGCGTGTCTTTATGAATTTGTATATTACACACATTTTGTAAGAGCTTGATCGTTGAAGAGTCCATATATTCAAAAATTATGGAAATCCCTAAAGGTTAATTGCAGAAAATTGTGAATTTTTGAAATATTATTGTGACAGTTTAGACGATTGGAACGATTTTGTATTTGTCAAGAATTTTGAACATTTTGTGAGATTCTAAATGTAATCAGCATGTACCATCATATGGTGAGCAAATGGTTTGGTATCAACCACTAAATGGGATATTGTAAAGAGGGGGTTTATTCTGTGATGATAATTTATGGGCGAATGCCTTATACCCTATACAGTAAAAACGACATAGGAAAAGTTAAAACCCAACAAATAAGATCCTCAAGTCATCCATGAAATTTTATATTTTTTTAATCTAGCTGCTGTGATTTTTGTGAACAACATTTGTAACTACAAAAAATATACATGCATATTTTCCTTATTCTCGTGTGCACCACACATGATATGGACCAAATAAGAGTAGTACTTTGGAAGATCTTTTATAATTTATTTATTTTGCTGCACTTGTCATTTTATATTTTTCTATTTATTTATTTTGTGTCGTGTCAAATTCTTCAACATCTATTTTCTTGTGAATGATATCAATAAAAAAAAACGGAAAAATTGTGGAATTATCATCACACATGTTTGCAGCTGAAGGGGAAAACCCATTATTATCACGTCATTTGAAGTTACGAACTATCAAGCAAACTCACAGATGTAATTATAATACTTAAAAATATACGATTGTTACCTCGCACATCTATATGTCAAACCATTAATTTTCATATGTGAGTTGGCATGATTGCGTGTGAGTTTATGTAACTTAGTAATAATGTGTTTCCACCTTCAGTAAATAATTACGTTGAGTGAGACTTTGTGGTATCACATATTTGTTGAAACTTCATAGAAGAAAAATAATACTAGTAAAATAAGTCATAAATTAGTGCATTTAACAGTTACCTATGTTTTTAATATGATCGAATAAAAAATGCATACATGATGGTGGTCAGATATTTGTGGTGTAGATTGTACTGTACCTACTGGGTGTCCCAACCGTGCGAGGACGAAGTATTGCTCCTTAACAAAATCTTTTCAAAGAAACAATTTGTATATGATATCTGGAGGCATATTTCTAGAATATTCATAATTATACAGAGCATCCCAATGTTGACCCACATATCAAAATTGATTACTTTAAAATGGAATGTCCCACTTTTTTATTACTTATTGGGATAGACCCTTTTGGAAGTAGTAGATTATATAATATACTTATGTGTTTTGATAATTAGTTGTTGAGCTATGGGGTATTTTTGCCTAAAAAAATATCAAAGTTTGATAGCTATTTATTTTTTTCGTTATTTCTCTATTCAAACAAGTCACATCATCCATGGAACCAAAAAAACAAGCAAAGTATTAATTAGTAAACTTGTTTCACGAGCATTATGAATACATTACTTCAAAAATATAAAAAAATAAATTACTTCTATAGAGTTTCCCATATTCTTAGTATGTTTTCCAAAACAATTGTGTGTAACACTATAATTCTTCCCTATTTTTTGTTTTGTTCAACCATCTCGTTTACAGCAAATGAAAACATATTTTCAAAATTACAAATTCCACAAAATAAAGCTATGTAATCATTTTAAATAAAAACAAATATGCTAGGATTAAGACTATGTTAGAAGAACTACAGTGGTTGAATGTGAAAAATTTCATATATTATTTAGTACTCGTTTTCATATTCAAATTAAAAAATCATTTATTACCACCACATTTAGAAAACTTCACAAAACTAAATAGTCATTATCATAACTACGAAACTAGAAGTAGTACAGATTTTCATCTGCAAAATTGTAGTAGTAGCATGACTAGTAAATCTATATCTCAAAAGGGAGTATTTGAATTTAATAAATTGAATAATGCTATTAAATAGGGTTCGAATTTAAAAATGTTTAGGGAGAAATTAAAAAATCACTATGAATAATCAAAATGCATAGTGATGTAATTTTAATAGACAGGAATATAAAATTGCGGAAAATGGATTGAGGAAAAATATGTAACCGAATCATTATACAAAATTGGCATTGTAGCATTACTGCTAAATAAATCTTCAAAAAACAAGCAAACAATCTGACTATACATTAGAAACCAAGTAATTCAGTGCTTTTGTGTCATTATTACAGATTGATATAAAATTATTTTTTTGAGTTGACGCCTATAAGTAAACTAAGCTAACTAAAATTTAAACCATTTGTATTACAATAGAAAATGTTCAAAAATGCCCCTTGATGTGGAACACACAAAAGTTTTACACTTTCTAGCGTGCGTTCACTGATGTTTAGAAGTTATTCTTGTATACTTTGCTTCATTTCGCCTACATACATTTCGAAGTTTTTGGTTGTGTTCAACATCAAAGGGACATTTTTTATAGTAGTACAAATATTTTATATTGTCATTTTTAAAAAATGATTTTTAGATTATAGTATGCATAATTATGAATTAATTGATTCCTTGATGAAAGCCTGATTTTATGTACAGATTGTCAATAATCGTTTTCTTGTTTTTTTGTTTCCATGGATGATGTTTGAATAGAGAAATATCCAATTTTTATTAAACAATTGGAGATTTGACGCAGAAACCGAAACTGATAACAGCCTTATATTATGATAGAGCTCATGAAAATGGGGATTCGATAGTGCCAAAACACAGGGTGCTTTGCAAAGAAGTATATTTTGTGTTTTGGGTCACCTGTATTGTGTATTGTACAAAGTTCACTATTCCAACTATGAAGATAGCTGGTACGCAGACGCAAACTTTGATGTTTTTTTTTTTAGTTAAAATACCTAATAGCTTAACAACTAATTATCAAAACCCATAAGTATATTATATCAGTCTCGTTCCTTTAAATGGGTCTATCCGAATCTGTAATAAAAAGTGGTGCATACCATTTAAAAAAATAAACTTTGTTATGTGTGTCAAAATTGAGACACCCTGTATAATTTTGAATATTCTGGAAATATGTCTCGCAATACTTCGTCCTTGCACGGTTGGGGCACATTTGTATGCTCGAAAAAAACATCATTTTGATATGTACATATACATACATAAGGTACACCTATACTCGTATTTGCAGGTGTTTCATCTGAACTTGCATTAGCTAGCTGTATGTTTTGAAGTATCTTGAAAGGAAACATTGTCATGCGAATTAATTACATATATTTAGTGTTAATATACATATATCCGTAATACTAATCATAAAAAAGTAACTGTTTTAAGCGATTGAAGACAGTTGGCAATAACAACTTTAATTCGTTTGCATTTGTACATATCCTAATGTATAGTTAAGTGCCTTTTTAAAAGTTTTATTATATACACGAGTGTTGCGTCTGAGATATGAGAAAAGAATGAGCCTTAATTGGTGCTTAATGGAATTTACTTATTATTCACTAAGGTTGTTAGCACTTACATTATCAATCATAAATGTAGGTTAAGCTTGTTTTGCTCCAAGGATAAAAGACATTACACTTACACGTTTGTAATAGTTGACGTCCTGAATATCTAGGATTGATACCAACTTGTTCACATAAACTTATCTGACATACATATTTATTCTTACACTAGTGATAATTGGAACAAAATAGACTGATGGTTAATACTATTTTTCGTATTTCTCTAACTATATTTTCCTACTGTATTCGAATTTTAATATTCCGCTTAGTTATGATTTCTGATGTAAGTGCTTACATTTGCTGAAATCTATACGTATTATGTGTATGATACACTATTGTTAATGGAAAATAAACCCTATAGTTTTTAATGTCTGTTTTATTGTGTATGCTTTATCCTAAGTCTTTTCGTCATACATATTGGTCTTTGATTTGGCAGTTACCGCAGCGGTTTACCCGACAACCGGAAATCATTTCCGACTAGGTTACCTTGCAATTTGAGCAATCACTCTTAGGTTTCGATATTCAACACAATCCAGACTTTGCCTATGAGATTGATATATGAACAAAATGCCTTTCTCTTTGAATAAACTATAAATGCAAAGTATATCTCCTCTGATCAATGGTCGGATGCCAGGGGGAAGCGAAGCCTCCTGAGGATCCAGTATGGAACTTAAAAATTGCATATTTTATTATTATATTATACATAAAAGAAGAGTGTTGTGCAAAAGCTATAAACTCTAATTAAAGATAAGTTGAACCTATAAAAAATAAAGAACAAGCAAACTAGAGTTCGTCGCGCACCCCTCTGTCGATTCTTGAGCCCGTTAACTGTGGATGCATTAACAACGTCGTAGGGCAGCCTGTTTCCAGGTATCAAACACTCGGTTAGACAGAAAAAATTGGCGGAGTGTAGTTCTAAACTTCTCTTTCATCAGTTTGTAGTTGTGGCCTCTCAGATCGTTGGCGTTGCAACGGAAAAGTGAGGACATGCCAGTGCCGAAGAAACCATGCAAAGCTCTGAATGTGACTATCAAGTCCCCTCGTAAGCGTCTATCGGCGAAGTGAGTTAAGCTGAATAGGTTCAGCCTCTCTTCATAACAAGGCCATTGGATACCGTACGGGATGTGTGTAGCCCTCCTCTGAATATTTTCCAGCAGGTCTCGGTCGCGTTGGATACCAAACAGGTCCAGCAAATTCCACAATTGGTCTCACATATGACGTATACAGGAGGCCCAGCAGTAGAATTCTCACAGCCCTTGAATGATATTTCAATAAGGTGTAGACTCCTTTTGGCCTTAGCCGTTGAGTTTTGGATATGATAGGATCATGATAGACAATTAGATACAACTCCTAAATCTATGTGACTGGAGGCAGAGGAAATCTCCTGGCTCCCGATGATATAGCTGATCTTAGGATTGTTCTTTCCAACATGTATAGCACAGCACTTCTCCAAGTTGAGCGGCAGCAGCCATCTTCTGGTTCATTCGTAAACATTGTCAAGGTCGCGTTGAAGGATGTCATTATAGGTACTGGGGGTATTGTATATCTTTGTGTCGTCAGCACACAAGGAGCAGGTCGAAGATATGACACAAGGCAGGTCCGATGTGTACAAGAGAGACCGCAAAGTTCCCAAGACGGAACTCTGGGGATCGCTGCTATTCACCAACCTACTGGTTGACAGTGCATCGCCTACCTTCACCTTGAACTCTCTGTTACTAAAGAAAGCCCTTATCCATTTCAACAGGTTACCAGTTATTCCCAGGCATTCCAGCTTGTAGAGAAGGTGTGCGTGGGGTACTCGATCGAACGCTCTTAAAAAATTCATGTATATTACATCTACAGTCCAGTCATTGATAAATTTGAGCAGGTTTGTGAGCGACATGACAAGAAACCATGTTGTTTGTCTGGTAACATATTATTTTCCGAAGCAAACTTGAGCATTTTACCAAGTATGATTTTTTCCGCTACTTTAGCAATTATGGGAGTGAGACTGATGGGACGATAGTTTTTTGCATTGTACTTATCACCGTTCTTGAAAATTGCCGTAACTGTTGCTTTAAGCCAGCATTGAGGTAGTGAATGAGGAGGAAAATGTCGTACTTAAAGGTGAGGCAAGAATAGAGGCACATCTTTTGAGGGTCATTGCTGAAATACTGTAAACACCTGGTGCAGTACCGCAATCCAAGTTGATGAGATGATCTTGAACCAATTTGACATAGATTGATAGGTGGTCTAGGATAGGTATAAGAAGGTGTACCAGCACTGTCCGAAGAAAAGTCTTCAGCTAAAGCATTTGCCAATACTTCTGCTTATGACACATCGTTCCTGCAGGTGTGACCATCTAAGTCGCTCACCTTGGGTGTAGAAACTTTTGAATTTAGTGAAGATCAAATATATCTGAATAGCTTTTTTCTGTTTTTCGATGATACCAACGTATTTTCAAATTGGCGTTAAACAGCTTTCAGTGTCTCCGAAAGTGTTTTAGAGAAGTTTCGATGATATATCATGTTTCTGTCTAAACCTGTGGGTATGTTTAGGAGCTGACCCTCCCTAAGAAAATTTGCTATGCACCACTCTCCAAAAAGCTTTGTTAGCAGGTACACTTCCACAAAAACGTATCTCTTGCCGATGATCAGCCCCTCCCAGGGAAATTCCTGCAGGCGCCCATGCTATGATCTTTCCTACAATATGAACTGTACATATTCCCCATACTGGTATATGAAATGTTAAGTTCTTACAATAAAAGCGGCAATTTCGCAGTCTCAAGGAATGCGTGGAAAATAGATTATCCATATTATATCCTTTTATCTCAACAATACTGAAAAGACTTTATCCAAAGGCTGGGTAAGTAGAAAGCACTGGAACAAATTTATTCACATGTAAATGTGTATGACATAAATATATTACATTAAAAAAAGTTTATTGATGTTTTCTCTAAATATGGGGTTGTCCAAAACGGACGCAGGAAAGTAAACGCATATTAAAACAAGAAAGATTGATATTCAAATCAAGTTGGGTACTTTATTTTGAAGGTTCATTTATGTATGAAAAATAATATCGCTCAAATGTTCACCAGGACTGGATTTACAGACGTCCATGCGATGGTCGAAATTTTCAATGACATTTTGCAACATGGTCGGTTCTATGGCATTTATCTCGGCAATGATGTTGCTTTTGAGTTCTTGGAGGGTGGCTGGTTTGTTGACATAGACTTTGCTTTTCAAATATCCCCACAAAAAGAAGTCCAAGGGAGTCAAATCGCACGATCTTGGTGGCCATGGCACATTTCCTCTGCGCGAAATCACGCGATCACCGAAGAAAGGCTGCAATCGATGGATATTGACGTTGGTTGTGTGGCATGTTGCACCGTCTTGTTGGAAATAAACATCGTCCATATCCATTCCTTCAAGTTGCGGCAAAAAATAGTCCTCTATCATAACGTGATATCGCTCAGAATTGACGGTAACGGCGTCCCCGGCCGCGTTTTCGAAAAAAAAGGTCCGATGATGCCTTTTGACCACAATGCACACCACACAGACACTTTTTGAGGATGCATCGGCTGCTCTTGATACTCACGGGGATTTTCGTTCGCCCAGATGCGGCAGTTTTGATTGTTTACCGTCCCATTCAAAGTGAAATGCGCTTCGTCGCTGAACATGATTTTTGGTGAAAAATTGGCATCAATTTGGCGGTGTTCAAGGAGCCAATCTGAGAACGTTCGGCGCGAAAAATGGTCGGCCCCACGCAGCTCTTACGTCAATTGGATCTTATTGACCGATGGTTGTTTCGTTTGGGCGGTTGTTGCGACCGAAATGTTCACGAAGCGCGCGAAACGTGTTTTTTATTTTTGCACCATTTTTGTAGTGCTCTTGAATAACTTTAATGCGGTCTTCAATCGAATACGACTCCATAGCGAACAATGGTAAACATTCAACTAACAAAATGAAAATGACATGTCGGTGACAGAAAACAAAGATGGCGTCTATGTCAAATTGACGTTTACTTTCCTGGGTCCCTATTGGACAACCCATTATTTATTAGGGATTTTTTGGATGTAGAGATTTGTAGATAAATGTATGATGTAGATCAAGCGAAGAAAGCATATTTCACTTGGCAACACTGTTGTGTTATGCGTGACACTTCTGATCTTTTGGATGACAAGAGAGGTTAAGTTCAGTTTGTTTTTTTTGTTTTCAAATTTCGATGATTTGATTGAATTCCAAACTTATCCCTCAAATGGGAAAAGATAATTTGTATGCATCTTGCTTGTGTACATAGGTAGAGAAGTACAACGGTACGTAATGATAGTAAAAGTCTAACTGAAAATAGCATGACTTCAACATTTTTTATCCAGCGTTAATATCTTTTGCAGACTTGTGTGGTGCGTACGAAATTGGGTAATGGAAATATATAACTTTGAGAATTAATGTTATTGGATGATTTCTGATGATTATTATAAACTAATGATTTCTATAGGTCTTTTCACAGTTTTTGGCGAGTCACAGTAAAACTACAGGAATTACTTTCATACATCCATTTTCCTCACACATACATATCCAATAAGCCTCCATGCAGGGATGCTTGTTTATGTAAACTCAAAGATACGAGTTTTTATTTCCTATGCCACTGACAAGGAAGTATTGAAATATTTTGAAAACAAGATTTGTTTTCTGGATGTTACAGTAAAACTACTGGAACTACTATCTTACATCCATTTCCTTCACTTATAGATATGCAATCAGTGTCGATGTTTGTTTATGTAAAATCAAAGACATAAATTTTTTTTCTATGCCACATAATGTCAAAAAATTGGGTTCCAGTCAGATTCTAATGAAATTATCACTATAAAGTATTGACGAAATTGCTCCAGAAGAAAGTTGTAGAACAAAATGAGATCTAATGTAGCAGTTGATTTTTTACTAGAAAAAAACCATCAATATTTGAACTTATTTAATACCGAAAAGCCCACACAGAAAATATGGAAAAACAAAATGTCAAAAATGGAGGATGAACATTCATAATTGCCACTAAATTTTTTGAGGTTATTGGTATATTTCACAAGCTGTTTAGCGACGTATCTGCTGCAGCAAATTGGATATATGCGGTCTCATTTTAAAGGCCATTTCATTCTCTGCAATTTCGCTTTGTACCACTTAGACTAATACTTCATAGTTTTTTACAACTACAGGAAAAAGTGATTTTTCAAAATTCGACACTTAATAGAAAACCCAACAACATTTTTTGTAACTTTAGGCGGGAGACATTTATTACCCATAAAAATATAATGCCTTTGTAAAATCCATTTAGAATGTTTCTAGAAAAGGTGCGTTTTTTGTTAGTTAGATGGATCTATTTATTGCAATAATAGTTTAACTTAGTATTAAAATTTCATCAAAATATTCTGATCTACAGAGGGTTCAAGGATTATAGCTTTATAATTTTGCTCTGCTACATCTATGCCATTTCTCAGAAACTACCTTTGGGTGAAATCACATATGACGAGCTTTGTGATTTTCTTTCTCGGTGGTAAGGCCACTAAACATGCAAGTACCATCTCATTAATCTGTACAGTGCGGTGGAGCCCGAGTATGTACATATCGGATACTTACACGCAACCTTCATCATGATTCAAGCATGAAAAAATATCTACACCATTAACAATCTAGCAAAATTGAAATTAGTGAAGATAATAACAAAACATTTACAAATGATAAACAGCTGGCTGAATACTGCAACAATTTTTTCATTAATGTAGGGAAGAAAAAGGCTTGCAAAATAAAACCCCTTTATATTCCCTTCAAAATTAAATATAAATCATTAAGTTCCATGTTTTTAAAGCCTGTCAACAGAAATGAGATTACTAAATATATCAGTTGATTGAAAAACAACTGTTAATCCGGTTTTGATGGAATACAAACGAAAATTATAAAACAATATCATTTGTACTTAATTGAGCCATTAGTACACATCATAAATCTAATTTTTAAAACTGGCTGTGTACCCCAATGCTATAAAACAACTGTTGTTACCCCAGTATATAAATCTGGAGATAAAACTAAAATTACAAATTTTCGTGCAATTGGAGTTATTACGAATTTCGCTAAAATATTCGAAAAGTGTCTTAAAGAGAGATTATCAAGCTTTTTATCTAGTAATAATGTTTTGTCAGAAAATCAATTTGGTTTTCGCAATGGCATCAGTACCTCAGATGCGATACTTAAGGTTACAAGAACCATTTCAAAAAATCTTGATTAAGGAAAGAAATGCATTGCAGCCTTCCTAGACCTTGCAAAGGTATTTGACACAGCACCTCATGACTTCCTTCTAGATGTCCTCGATATTTATGGGATCAGGGGTGTTGTGTCGGAGGTTTTTGCGAGTTACTTGACAGGTAGATTACAGATGACACTGTTATTGGGCCATTACTATTTATATTATATATAAACTCTTTGAAAGATATTATTCTAGAAAATGGTATGGTGGTTTCATACGCTGATAACACTGTCATGGTCTTTGTGGCGGAAACATGCGAAGAGGTATATGAACAAACATGTCTTGGATTAGAAAAAATAAAATGTTGGCTTGATTCATCTAAACTTAGTTTAAATGTGGATAAAACTAATTACATAGCCTTTTCCTTAACATCTGCAAATCAACCAAATTTTAACAGCATACAAGTAAATGGTGTTGAAAATGAAATAAAAGAGGTACCATACACCAAATACCTTGGGGTAATAATAGATCAAAATCTTAAATGGAAGCAACATGTGCTTAGGTTAACTAACAATCCACGAAAACTTGTTGGAATATTTTACATGATCAGAGAAATTTTAAACGATCACTTATTAATTTGTGTGTGGGTCATTACTCAGATACGGAATAATTGTCTGGCGAAGTTTATATGAGACAGCATTAAAACCTTTAAAAACTGTCCAGAATTACATATTAAAAATAATTTTTAGAAAAAAACAAAAGATATCCTACTTGTCATCTTTATAGTGAAAAAATACTTGCTGAAAGACCATTGTATATTTTAAAAGTCTGCTCCTTTATGTATAAAAATCCTTTAATAAGAGAATATGTTAGTAATCCTTATTCAACCAGAAACAATGCTGATAGAAATCTAATAATACCCAATAGTTTCACAAACATAAACTTAAGATCAATTGACTATATTGGTCCGAAAATCCACTGTATTTTGCGTGGGACACTGAGGATGATAAATAGATTAAAATTGTTTAGTTCAGAGTATAAATCATTTGTTGTGGCAAACCTTGATAGGTTCATAGCTCTTTGCTAGGTAAATATGCAAATGTTTAGATCATTTTTTTATGTTTTTTTTAGGAATTTCAATTCTGAGTTGGTTGATTTTTGTCCTTGTTTAACTGGCTACAAAGTAATTGGCATGACATTATAATTATATAGATTGTTAAATAATTATTTGACCTGGAGTTATTTTGTTTTATTTATTTTACTATTTTATTATTAAAATGTTATATTACACATTATTTACGATTGGTGCATACGGATATATTATTATTATTAAGAAAAACTATACATGTTTTATTTTAGTGTAATATATAAAACCACTGTATATATCGCCATCACTTTGTAATATATTGTATTGTATTAAAACAAGCATTGCTCAAGAATTAGATCTTCGGTGTTTAAAGTTTGATAGATTCCTGCACGTTGACGTTTTATTTATTTAATTACTTTCATTTCGGCAAAAAATATTATACTGGAATAGTCAAAAATTGTAAAATTACACATACATTTTCAAGGGAATGTTTTGATTTTAATTTATATTTTATTTGTAAAAATCCTTTCAGCAATTTAAGCTGTAGGTCTTAAAATAGAAATTTCAAAGCTGATATTTTCGATTGAAGTCCGTCATTATGATTTTATAAAATTTTATATCAGTATCACTCACACTGCTAAGACTATTCTAACAATACGTCATATGTCAACATCCATCAAGCCGTTTGGAATGTAGCTTGTTGAATAGAATTTTTTGCCCACATTGATATATGCGCGAAAAACAACCCTCTTTCTGAGGCAGTCATAAAAGCTATGATTAGAAGTACGTTTGTTTTTTATATATCTTTAGCCTGAAAATTCTGGTCTTTGCCTCAGGGCTACCCCTTTTCCACAAATTTGAAGTGTAGGCCTGAAAATATCACATCATTGGTTGTTTATTTTATTTTTCTTATTTACCATGTGTGAACACTTACACATTTTTAATAGCATTAACACCAGTTTATTTATTTAGTTGTCATGCATTTGATAACATTCTTACAGAGCTCAATTGAAAAGAAAGTAATAATCAATATGTTTTTATTTTAGTGAGAAGTCACATGTTCCCAACAAATTATAAATAGCAACAAGAAGCACTTCCGAGTCATAAGCACAAAAAAGAAGTAAAATGCGTAAGAGGTACGATTTTGAGCGACGCGAATCTGGAGAGGATTTATCGCTGGCCAGCAATTTTCCAACAGAGAAGAGCAGAAATAGTGTGCACAGCATACCAATCTATGTTGGTGTATTGTTAAGCTTATATCTTCTTTTGCTTTATGTGCTAGTTATTTACCTCAATGGAATACTTCCTGCTGCCTTGAGTATACATGATGAGGTATGAGAATGAGTTAAATAAATGTTATTCCATAACATGTTTCATTTGACATTTTTCAATATGAATCCATCCTACTGTATAGAACAGCACTACGTGTTGGATCAGTAAAATGACAAATATCAGGACTATGTTCTAAATAATATTTAATCTTGTTTTGAACTTAAATCTTCAATCTGCTTTTTTAGACTGAGAAACCATCTGCATTCATATCGTCGAGAGCTATTCATGATTTACAATTACTTACAAAAATGGGTCCTAGAATTACAGGGGGCTATGAAAATGAAGTGCTGGCTGTTGATTATATAACCAGAGAGATAAACTTTATTATTCAACAGGTAAAAATATATGTCGGGCATGTATGAATTAGAATGAAGCATTCTTCATAAAGTAAGGTTACTGAAATATTTCTCCCATTTTGCGTTAAACTGTCTTGACATGTATGTGTAAACATAGATCTTGTATAGTCAGTGGCACTACAAGTGTTGTAGCAAGACCACTTGTCTTTCAGTAGAAATAATATGAATATCTGAACAAAAAAATCATTACATATTTATCATATTCAAATAAATACTCATATATAGATGTATATAATGAATGACTAAAATTGTTGTTATAATCTGTAACCACTATATAGGCGCATCAGAATCAGAAGATAGAATTAGATGTCCAAGTGGTGAGCGGCGCTTACACTCTGGACTTGTTGCATGTGGACCAGATTAACGCATACTCCAACGTACAAAACATTGTCGTGAAGGTGCATGGATCGAATGACTCTGAGAACAGCCTCCTAGTCAATGCGCATTTTGACTCTGTGCCTACCAGTCCAGGTGAGCTAGACAGTTTTTGGATCCAGTGTTATGAGCAATAGATACAGTACGGTACGGTAATAAGTTGGGTCTTTCCTTCCCAGAAACAAAGCAAATTTGCACTAAAATAGCAGCGAAAAAGTAAAAAAGAAAAATTCTCACTATTCATTTGATATGAAATTTCAAATACTGCCCTGTCACGCGCTGCTCGTAAATACTAATCGAAGTCACCATTCAATTCAAAAACGCAAGTTTGATAACTTCATCCTCAATTTGTAACATTTGGAGCTGTCTAGATCTTTTACTGTGTCTACAATTCATTCAAACAGCCTTTATAGGAGGTAGACAAATTTACGCGGCTCAGGAATATCCAGGAAAACGATTTGCATACTCTTGCGAACTACGAGTAGCATCTAGACACTAACCGCAAACTAACATGAAATCAATAACTCCGTTATTGTTACAGCATGTGCAAATTTCGGTCAAACGAATGGTTTGAACGAGTGAAAATTATACAGCTTGCACTAAGAAATTGTTAACATTTGAAATAAATGATCAAAGTAGGACTTCTTGCTTTAAAGGTGGGAGTGACGATGGTATAAACGTAGTTGCAATGTTGGAGGTGCTACGCAAACTGTCTAAAACTGCTGAAAGGCCATTGCACAACGTCATACTGCTATTTAATGGAGCTGAAGAGACGCCCTTGCAGGCTTCTCATGGCTTTATCTCCAAACACAAGTGGGCGAAAGGCTGCAAGGTATTTTATATTTATAACTTATTATGTACTTGCTATCTAAATGTATTCTACCAATTAACCAAGTTTGGTAAGAGACTCAGATTAATAAAAAAACAGATTAAAAAATATTCATTCACATAAAATATTCTGATCAGCAGCAGATGATCCAAGTAAGGATGAATGGCATCTCTGTTGAGAAATATAACATTTTTGTTTTCAGTATCAAGAGCAGAGCCAATCATTTTTGGATCCACCTACATTTCAGATAAACTTCATTCAAGTTATCTTTTACTTAGACATTCTGTGGCGTCAAAGCAAGCAGAGTATTGTTATTCGAAAACTTGATTACATATCACAGCTTATGACATACCCTAATTTGACCGTATTTTACTGGTATGTATAACGTTTAAGGCAGGCCTCTCCAACTCAGGTGCCACCAGAGCAGCGCCGAGCACCTCTCGCATCACAGTGCTGCGTGGTGACTCCGTGAAGCTGGGGGGAGGGATTAAGCAGCGGCATACGCATCGCGTAGCACCCTGCGAATAGAGATGATCTGGGAGCTGGTGGGATTGAGTATACCTTCATCGCGGATTCGACTAAACTTAGTGATATGTAGTTTTTAAGTAAACGAACAAGAAGAGCTCAGTAAGACGGAGCGCATCCTGCCAGAAGTACCTGTCATACCGACTTAAAGATATAGCGTGACAAGAGAACTTCACCGTCCTCACCGAATCCTATGAAACCTACAAGGTTCGATGGAAATTTTAGGCTCATTTGGAAAAACATGGTATGACAAACTGATTTCCGTCAGAAGTTTCTGTCGTACCGACTGAAAGCTCTAGCAGGCAATGCAAATAGATAAAAATGATACATCTTGTTTGTATGCTTCATGCTTGCATTTAAAAGCTCATTTGAGTCTGTCAGTTTGACAACAGGCTTCTAGATATTTGAAAGTATATGCAAAATGAATATGAAACGTCATGACCGTTGATATACATATAGGTTATGGTAAAATCCTACCGTCACGTTGTATCTTCAAGTCGATATGACAGGTACTTTCATCGGCATAACAAGCCCTTTTTGTTCATTTACTTAAAAACTACATATTATTATTAATTTTACTCGAATCCGCGATAAGGTTTAATTTCGCCGGCTCCGAGCCCCAACGGAAAATGAGTGGGGTGACATTCGTATTGACATTTGAATTGGTCTGATCTTTCGATACAAGTTTTCTAATATTTGGTACAGTGGCTTGAGCAGTGGAAATTGTGAGTATCGCTTCTAAGTACACATCAAACAAAGACCTGTTTTTAGTTTTGTTCAAATTCATTAAAGAACACATCTGCTCGCAGAAGTACGTTGTACCGAACATGGAGCAAATTTCCAAGGCCAGTGCAAGAATTTTGGGAAAACCTTGATAAAACGAAATTAAATTACTGTTGTAGTTTCGAAAAGGACTGAAGATGGGGTCGTAAAAATCTCATTTGCATAAACATCTCAACGTCGTCAATGATTTAAAACAAATCTTTAGCACTTTTGCGCAGCTTAACCAGCGCGTAACACAATAAAAGGGTATGTCAGCGTAAGTTGCTTCCAGGTCTTTTGAAAATACTTCAAACTGTCGTGGTTGAGACCATGCTTTCTGCAGAAATTGACACGTTATTACTACATCCTTAATAGATTAGAAATTACGGAAGGTTTTTGCACATAGTTGTTCCTGATGTAATATGCACTATACCGATTATATCGGAGGTAGCCCAGCGTCGCGTACTTTTATTTTCATTCGCCCAGTAAAACCATGTGCTTCCGATAACATTGCTGGCGCTCCATCAGTTACAACACTTCGCAAACTTTTGAGTAGTATACCCATTTCATTCATTGTGTATTCTACAGCATCAAAAATATGTTCTCCGGCCATTGTATCTTTGAGCGGGATAACGTCTAGTAGTTCGTCGGTGATAGTAAAGACTATTTCGACACCTCTAACGAAAACAGCTAATTATGCTGTGTCAGAAATGTCTTTACTTTCATCTAGAGCTATATAATACTGCACAAAATGGGCACATTTTCCCGCAGTTGTTCTTCTAAATCTGCACCAAGTTCAAGTATCCGACGAGAAATTGTTTGCTCGGACATACTAATTGTCTCAAAGTTGCTTACAGGAGATGGGCACAATATTTCTGCACACTCCACTAAGCATTCTTTGACAAGTGCACCGTCAGTAAATGGTCTCCCACTTTTTGCGATATTCAAAGCAACAATATAACTTGCATTACGACACCATTAATAATAATCAACTACGACCAAATTAATAATTACCTCTTCAGAACTTAGAAGGGCTGGCCTCAATACCGTGTGATAAATTAAACATTTTGCTTTTCCATCAGTATTTACAAAAAATAGGATTCATCCATGCAGGATTGAATGACATCGTTTAAAAAAAGATGCACGTTAAGACGCTAAAAAACCTGTCCACTTTGTCTTGTCCTATTAAGAAATGGCCCGCGCTCGAGACAGTCGGCTAATATGTTTCTCTCTGTCGCGACAGCTGTGCGGTCGAGGTTGAGGGGGAACGGCACCGGTGCCGCTGGGTTCAGCACCGGAGCGCACCAGCACCAAGTGCTCGAGTTGGAGAGGCCTGGTTTAAGGTATAGCACCTATAATATTCCCTTGATTTTTTCAACGTTGACATCGTATGCTCGTAAATGCACGTTAGCCCCCTGCTTCATTTTATCTATTTTTATTTAATCACCTATGTTTTTATCTACGTTTAATTTTATTATCTCCTGCCTCTTATTTATTCTTTCTATTGTCCCACTGCTTAACCGCTAAATTTTAATTCATTGTGTATTGTTTCTTTTTATAATTATGAGGTTCGTATATACGAGTATTTAAGGTCTGGTTGTTTCTTTTTATAGAATCTTGTATCTATAAAATATACGTTTCAGTGATGTATCAAGTTCATTTACGTTGATATTTTTGCGCTCGTTAGTTTTTACTGACGAATTGAATGTCATTTTTATAATTGACAATATATAGCTATCTAATTGTCCAATTGCAGGTGGTGCTAAACCTGGAGGCATGTGGTGCAGGTGGCAAAATGATCCTCTTCCAGACAGGTCCGCAAACTCCCTGGTTGATGCGCTACTACGCAACAGTGCCCCATCCATACGGTCAAGCTGCTGGAGAAGAGATCTTTCAGACTGGATGGATACCGTCAGACACCGACTTTAGGGTCTTCAGAGATTTCGGAGGGCTTGTTGGTAAATTTCGTAATTGTATAATTTGGGCATTGGTGTACTTCTGCAATACTGTATTTATGCTTGAGTCACAAGCAGGCCTGGAGCCTAAATTCCCGTGGGTATACGGTGGGGGAATCTAGGGACGGACGGGATATTGTCCGGCTTGTAGCAAATGAACAATTAGGACATCCGTAGCAAGGAGAAAAAGATATTTCGAGTCCCAGGATGGAAATTGAACCCGCGCAGCTAAGGCCACTGATTAGTAGGCTGCAACAAATTTGAATAGGTTAGGAGCCAAGCCTGCCTATTTACATGCCAGTGTTTGCCGCCAAAAAAATTTGGAGTCAATGCATTTTTTTGTTACCTACCAGTGTAATAAACCGATACATTGGTCTACACTCTCTTCTTTGGAAATGGTATTCAAGTAATCCATTGTATTCTCATATAGGAGAATAATAATGTGGTGCGATGTTAATTATTGTTAATAAGGCAAAGAAGCGCAAGTAATTATTTATTAACGGTACAGCATTAGACAATTCAAGCTTAATTCATAACGATGAATGGTTAAAATACGAAGAATAGCCTTGGAACAGCGGCAGTGGTGGATATACTTGGGCACTTGAACTTCATTCGCCAGATAAATTATATGGTAATTTCTGCTGTTATATCATTGGCACTATGTTAATCCAATAAGAAAGATTAGAAGTATGTAATTTAATTAATTTGATATGACAGAATGATGACTTTTTCCAAGAACTTTTAAATTCAAGATAAGAGTATAGAGTCTCAAAGTTAAGGATCTGTTTTGAATGGTTCAATATCATATTAGGTATGAATCATTGTAAGCCAACCTCAGATCGAGATTCAGCACTCAAAAAAAAAACATCTGGGATGAAAAATTAAGACAATTTCACAACCGTTCAGGTAAAAGCCCAACGTTGAGGTACATGCCCTTCCGCTACGCGAAAAAGAATCGACTTTCATTCAGATTCAACTGCTTTTTAATAGCCACAAAAACATTCGACAGTTATCTGGAACACTAGAACCGTATGGAGACCTGTGCATTTTTATGATTTCGCAGAAAAATACCGATTCAATGCGAAATCTCAACAACAGTCAAACTGGCGTCTTAAGCCATATGATCGACTAGTAATATGTCCTTGGATCTGACTTACTAACTACAATATCGAAGAGCAATAAGATCGTATATCTGCAATTCTATCTAGTTCAATTTTGTTGGCGCTGCCTCAACCACTACGCCATCGGACTGCCGCCAGTATATTTGGACTGTTTAACTACTTTTTATTTTTCAGGCATGGATTTCGCGTTTTACGTCAACGGTTACCGGTACCACACGAAGTACGACGATTTCGAGAATATCCCTCCGGGGTCGTATCAGCACGTCGGCGATAACCTGTTGCATCTAGTGAAAAGCTTATCCCGGGCCCCTGAATTGACCTATGAGGTTCCTGCGCTGGGCAAGGTGGTATTCTTCGATTTTCTGGGTACGCCGGTAGGGTAGCGCCTTTATGTCGAATATTTTTTCAAAAGCTCATAATACTCATATATATTAATAATACTGGTAAAATAGTCAGTTTTGCAGTTACCTGGTTATAATCACCCTCTCTTGAAGGAAAATGACAAAAATCTTAAAATCAATAGAGTCAATGATACAAAATATTTACTTATTTAGATCCCCACTTGAAATGGGACATACATATTACCTATATATCAAAGAAAATAGGGTTCATAGCATATAAAATAAAATTTCTAACTGGTATATTAACAGAATATTACCTACGGATAGTAGTCGAGCCCCACATAACATACAGTATAGTTGTATGGGATGCTACATGTACGACTTATATTAACGATTTAGACGTGCTTCAAAGAACAATTTTTAAATCAATTTCAAATAGGCTTTCTGCGCATTGTTAGTGTTTTTCCTAATTTTATTTAGCACACGATGGGCACTCAATATGATCTTTACAATTTCTCTTACCTTCCTGGCTTTTCCCGAGAAGTGAATCAATTTGCCTACCTTTTTCGACAACATCCAAGATTTTTGGCCCAGGAGCAAGGGGATAAATATTATAATAATTCTCTATTTGCACACAGGACTTTTCATGGTTTACTACACAACCTCCATAGCTACAATAATTAATTTAGCGGCCGTGCTGACATCCATAGCAGTAGCAGCCTACGGAATTACTAAACTAGGTAGATATTTATAAGCTTCCTACTAGTCTTGTTTGAAAAAAATTCAGTTCTACGCCATGCTTTTGTTCAGTAATGATTCTGTAATGTATCGAAAACGTTGTACGTAGTTTTTCTTTTTCCATACAGGTTTTACGAAGACTTCTTCAAAATATGTAGCAACCACATTTTTGGCATTGATGGGCGGTTGGATCTTGGCCACTATAGTCGTCTTCCTGACAGCCCTACTTCTGGATAAATCTGGAAGGGCTATGACCTGGTACGCTAATCCATGGCTAATATTCGGTCTTTATGTGGTGCCATCTGTTCCTGCACTAGCTCTACCACTTTTGTTCACAGACTATAAGGTTAGTGCATTCGTTTTTAAACTGACTAAATTACTATCAACAGGTATTATTCACCCCTGGGAACATTCTCCTGGACATTTCCAGTATTCCACAAAAATTGATGAATAAAACATGACCTACACGTCCTCATATACAATTTAATATCCGAATACCACAAAATCTCGGCAACAATGCATTTTTTTTCGAAGGTTCTAAAAAAGTTTCAGGATATAACAAACAGCTTTTGATTATAGTTGTAGTCACCGTTCTTGGCGTCCTCTTTTGATACGGAAATAAATCGAGTAATCTCCCACGTAGGGCCCTAATAAAAGCTTATCAGCTAGGATATATTTTACAAGTTTTAGAATAACTTCTGTTTACATAAAGTGAAAAAGCGCTCGCGCAAAGTGTGATTTATAACCTGATGAAAACAGAAGTGATATAAAAAATCTTTTGTCTGTAGTTGTCTCCTAGTTGATTAGCTTTTGCCATACGCGGAAAATGACACAGTATAGTTTAGTTTCAAAAAAATTATCGATTTGAAATTCAAATGTTTCCTAACCTAAACCTGCAAAGCCCGCCCAAACCGTATCATAATAAGATGCTACTAGAATCGTATCCGACACGTCACTTAATGATAAGCGTTCTGTTTTAGTTCAATTTTTGATATTGACGCTATTGCCATCCATTTCATAGGTAGATAGGTAGATTTTTATTGTTCACGTTTCGTAAATTTAAAATAAGTGACAAGTCAAAGAAGAAAATAATAGATAAATAAAACATATTGAAATCGAAGGGAATCAAACAATATTTAAACCTTCGTAATTAAGTCTTAAAAATAATGAATTCTCTGACATTCAAATGCGAGGACCGAGTATAGCAAATTACATGACATGTTATGATGTAGTGGACATTGCCTCATATTACATGCAAACAATAATATATCGATACGATACTAGTCTGTTAATTTTATAATGAAAAACAAACTTTAATGTTGTTTATATTTTGTGTATGTATTATGTTTTAGAGTATGTCACTGAGCGTGCGCTGCCAAATTCAAGCCCACATGATCCGAATGATATGGACCGTGGTCCTACTGATCGGCACTTGTCTGAACATCCGTTCTATGTATGCCATATTTGTACCAGTCTTATTTAACTCACTCGGATTCGTCATCATCTACGTCTTTAGGCTGCAGTACTCAGGTATAAATTCAAATACTTTTAAAACTTATTTCAAGAAACCACCAACACTTCATGTATTTGCATTTACTACCGCGTACAGATCAGTAACTTCTAACAGAGACACAGGCGGGACTAAAATTTTCAGGAGGAAACATGAGAAGAGGATGAAAACTCAATTGTTCACAACGACTTGAAAAATTAAAACCATGTCACTACTTACAGAAATTAATTTTCCAGAGTAACTGAGAAGTTACTTCCAAAACATCACTTTAGGAACACATATTTCAAGCGATAAAGTCACTAAAGTCAGATGCAATTGAAATTCACTATCTATCTTTGTCACTGATCTGATTGTGGCTACCAGTTGTTCTCTTTCATATTGTAGAAATCATTAATGATTGTTTAGAACAAGGGTACTTTCTCACAACATGGAAACAGGCTGTGATTGTACCAGTCTCCAAAAAGCTTAAACGACCTGAATTCAACGACCAAAGACCACTACCAAGTGGTTTTGTCTAAAATACTGGCTTTAGACAAAATTGTAGTATAACATCCGCGCTTCTTAATTTGCAAGATAATCTTTTAGGAGCCTTAGATAAGAAAAATCGCATGATCTATAGATTTTTATAAGTAATCAAACCTTACAGTTATCCGATTCTGCAAAAATTCTTGGTGTTTTTTTGACACAAAAGATTTATCGAAAGTCTTTCGCACAAAACCTACGTATGGCATGTATTCTAATTGCAAACAAATATCTACTAAAATTCAAGTTACGTAAAAAATTATGTGAAACCTTGGTTATATCTGTTCTAACTTACTGTCAGGTAGTATACAATCCATTTTTAGACAGCTATGCCAAAAACCTAATTCAAATCATCCAATATAATTGTGTTCGTTTTATTTTTGGACTCTGGGAAAGTTGTTCATATATCAGTGAAATACCAAGTACTCAATTGGTTGAACATAAATAATTTGGTTAAATATCACTACTCAGTTTTCATCCATAAATTATTACTTACGTCTGAATCGCCTTACTAGCAAAAACATCAGTTAACAATGATATTCGTTCTAGACCACTCAGAGATAAAATTATCACAATGCCCATTATTCAAAAACCCTATTTCAACACAGTTTTTCCTATAATGTTGCCACCGTTTATAATTATTTACCAAAAGTGTATAAGCAATGCTCATTACCAGCTTTTCGACAAAAAGTGAAATTATCATTAATTCAATGACTTGATTACTCAAACATACTTTTTTTACTTTCCTAAACATTTTTTTGCTTTTCTACTTTTTGGTGTACTTTGCTTTGGAAAGTATGCTAGTTTTCACTTTATTGTAATAATTTATTACAAGACATTTAAATTTGTCGTGCATGATATTTCATTTTTATTAACATCGGATAATGAAATATGGTTAACTGTAAGAGTAGCAAACGCTAAATTTCGGCATTTAGGTCTTACCTTAGCTGCATTACAAGGTTGTAAATAATAATAATAATAATTATTGTTATTATTATATAGCGCATGGTTTACCTTTAGTTGGATAGTTAGATGCTCCTGTTATTCAAAATAAATTACAGTTCATTGAACTCCTAAATGCATTTTATTGGCAGTGCGAAAATGGCAATGGATATATTTGGCAAGCCTGTTGATACCAACGTTGACGTTGATGTACCAGACACTCATCACTTTCCTCATGTTTGTACCATTGATGGGCAGGATTGGATCAAACAGAAACCCTGAAATAATCATTGGCGTAATGACACTGCTTTTCACACTTTTGATTCTCTCTCCTTATGTAAGTATATTGAATATTTGGACATATTGAGGAATGAGAATGTAGACAACCACAAGATGTTTCTTTTTAAACTTGTACGTTGTTTTAACAATATTGTTCTCTTTCAGGTGGCTTTGTCTAATTTGCTACGGAATCTGAAACACTTCCTGATTGGTATAGTGGGCGTATATCTTTTTTTTATAGCAATCGCCTACACGCCATTAGGCTTTATGTACAACGGCGGTTTAAAAAATCCGGCACCACAGCGCTACTGGATTATGGTTGGTATTATTATCGCAAAAGAAAAGGTATATTTTAATTTTGCGAAATTTTCTAGCATACGACTCGCAGCTTTTACAACGTCTCTGGGAATCTCGACAAAACCGACTCGGGTTTTTTCTTACTGAACATGGACAGAAACTCACCAAAAGCAGTAGCACCATACGTAGACGAAATCTCAAAAGCAAAACCCTTAGAAGATGATTGCCAGAAATATATTCTCTGTGGGCTTCCTCTATCCCACGCCAAAATGGTACAAATCATGTAAGTTGCCATAAAAGATAATCTGTACAAATATTCACGTTTTCCGCTTCCAAATCAATATTCGTTATTTGTATTGATCTGAATGTGCCAATCTAATTGGAATTAGCGAGAAATTAAGAAACAAAATTTAATTTGAAGTATGCTACATTTTGAATTAATTTGATGATTTCTGTAATAGGGAATACAGTACTTGGATTCCGGCTGGTCAGCCCGTGATACATGAACCGTTACATTTCAAACTTGATTCCAAATATGAAATTGAGCCTGGTACTATTAGATACACCATCACAATCTCAGGTAAGTCGTTCGTCAAACTTGATAAATCTCAAGCTGACAAAAATATTTTTTTCTACGACCGCTCTAAAATGTATACACAGGAGTTAGAGGTCGCTTTTTCATTTGATAAACCCACTACATCACAAACAATTAAATTGCATGGCATGGTGGTTCCTTTCTATCTGTCTGAGTATGCCATTGCTTGGTTCTTAAGACGTCTCCTAGTAACATGACAATTTTGATACCAGACGTTACCACCAGGTATTTCCTGGTCGAGATGCAAGTCAAAATTATGCCAGATTATTTGAACTGGTATTAACCTCTAGTTTAACGTCTTTCTCTATGACCGACTTTGGGGTGTAAAATGCATTTTCATGGATCATCAAACTTATCCATAATTGTCCTTAGCACTATGCAGGCCCTATGGAATCTTCCTCTTAAGTCTTATTGTTCTTTTTTTCCTCAATAAATTGGCCACAAAGGAATAAGGCCGGTGGATAATCTGGCACGGTATATTTCACAACATATCCGAATTGTTATTTTCACAGTAGGTATGTTTAGGTCATGTTAAATCATTTCATTCCATTGGCAACTCGATTTTTTTTTCTCGAAAATTATCCGAGATGTCCTGTTTTTATACCTGACTATAATGAAGTAAATAAAAAGGTCAGCTAAATACAAAAAATCAGCCTCGTCGGGAAAGTTGCCGAAAAATTCTGATATAATTTATGCAGGGGTGGGGGTAGTTTTCACCCTTTTCGAACCCTTTAGAATTCGTAAAAGTCAAATATTAGGACGTCAAGCAAAACACATGTGTTCTAAATTTCATTCAAATCGGACTATCGGTTCCAAAAATATCTGAAAAATGTGTTTTAAAAAGAAAACTTTCACGCACTGTAAGGGACAAACGAAACACTTTTGCCTAGAGGTACATCATGTCCAATCGACTTATTTTGAGTCTAAACATAGGCAGTACTTCTTTTTGCACGGAATACTGGACACCCTGTATAACATACTGAATTTAAAAAATGGCCGAAAGCTATTCACCATAAGGTTTATGTGAGTCTTTTGCTAAAACTCGTTATGCCATTAAACTATATTTTATCTCTACGTGGTACAAGGTGTTCCGGAAGTCGGTGCTTGCCTTTTTGGAAACAACTAAGCCTGTTTTAAAAAAAGTAATGTGCACTAAAACATCAGCCAAATATAAAATATGAAGAGAAGTGCTGTTAATTTGATAAATTTCGAGACTGTCCAAATCTCCCTCTGTGATTGCCTCTACATCCCTACAAATTGCGTTTATTTGAGATAAACCTACTAGGAAAATGTTTTTATTTTGACAAGACGCTATGTAAAGTCCTAAGGTTGAGGACACCGTATATTCTTGAATGATGTTACAGGTCCGGACCGCTTGGGCATCTACCTGGTACCCTTTAAGAATGTAATGATGACCAACATGACATTGATGGATACTTCGGTGACCACGATGGCCGGTTATCCATATAGCCAGAATCGTCGGCTTTACTTTGTTCTCTTCACCTACGGTAAAGACTACGCCCCTCTAAGGATCACTTTCGACCTGACAGGGGCTGAATTGGATAGTCCGTCTGCAGACGTCGTTGTTACGGCCAAGTATGTGCACGATAAGAAAATCGTAAAGACCCCGCAGTATGAAAAGTTCCTGAGCAGGTTCCCCGATTGGGCAGATCTCACTGCTTGGCTGGGCGCCTATTCGGCGTACGTTATTTAGGTAAGTGATGGAATGAGGAAATGCCCAGTTGTATCTTTAGATGAAGCAAACACCACGCATTCGTGAGATACATTTCCGACTCGATCTTTTAGATCCTACGCTACTGGCGATTATGAGATATTATGTTCTTCCATGCTATTTTTACGCTCTGAGTGGTCAAAAATAAAACATGTAAAAAGCATAAATAAAAAATGCATTAATGTTTGATTTCGATAAAATGAGCTGTTTTCGAGAAAATCGATTAACTGCAGTCATTTCCGCGAAAAAGTATTGTAATCACGCAAAATTTCGAAAATACTGTTTTTTATCTTGCATGGCACTCAAAACCATGTCACTCATTTCATCGGTCGGTCTGTCCGCTAATTGTTGGCTCGTCTATAAGTTGGTACTGCTCGAATTTAGTGAAATTTCCACACAAGGTCACTATTATGCCAAGGAATTTGTGATTTTTTAAAAATCGATCAACTGGCGACGGAGCTAAAGGCAGAAAATAATGAAAATAAAAATATCTAAAAATTGTTTTTTTTTTTTTTTGGCGATTCAGAAGCTCCCGATCAGTTCAGACATTTTTGGAGTTGTTAAATATTAGGGGGTCAATTTCCTGATGTCACTATATTTACGCGCTTCCATCCCGGCAATTCTACTCACCTATTAGACATTTTAGATAGATCTTCCCGTAGTATATTTGTCCTTAAGACTGATTAGTAGAATAATTTCCAGAACCGCTTCGAGAAACATGTACGAGGGTTGTCTCAAAACTAAACTTCTGAACGGTGAACTTTGCCGCGTGTGACGCTATGCGAAATCTGACAACACCGTCGTGTTTGCCAGGTCCCCTACAACCGTCAGGTGCGAAATTCGTGCGGTCATCCGATTTTTGCACGCAAAAACATTACCACCCATAGAAATTCATCGCCAGTTGAGTGAAATATATATAAGCATGCAACATGTCCTCAAATGGACGTCTGACGATACGGTCCTTATAGCCATTCCTGTCGCAACGTTGCTGTTGCTTGTCAAATGGCTGGGAACTGGGGAAGAATTTTTGTATAAGCATGTTTGACTGAATTGATCTACTTGATTCATTTGTTATAGACGTTCGTAGTTGACTTATGCTGAACATGAAGTGATGACATTTTTTTCATAACTACGTACGATTTAGATGTCCCCCAGGTTGCTGGGTGGTAACTCGATGCAAACTTGTTTAAACGATTTAAAAAACAGGTTGCAAAAAATTGTTTTCTTCGCCCCGGAAAGCTTTTCGTTTTTTTTTTTTTCATTATTTTGAGGTGTTGTACATGCGTTTGTACGCCTCGATCATACGATGAGTTTTACTAAGAACGTCTGTAATGTACAAGCAATAACTTGCCTTTTCATTATTGTATACGTCCTTGATCTTATTTACTAGATATCTATTTTCAAATATTTTATGTGAAATTTATAGCATCTATTTTCTTGGTAACTGATTTTTGGTTTTGCAGGCTGACAAAGGACAAGGATGTTGCAAGCTTCAATCCATCATCACAGCATTTTGATGTCTATTTATCTGATAGATGGTACTGCATTTTCTTGCCAAAGATATTATTTATTAGATTCTAAGCATATTTTGATGTTTTTTCAAAATACATTGGCTTATAATATAGAATGTGTATGTGATAAGCTATGTATGTACTTATGATGGAACGTTTATCTTAATAAAATGATGTATTTTTTAAAATACTTGATTCATTATACATCTTCCTTATACAGGGTGGCGCATCGAAAACGAAACAGACGCATTTACTGCCAGCTCAGTTTTTTTTTTGGAAAAACGCTCAGACCCGTCGATTTTGTTTTCGAGGGGGACACAAGTTTAGCAAAAAATCGCGTTAACACGTGCAGCCAATGGTCGGCGATGACACCAACCCTAAAATCTTAAATGGAAAGGGGGGTCGAGTGATACCTTATTTTAAAGGTCTTTCAATTCCCTTTATAATGATGTAAATAAAATACATGAGCTTCAGTTCAGTAGTTTTGAAGATTTATTGATTTAAAGCTTAAAGTAGACTTTTATAGGTACATCAGATTAGTTTGTACTAATTTCAGAAGAAATTTTTACTAAAAGAATTTACTTAATAAGTAAATGCTTTTCTTCACTACTCTCATGGTTTGTTTATCATTTTGTTGTTGCAAATAGCTATTGGAGCGTTTTTTTGTGGCGAAAAAGTTATTTCTTGAAGAAAGATAAGGAAATATCTCGTACTTATTTTAAATAGGAATTTAGTACATAGTTTGCGATTGATTTGACCAAACTTTGTTGCTAAAATAACTTGTAACGCTTTATTACATAAATTAACCATGGTATATTCCACAGCAGAAAGAGTTGAAATTAGCGAAATATTTTTCGGAAATAATCAGTGCGCTATTAGAACAGCGGAAGTATTTAATGAGCGACATGAGAACAGTAACGTGCATCGAAAATATGTTCTAGAACTTGTAGCTAAATTTCGGGGAACTGGGTCAGTCGCCAATAAAAAACGCAACATTGTAAATCACATAAGGAACGAAGCAATAGAAGTGGAGGTTTTAGGGCAAGTTTATGTAGATCCTACGTTAAGTACCCGCAAATTGGAGACTGTGTGTGGTGTTAGTTGACGTACTGTCCAACAGATTCATCCGTATAAAATTCACCTGATTCTAGAACTTAATGAATACGATTTTGATCGGCGATTACAATTTTGTGAATATATGAGTGAACGAATTATAAACGATGAACATTTTCTATTCAGCACTTGCTTTTCCGACGAATGTTCATTTTTCTTAAATGGCGTAGTAAATCGTCATAACTGCCGAAATTGGTCCTATTCTAATCCCAGAATTTCTCATGAGGTACATACACAGCAGCCACAAAAATTAAATGTTTGGGCTGGTATTTTTGGCGATCACTTAGTTGGTCCTTTTTTCTTACCTGGAAATTTGACCGGTGAAATGTATTTGGAATTACTGGAAGAAGCCATAGATCCTGCATTAACAGCCATAAATGAAAATCAGAATGCGGTACATTGCGAATAGGTTGATGTTCCAACAGGATGGTGCCCCACCACATTACGCATTACGTGTTCGACAATATTTAGATCAGACGTTTCCAGATCTATCGATTGGTAGAAGAGGTGCCATTGAATGGCCCCCAAGATCGCCAGATTTATCACCTTTGGATTTCTTTATGTGGGGTCATTTAAAAAGCAAAATCTATGCTACTCAGCCAACATCATTAAAAGACCTGCGACAAAGAATTGTGAATGAGTGCCTTCAAATTACTCCTCAAATATTGCAAAATGTGCGGCAACGTTTTGAGCAAAATCTTTATTATTGCATGGAGAGTCATGGTGGCCATTTTCAACATTTACTTGCCTAACGGGTCAGTTCATTCTTCATTTTTGAATTACTTTGCTGCCAAATGTATTGATCTCCACTAATGATGATGTATTAGTTTTATTTAAGCTTTGAATCAGTAAATCTTCAAAACTACTGAATTGAAGTACATTAATTTTATATCATTATAAAGGGAATTGAAAGACCTTTAAAATAAGGTATCACTCGACCCCCTTTCCATTTAAGATTTTGGGGGTGGTGTCAACCCCGCTCAGGGGGCTGCACGTGCTAACGTGATTTTTTTCCAAACTTGTGCCCCCCTCGAAAACAAAATCGACGGGTCTGAGCGTTTTTCCAAAAAAAACCGGAGCTGCCAGTAAATGCGTGTTTCATTTTAGATGCGCCACCCTGTATAACACGCATCTAAGATAAGGACCCCTCATCAATAACGCCTCAAAGTACCAGGCATAAAACATAATGGAATTTGGGTCAATTTAAATGGCAATTCGTAGTGATATAGTTGTCGTCGCAGTTCTTGGCGGTTACGTCATGAACGCCATATGAAATAAGTAAACAGATAGAGTCTCCGTACCATGGGCGGATCTTAATTTTCCTAACTGATAATAAAATAATTTTCCTAACAGTTTTCATTCTCTTCCTGGAAATACCCTAATAAATTTAGCACGAGGTGTAGGCCTTCTCCATTGATCGTATAGGATGTCAAGTATTGGTGCCTCAGCCTCTGCGGATACGCCTGCCTGAACCATTTTACGAAAACCAAATCATTTTTAATGTACCCCAGGGGATTTAGCGATAATATAATAAAAATCACGTGGACACGCACAATATATAAATATATGTGCTTATCTCCTTACGCTATTTTCGCAGGGGTGAATGCAACCTCAAAGTCTCAATTACAGCATAGACATGAGAAAAATGGCAATCATGAATACTCCATTTAGCAAAAGGTAAGGCAAAATTGTCCGGTGACCAAATTATGTTTTGTGCCTGGTACTTTAAAAAACAATCTTTTAGCTTGAAATATGAGCTCCTTGAACCCTGGTCCCCGCACGGTGTACAGTAGGTATACATTACCGAGTCTGACCAAATCTATGACCGCTTAAAAATTCGGTTCAGGTTCACCAAGGCCCGTTGAAAAATTTGTCGCCAAAACTCATTAGCTAATGTTCAAATATATATTTCAAATTAAACATACATAAATACTGCACAACATTTATAAAAAACAATTCCAAATATGGTAACCAACCAGTCTTTTTGACGCTTAATATTTATAGTTTATTTTGTAATTGCAGATTGACTAGCAGATCCTCGTTTATACATAATGTAGGAATGTATAAATCTAGAAAAGAAAAAATGCCATCACAACAATCCAAATATATTTTGACATTACATTAACATACACACCTAATCTTGTTTTGACATCATCAAGTTCTGTTTTGTTAATCTCGAACGACACTGCGTTTTCTCTAAAAATTAAAAAAAACATGTATTTTAAATTATAAATTAATTCTCTGACTAACCTCCTAGCCTTTTTGAGAACAGACATTGCACACAAGCTATTGATGCAATTGCTCAAAGTATCCAGATTCAGAGTATATGGATGCACAAAACTCTCTTTATTATTTATAGCATCCTCAAGTATTCGTTGTACGTTTGCTAAGATTGTTTTTTGTTCGCATGCCAGTGGCAAGTGCTGAAATAAGTTAACATTAAAAATTCTTGTTTAAACATTAACACAGGGAGTGTTGGATTGCTCATAACGTCTCTACTTGCCTGTAGTACTAAGAATACTGTTGAGTAAGACAGCAAAAATGGTTTGAAACTGCTATGCAAAATCTCTTGTAATTCTACATTTCTCCCTACGATATATGTGTCGCCTGCTAATATCAATGCATTCACAGCAATGGCGTTTTCTAGAGCAGATTCGTATGTCTAGAAAATTGACATATCAATATAGCAAAAGTCACTAAATACTAAAGCTCTACACAACATGCAAGGGCGCTAATCCGAAATTGTATTCTTTCGAACTGACCAATGACAGACATGAATTCTTATCAAAACGTTCCTATTTTCTAAATTCAAAACCTCAGCCTCCGAAAGAAAGTCCGCTATTTTTAGATTTAATCAACAAACATAGAATGTCACAACTCGAAAACACGTGAGGACCGACTTCATTGTGAACTTTCATTTAAGTCAGAAGCTTCGGATTTACAGAATACAAACAAGTCATTGCTGCGAGTTAGAAAGAATACAGCTGATAATATTAGAATGCCTCTTTTCGGCTAAAATAGCAATTTTTGTACAGAAAAGCAATAACAACATAATACATACTATGTGTTCCTTTTGGGGAGGAAAAACGAACTCCATTGCATATAAGGATCTCAAAAAATGGTATCTGACCCATAAATCCTCTAGAACAATAAAAATTAGAAATGTTTTCATTTAAGATATTATACGATCATCTACAAGGCATGTGTAACAAAGAACCCAAATTTGAAGAATTGACTAGTGAAAATGTCTAAGGTACTTTCAAAATGAACGCGAAAATATAACTTCTAAAAGGGTTGTAATGAATTTAATGTTTATTACAGAAATATTACCTTTGTTCAATGCCCCCTCTTTCTGGATTACAGTAAACAAAACAGCTAGATCAAACAGGTAAAACAGAGTAGGATTCACATATATTTGGAGTGCTACAAATGGTACAGAGTACGTCATTGTTTGGTCACTCAGCTGATGTGCTTTCAATTTCTGTATGTTGACTTTCCCTTGATGGATTTGAGTTTCGACTAAAGAAACCTACAAATTGATTTGATTAACGCACCACTCATATCCACACAGATTATCCCTACACTCCAAAGAACGAGATATGAAAGCGTTACCAGTAGTTTTACGGTACCCGGCAAAATCTTATTATATAAAAAAATTAAATGTGGAATAAAAACATTTGAATTTTATTTCATTTAGAATAAAGCATACTTACTTCATTGTTAGAGTTGAAATGTATTATGTTTCGATGCACAACCAGACATTCCCTTATTTCCTTTTCCAGATCATCACAATGTATATAGGCCCCTAAACTTTCAATTATACTCCTCAACCATAGCAACTGCTGTTTCAACTCTAGAATAGTCGGCAACTTCTTTTTGTTTGTATAAGTATTGTTGAGAACAAGTGCAACCAGGTTGAATATAGTTATGACGAAACCCTGTTGCTGTCTATGCAAAATCTCAAAAGCCAGGGGAGGTATCACACTTTTTTCTTGATCGGTAAGATCTTGTTTGTGTAAAGATGCTGTGGCGTGGATGCTACGATCTATAGAATCGCCGAAGAATTCTTTCGATGAAATAGGTTCGCCTATGTGAAAGAAAATGCTTCCAAACCGCTCTTTCAGAATTTTTAGCGATTTGAAAAAGCCCTGAAAACGGTAATATTGTTTTCAAACGGGTAAACGATAATTTAAGTCTCATATTAAACTAGGCAGTAATGAAACACCATTTCAAGACTTGGAATCCATTTTTCAGATTTCCTTGAAATTTTAGGTTTTTTGACAATCTTCATAAATAATGCTTTGAGAAAAGTGATGCAACTTTTCTGTCTTCTGTGGATACCAGGGGTACTACTTACAGATGTCGTTTCCTTAGGCTTTGGAACACCCAAAAGTTCATAAGCAAAAAGATTTTCTTCCAAAACTCTGTCATAACTGATACTTATTGGTACAAACAGTATGTCAGGTACTTGCGCGAAGAAATATGGTTTGAGAATCATTGATATTAGACCTGTGGATTGAATACTTCAATAAGTATTAGTGTAGATATTGGGAAAACCTATACGCAAGTATTAAAGCATTATGTAGGTGGTATCATAGGTAGTGAAGATGACAACACTAGGCTCGACGCTGCTCGCCGGCTGGAGCTAGCACAGCATTGCCATTGTCACTACCTATGATACTGCCGGTATAACAATATGTATATCGGGTCCAACTCTTACCGAACTTAGGTGCAAGTGATTTATTGCTTCGGCTTCTTGTGCCTTCAATGAAAAATTCTATAGGCAAATCACCCCTAGTCACCAACTGATAAATGTATTGCTTAAACACAGTCCAGTATACACTATCATCATTGTAAGATCGTCTCATAAAAAAAGCACCTGTATCTCTCAACATGGTACCCATACCCCACATTCCATGAAAATCTGGAATATCACTTAGGACAAAGTGAACATTGCAAAAATCTTACTTTTATGAAGGGTGTTCCATCTCAGAAAAGTCATAGTTTAGCCTGTGTATAAAATGCCAATCTTTATAGTCTAATCTTATTAGCCGAAAATACCCCTGGTTTGCGAAATAATTGTAAAGTCTGGTTTTATTGCTGCAAGTTGTTCAAGGGGGTATTCAAAATATGGACACATAAAATGGGTACACCAATTTTTGTGGGAAAACTTTTAATTCGACAACAAAGAATGAGAAATCGTGTTTTTTAGGATTCAATCGAAAGTGTTGGCAGGAAAAACTCTTCATATAAGATTTTTAGGTATTTATGAGACCTACAAAATGAGGCCACACTTAAAAAGATCCGGCAAATAGCAAAAGTGTTATGGCAAACACGTTTTCTCATTCTTCGTTGGCAAATAAAATAACAAAAATTGGTGAACCCATTTTATGAGTCCGTGTTTTGAATACCCCCTTGAACAACGTGCAGCAATACAACTAGACTACAATTATTTCCGTGAAATTTTCTAGTATGATTAGACCAATAAGTAATAGTACTGCTTTCTGCGAACCTACTATGTTGCATGGCCCAAGTGTGACAGTGAATGAATAGAAATCAAAATTGTGGTTATCATTATTTTCTGAGTTTTGTTTTCACAAGTTGAATTTGTCTCGTTTTCTGCTGTATAGATTTAGGGTTTATATACTGAGCTAATATTACTGATGTAGTTTTGTTGAATTTTCAAAATGCGTAATTGTTTTTTTGGTTCAGATATTTTTTTATTGATTTCTGCATCGCGTTGAGACTTAATCAAAGTTTGAGATTTTCCGAAGCAAGAGAAACTTTATTTTGAATTTTCGAAACAAGTTGGACTGTTGATGCGAGTTATGTTGCTGCCTTTTTAAACTTTATTAATTAATATAATAATTGTATTGTATTCCTTTTTGCTAGCTCATCCCTTTTGATTTATATTACCTATTGTCAGTCTCAGCGAACACACACACTGTAATGCCGGTTCGGTCCGTGTAGATTATTGTTGGGACCAAATAAAGTTTTTTTAAAAACGGAGTTTGAAGTTCCGACTACATAATTTGCGTATTTGATTCGGGAATCCCACTTTACCGTTTCAATGCATATTGAACTATGTAGTGATGCTAAGGATTGATAGCTAGTTTCGATTTTCTTTGGTTTATTGGAAATATTCTTCAATTAAGAATATTATTTTGGGATAAACTGAACTGTGTTGGTTTGACTTTTGATTTATGTCTCTGATTTACTTGTACGATTTTAGACTTGGCGTTGTGAGTGAATAAATGAAGATGATTAAAACTGTTTAATTTTTCTATTACAGGTTTGTATGTTGTGATTGAATGATTATATCTTTTTGATATGTACATCAGACATTTTAGAGAATTGGGTAAGACTGGTTAACTTGCCTTGTACTCCACTGTTTCCAGGCAGGCTTGGATTTCTTGGTCTGTGCTACAGCGGAGTGCATGAGTCAAGTATGGGGTGATCTGCACAGTGGTGAGCAGGGATGGAAGCTCTATTCGTACCATCCAGTTATCTAATCCTTTGCTCACAAACAGGAGATATAACTCACTCTTAGGTATTGGTTCAGTGAACTAGATTGGGCAGTGCCGGATCACAGGCCAAAGCACAGGGTATACTTGCTGTTATACTTTTGATAGAATTTATATATTTAGTGGCCTCCATGTAACAAATATGAGAATTATCTGCAGAAGCATTCATAGCATGTGTAAATTTTCACTTAGTATCTCAGTTTCACTTTGCCTATCCAAAGTTGGAACACCCTGAATTTTAAAAGGTCAAGCATCATTTTACCCATTCCTGCAGCTATTGCTGGTATAACAATTTCATATGTGAAACACATGTATGACATTAGTATGAAATCAGCATAACTCCTGTGGCTTGGCACAAATATCACTGGGCAGTTGCCCATTTTTGATCGAACCTGAGTCAGAAATAATAGATATAATTTTAGTATCCCTTAAGATTGGAATTATTACATGTCTAAATACTAGAATTTCATAAGAAGATGTCAGGATGGCAATTTGATTTTTTTATCAAAACTGGTGCATACATCATATTTTAAGTAGCTAGCAACAATGGAAATCATTATCTCCTCTTTAGTACTATGGCATTGCTATTCAGAATCTAACAAAAAAGCAGCTAAGTCCAAAATAATATTAACAGAAAATGTCTAAACATGCTGAAAAGTGTAATCCTAATAGCATCTCCAATTAATTTTGCAACATATTACAATCTCACTATCTTACATATTGCAACATAATAAGTAGCAATATTTAATTATATTGAATAAGACTTTTTAATTACTATTTCTAGAAAATAACTAGCAATCCTTGAACCAATGTTGTTAATGGTTTCAAAAGGTGAATGATTTAAAATGCAAGTTATTATGTACATATCATCATTTACAATATCCAACATTTTAATGAGTAAACACACCTGTTGAACTTTGTTCACATTTATGTAAATTCCAGATGAGACCCTCAAACAGATCTTTGTTAATACCAATCCCAGCCATCTTATTACTTTCAAGCTTTTATTGTATCCAATCTCATCTAGTATTTCTTTCACCTGTTTTTCTAAGTGACCTTTTGGTACATTTTGAACGCTGCTTAACTAAAATGTTAGTTAAATTAAGTTTTACCAAAAATGAGTTAAAATTTTGAAATAAGAAAAGCATGCAGTTAAAACTAGGAATTTAGGCTGCCCATCCGCTAATTAGTCACAATGAGCTGTGCAGGTTTGAATGACATCTCAACAGAATTGTCCTCAATTGTGTCTCTCCCTCTGTGGATTCCCCTTAAAGCCTCATGGTATACAGTAGGAAGACCAAGTTGAAAGAGTAGTCTCATTATTGAATAGAGACTAAGGCCAACTACAAGGGCTACTCTCAATTGGTGACAATTGAAGAAGTGCCCTGGTTATCATTAAATAATGAGGAGCTATTATTTTCAAGTATTTATACTTGGTGGGAAATATAAATGCAGTCATAACCTAAAGGAAAGTTACAAATACTTCTCAAGAGTTTTGTTACTTGCACCCTTTAAAAATTCAACAAATAGACAGATATGCTGAAGAGGGCAATGCTGGAAGAAATGCAGTTTTCATATTTTTTCCTTAGGGCCTTATGTTGATGAAAAATCAATTAAAAACCTAACCTTGTCTAGCAGTTCTTGTATCTTTGGGCTTTGCAGCACTTCATCTTTATGTAGTGATGGCGAACAAGGTGCTTCCTGAACGTTTGCGACTTTAGGACGTAATGTCCTGGAAATCCAGAGAAAATTGCTCTTTTCTTGTCGTCGAAACTCCAAAAAATTCTCATATTTCCTGGAGACATCCATTACTTTGCTATGTAACAATCTAGTTTACTCTACTTCCAACTGGTCATCAAGCATAAATACATTGTATGCTGAATGCTGTAGCGACAAACTTTTATATACCACTTTGCCTGTACTTATCTAGAATTGAATATTTATAATAAAACAAACCAATTTGAATTTCAATATCAAAAGATTTAGGTCACCGTCTGTCACTGTCATGGGTAGATGTCACTGTCATGTCAATATCTGTCTTTACTTGAAGAATCAACGTTGCCAGATCAAGAATTGTATAAAAAACGGGAAGTTTTTTTAGATGAGACGACAGATCCCTTAAAATCGCCTAAATGTTCATGTTCAATAAATGTCTTCTCTTTTTCTTTATGCCTATGAGCACAAAGGAGGCGCGTGGTCAGGGCCCGGCAGTTGTATAACGTAAATTAAAAAGTGACATTATATCGATTTTTTATGACATTATGTAGGAGGTTTTCCTATCAAATACCAATGAACTAGCTGACATTTACTTTATGCTCATTTGTCGTAGGCGCGGAATGAACTAGTGGCTACTTAGTGCACAAGATTCTACCGATTTTTTTAACATTATTTATGTGCAATAAACTGGCCGCAGGGGTATTTTAACTAAAAAATCCATACAATGTCATTAAAAATCGGTGTAATGTCAACTAGTGCAGTAGCTAGTCGCTAGTCGACGCCGCGCGCCCTCGCTGTGAACGCTATGGAGAAATGCAACAATGACCTATAGTATAAAATTTACGGCTTAGACCATAGAAGCCATAAATGGCATCCGTTAGTGACATCTCAGAAACAGATGTTAGATCAGAACTAAACTACTCATAGTTCAAGTGTCATGGCGTTTTGGCAACACGCACGGCTAGTAGAAGTGAACATGAAGTGAATACAGTTAGTTCCAAGGAGACGTTGATTTAGAAAAACCTAGATGAAGTTATCAAAAATCAACATAATGTCATTTTTGAAGTTATGTAATATGGATGCCAGCTTGACGGTTAAGAGGGGGGGGCGGATTTCGGTCTGCCTCAGGTTCCCAGCCCCTGTGTGTACATAGCTCAAGACGGTCCTTTTTATACACAGGTGTGGTCGCAGGATTCGTATTCTCGAAGCTGTCTGAAGAGCGGGGGCCAGGGTGCAGCATGCTTAAGCAACGGTTGCACTTCAAGACCTTTGCCGGGATGCGTCGTGAGGAGGGCGAATTGCCTACTCGCCCATTCAACGAGTTCGTTTTAGCGTTCGGATGCTACTTGCTACCTACTAGTTACCGCCACCGCTGCCTCTCGCACCAGTTCGTGTGACATCTAGGATTGTTGATATTTTCCGCCGTTTCGACATTATATAAGCAAAATTGTAGTCTTATATTTAGAATTAATATCGTGACAGTTACGTGTTTTGCGGTTCTGCCAAAATGGTAGATCTTCCGTAGTAATGGCAGATCGGGCAGCCCTGTACGCGGCCACATGAGGAAATTCAAAAAGGCGGGAACTCAGTCAGGTTACAGGTTACGTTTACCGTGTGTTAAAATATATGATTACATACATGTTATTTCAGTTTTAATTTTCATTTTGGGATTTAAATAAGTGTTCCCCATTTGATGTCATATACTATGAATTGTAGAATTAATTTATAATACCTCTGTTTAAATAGAATAAGGAAAGCATTCTTAAAATGGAAGAACACACGAATCAAAATATTTCAATAGGTTTGTATTTATTTTATTATGTTAATCATGCATAATATACCTTATTGCCTTCTAGCCTCTAAGGAAACTTACATAGAACGTGCTGATGAAAGAAAAGTAGAACAACCTTTTGACAAAATGGAAAAATCACTAAACAATGAAAAATATAAGGCAGATATTCTCATTCTAAAAACAAAAACTGAGGGCACTCATATACAAGATAATTTAGAATTAAAGCCTTCTGCATATGATGATAAACAAGATTTATACGATAATGAATCAGAAAACATCTTAGTTGAGGAGCCACATATTTTAAATACACTGGAGAAACATTCAGCTAAAGTTGATAGTGATTCCACTCCTACCAATGAAATAGATTCTTCAACAAATGAGCATCAGATTTCATCCAAAGATGGACCAGTATCTCCATCATCCGAAGTTGAGCGTGACTCAGATGAAGAGTTTACTGAACAGATTGCTAAAAGTCATAAAAAGAAAATGGCAACTTATTCTGATTCAGAGGAGGACATTTCTGATCAACTTACAAAGGAAGTTTCAGATGGAGAGAATGCACAAGGCAATTTAAAAAATAGGCCAGATCATAGTTTGGACAAGAATTTTGCTGTAGCCAATAGTGATTCAGATCAAGAGCTGACTGAACAAGTTCATAAGAGTCGCAAAAAGAAATTGATGACTTTTTCTGACTCAGAAGAAGATTTACCTAGTGTTTCACAAGAGCCCACAAAAGAGGCTGCAGGTAAAGTGGTTGAACAAGAAGCTGATATATCAACAAACGTAAAGAAATTAAAATACAAAAGATTTATTGTTGATAGTGATTCTGAACCAGAAGTTGACACAACACCACATAATAAAAGTTTCACCACTGAAAATGAGAGTGTAGATGATTCAAAAACAGCAGATCCTAAAACAGTACCTAATTTTGAAAAAGTAAGTGCTTTTCACAATTCATCACCTTAGAGCAGAACTATTTTTCATGTTACAAATTTTCCCTTTTTTATACCCTATATGGCGTATTGTAGATTGTCTCGCACGCTGCAAAAGTATCCCATGTCTACGATGATGGAGAATACAGAAAATGACTGATTAAAAATTTAATCTCTATGCTACCCTTTTGTTTCTATCCACGGAAGGGTGCAATTGATATTACGGACATGGTATAGTTCTGCTCTAATGGGACGAATTGCAAGTAGGGCAAATTTTTATTTATACACTTATTGGTGGATTCTTCTTTATGAAATACTATGTTGCTTATTAAATTAGAAAAAATGCTATAAATATGACCCTGGAATCGTGAAAAATTTAAAGAAGGTCAATTTTTTAAAGTTTAAAACCCACCAAAAAATGTAAACCTCAAGATACTAACCAGGTTGGAGATGATACTCTGTTTTTTCTACCACCAATGCATTGTTATTCAATAATATGGCAGCAAAACCTATCAATTTGTTTTTCAAATATGAAGATTATGGTGTAGCAGTAATTGAGGACATTACCTCACTTATGTGTATTGGGATTTTTGATGGAAGGACTCGGTTATCCAATTTTTTTTTCAATGTGTTATAGAGTCGCCCCAGATGGTCAAAACTATGTGACTCTGATAGTTCAGAAGATGAACGTCCTCAAACCAAACCAGCAAGTCCAGAGAGAGATGGGCTGGAAGAAGAAAATATCAAGCCAGTCAAGTATAAAAGAAAACCACAACCAAGGAAAAAAGATGAACCAAAGAAAGTAAGTATAGTGGAGATGTATCATATTCATTATTTTTTATTAGCAATTTCAAAATTTATATGTTAATGGCAAAATTGGAACATCCTTTATGGTCTGATATAATTCATGAAATAAACACATACAGGGTGTTCATTTGAAAACTCCCACCACGGATTTATCGAAAACCGCTGATTAAAAGAAAAAACGCCAAGACACGTCAAAAGATTTGTCAAGGGGATCAACTTTTTAACCAAAAACTACTTCACCCCCTTTCACTGTCTGCCCCCAGGATCATGCCATTAAGAATTTTAAATGACAAGGGGTATCGAGTAATAGCTTGTTTGAAAGGCCTTTCAAAGTCCTTTATTTTGACGTTTGATTTTTTAAAATCGGTCGATTCGTTTTCAAGAAAATTAGAAATTTTTTTATTTATCTTAATTAGTTCAGATAGAAAACCAAAACATACAAAAATATCACTTTTTATTTCAATAACTGTTCAAAGTGTTGCCTGTTATTGGTCAAACACTGATATAAGCACTGTTCAAATTCGTTACAGACATTTTCAGAAACATGTGGGATATCATGGCTTTCAATGATGCGTTGACAATTCATCCAAACTTTCAGGTTGGGGAGTTAACACAATAGATTTCAAATGGTCCCATAGAAAAAAGTCTAATAGCATCAAATCAGGAGCTCTAGCAGGCCATTCTATAGGCCCTCCTCGCCCTATCCATTTACCTGGATACTCGTCGTCTAGCCATTGCCGAACCGGAAGAACATAGTGAGGAGGAGCGCCGTCTTGCTAGAAATATATTTCAGCCTCATCAAGTATAGGGTTTCCATCCTCCTCGGTTTGGTTTTCAATGGCTTCAGTGATAAGCACATTGATGGTATTTTCCAACATATTCAAATTTCCATTAATAAACAATAGCCCAATTAATGTTTCCTAAAATGCCTGCACATTCATTAATTTTTTGGGGACACTAGGTAAGCCCTTCTACAAAAGCATGAGGATTTGCATTGCTTAAATACCTGCAGTTATGCTTATTATCAAATCCATTTACAGGAATGCTATTATCATTAATCGCTGCAGTCATTTGTTCACAAAACTCAATTCGCCTATGGAAATCATCTATGGTTAACTCTTGCAATATTTTCTCTTTGAATGAATGAAATTTATGGAGTTTCGTAACTGTGTGTACAGAGCCTAATGACATATCAGTCGCAGCAACAATTTTGCGTCATGAAGTATTAGGATTTATTCCGAAATGACTCAAAACTTCAACTTGAGCGGCTTGAGTAAATTGAGCAGCATACCTAAGCGAAGTTATCTTTCGCGGATGTCTGGCGTTAAACGTGACGGCAGTTTGCTCGGGACATTGATTATGGGCACCATAAATCAGAATCATTTCCACTCTTTCGGCTAGTGTGTGAACCATTTTGGAAGTAAAATCTGAATCAATAAATTAATTTTCACCATCCCAAGATTGTAACAAAGGTAACTGACAGCAAATTAAATTCTTACTTTCCCTTAGCAACAAATAACTAAACAGGTATAACAATAAATACAGTTCGCCCAGGATGTGTTGATGAAAACAATGCGAAAAAAAATCGGGTTTTTGCCACGTCTAATCTTCCGAATTGTTGTTTAAGTTGGTAGTTTCCGTTTTACATTATAAACGAATTGTAGATTAGGCAAACCCTAACGGGCAACATTTTGGACACTTATTGAAATAAAAAGTGATATTTTCGTGTGTTTTTGTTTTCTATCTGAACAATTTAAGATAAATAAAGATTTTTCTAATTTTATCGACAACGAATCGACTGATTTGGAAAAATCAAATGTCAAAATAAAGGACTTCAAAAGACATTTCAAACAAGCTATTACTCGATACACCTTGTCATTTAAAATTTTTAAGGGAATGTCCCTGGGGGGCTGACGGTGAAAGGGGGCGGAGTGTTTTAAAAGTTGGCCCCCTTGACAAATTCTTTGACGTGTGTTGGCGTTTTGTCTTTTAATCACTGGCTTTCGATAATTCCGTGCTGGGAAGTTTTCACCCTGTATATCTCTTACTGAGAGGTAAGTATTGAGAAGCCACAATGTTATTGTTATTTGTTGCAAAATAAAAATAATCACTGTTTGATAGATGACCCGCAAAGACGCACAAGTTCTAAACAAACAGATTGTGGCTGAATCTCAAAGGATGGTCAGGGAGATGAATGTATCACTACCATATCACAAACCCAAGCAGTTCACCTTGAAAGAATTTTTATCTAGGAGACCAAAATTAAGCAGTGCAGACCCTTTGGACATCAAAGTGAGACCATCAGTGGCTATCAAGCTATGCTCTGAGAAATTGGAGGAAATTTCGTAAGTATTATTCACAGACTTATAAGTTTATCAAAATGATATAATACGATTACTAGTCAGTAATATGTCGGTTTATGCCGTTTATTCATTACATAGACTGACCTTTGTATTTCAGGAAGAATATCGAACAACGTGAGGAGAAACTGAAAGAATTCTACAAATCAGAAAGCGAAAGTGACAGCAATGATAGTGATGTAGACTACATTCCTCCTACTGACGATCAAAATGACGATATCATAAATAATTCTCAATCTATAGTTAATACTCTTGAGTCAGGCATTGACAGCCAACAACCCACCATTGGAACAGATTCAACTATTATCCAAGCAACACCCATGGATACAAACTTAAACGAAAAAGCTGTAGACTCTGGCATTGAGACACAAGATATGGAATGTGAGGATACCAATAAAAGTGGGAATGCAACTGCAGCTATACCTTTACAAAGTTCAAACACTGAGACTAATATAGGAACTGATAAAGAAGAACTGGGGACAAATGTAGATGACAAGTCTTCAATTGATGAGAGCCCTGTAAGGAGCTCTGAGTCAGATCATGAATTAAACGATGAGAGTAGTCATAGCCTGGTTGTAAAATCCATAGATATACATCCTAATGACTGTAAAGTTGCATCTGAGAGCTGTGAAATTCAAGTGTTAGCTACTAACACCCAAGAGCCAGTAGATTCTATGGATTATGAGTTTAATCTGGATGATATTGAAGAAAATACTGAAATATTTACTTCAAAAGAAAAAGAAAATCTAAATAGTAATGCTTCCAGTATACATATTTTACAAAATATTGTTATTGAAGATAGCAATGCTGGATCACCTAAAGAAAAAGAGGACACTCTCAAGAGTGATAAACAGAAAAAAATTGAATCTGACTTAGAGGTTGTTATTGAAGATAGCTGTGACAAAACTGAATCACTCTCTGGCCAAAAAGGTTGTGTTTCTGTTGGGGAAAAACCGATGCATTCCGAACCTGATGTTGAATGCAGCAATGATAAGTCTTCCAAAGACAAACAGAGAGAACTAGAACTTGCTCAGTTAGACAAGGAGATTCAAAACTTTGATCCCAATGGCATCAAAACCTTGGAGGCAGATACAGACAATAAGAGACTGTCAAAAATAAGACTGTTTTCGGAAAAGCTGTCAAATCATAAACCGAGATTGAGTGGAAATCCAGATGAAGTGATTGATTTGGATTCGGGCGTTACGCGACCTAGCGAGATCAGCAGTTTGATGCAGAGATTCCTTAAACATACAGCCAAAAAACACGTGCACAATGATAAGGTGAAGTTTAAGTAAGTATAAACACTAAATTGTTGAATAAATACACTGCGCGTCATAATTATGGCCTCACTACTTTTGAAGTTCTTTTTTTAATTTACTTATTGAACTATAAAGGATTTTATTCAAAGGTACCAAATACCGAATGTCGAATGGTCAATGTCGCATTCGATATAGCTAAAATGTCTTCTTGAATCTCGCAATCGATATTTTTTATTCGACATAATCTCAAGAAGCTTAAACCCTGCGACAAAACGGCAGATGACAATATACTAATATCAGTTGCTTGAAAATACTTGCTTTTTTCTTCTTTATTGACCTTCTTTTTCAACTTTTCGATCAAATTATCCAGCCCTATCAGGATGCTTGGACTTATCATTAGGAAACAATAATATAACAATATCACCAAAAATTTAATTTCACCAAAACGGATGTTGTGATGGCCATGACATGGCAGCGATCTGTTAGGTAATTTTACGAAGTTTGAGCAGCTTTGTGTTTGGTACCGACAACAAAAACGAAGGTTTTAAATGTCGTGTTTGAATGTTTTACACAAGTGTTTCTTTGGTAACAAGAATGATTGAAAAATATATCAAAAACCTGTGTTCAAAAAATGTAATGGTTTCGATGTTTAACTCATTATAGTTGCTGAATTTCACAGTGAAAAATATATACCTAGGTACTGCAAGACCATTAAATTTAATAAAAAAATCTGAAAATAGCCTAAATACACCAGCCTACTATGCCAGTAGTCCTATTTTGAGAGTATCTATGTGTTAGCGTGGTGAACATAGAAGGAGGTGTAGCCCACAAAGAAACTCTAGCAATCCAACTGGACGACGATGAAAACCTAGCGACGATCGAAGAGAAACCGGGCGTGCGTCTGAACAGATTGCGCGAAGAGCTGCAGAAGCAAATCGCTGCCAAGAGGTCGGAGCTGTGGCAGAAGAAGATCACTGCTGAGAAGGCGGAAGAAGGGCAAGAAGAAGAAAAGGATCCGTACGATGGAGAGAAGTCTGACTGTGGGGCAGATGAGGATGACCTGCTCGATATGGAGGACGAGGAGGAGATCAGTGAGTCTAGTGAGGAGGAGGAAGACGTTGATGAGGAAGTCAGTGAAAATGAAGAGAAAGGGAAGAAGAAAAAGTCGGCGTTCATAGACGAAGAGGCGGAAGAAAGTGATAGGGATGATAAGGAATGCGATGAGAATGAAGAGGATGTGGTAAGTACCAGCATGCCTTAAGGTGAATTTTCACAGCTCAAATTTTCAAAGCTACATCACATTCTTTCACACACGAAATAAATGTAAAAGTACACGAGTTATACCATCGATTATATAGAATATTTATATCTATTTGGAACATTTTAAGAGGTGATTCCTTCAGCGACTTTAAGACCAAAAGTTTACATACATGCTTCATTTTTAAAATGCTGTATGTCAAAATTCCCTAGAAATATCGTTTTTTTTTGCAAAAATCTTGAAATCGTATGTTGGTGTGCACAGATTAAATTAAATTGAGTACCTGTATGACAAACGCATCAATAAAAACTGAACCTCCAAGGAAAAATGTACCAGACTTGACTCCAGCGATCTAGATGACCATCTGTGGTTTTAATAAAGCATTTTTCTTAACTACTTGATATCAAGAGAACTGTGTAAGCGATTATTATAATTTTTACGAAAAATCGAATGCAAAAAAATGTTGGCACATTGTATCCTAAATCCAATACGCTACTGCGCCAATGTTTATATAAACTTAGAATCACCAAAAGAATTACCTCTTGAAGTTTGACGAGGTAGTAAGTTACAACTTTGTATAATTAAAAGTGTGCTAGTAAAAACAGTTCAGTCAATAAATTTACATTTCATTGAGCATCTTTGGATTCCGAGGAATATACAGAACATGTGCTTATTTCTGCTGAACTCATTTAATAAACTTTCTCTTATTCAAGGTGGCAAATAGCGAACATGAGAATGACAAAAGTGAAGGTGAAAACGAGGATGAGGATGAAAATGAAGATGAAGACGACAATCCAAAAGAATCGACAGAAAATCTAGAGACAGAGAAGACGGGCAGCGCTAAGCGGGTTTTGAGGAGAATAGTGAAAGGATTTACAGAAGATTCCGATGACGACGAGGATGAAACTAAACCTTCAGAAACAACGGACGGTGATAAGAAAGATACGTGGGTTAGTGATGCTAATATGGAGTCATCACGTAAGTATTTAAACGGAAATATTCTATTTGCAAGGATTTGTTGAACATATTCTTAGAATAAATACAGGGCGATAAAAATGATTGTTTCAGTTTATTGTTGCATAACTTTAAGATTCGATAGAACTTTTAAAATTAATGCATAAAGTCTATATAAACATGGGTCGAAAAATACATGGCTTCCGAAATACAGGGTGTTTAAATTTACTTTCTAAAATAGTTTTTTTTAAATATTTCGAACAATACTTGATGTATAACAGTGAAATTTGGTATACAAGGGTTTTTTGGTACGACAAAACGAACCATGGGCATAGTTTTACTGTAGCCGCTAGAGGGCGCTCTCTACTGTACCTGTAGTGTATTAAAATGACCGAAAAATTTTTCTTAGTGCAATTTTTTGCTTTTTGAATAAAAAAACTGATTCTTCGCACTTTTCAATATAAAAAAGCTCTCCTGTAAGTTTTCGTTATACTTAGCCGTTTTTGAGATATTTCGATTTTTAAGGTTCGATGTATTTTTAATTATTTATGGGAAAATAATATCTGTTTTTACATTTTTGATTTGGGCATTACAAGTAATTAAGATGATCGATTAGATTGTGTTTTTAAACACAGCAATAATTCCTAACTCCAAATAAACACAAAAAACAGAATATTAGTTTGTTTAATTTTCCAATATTAATTTTTAACAAATTAAATTAATTATTTACAACTAAAATGCTATTGGATAGTTAGGACAAACATACAAAATCTAAAGTATTGCTCGAAATGTAAACCCAATTGTTCAATACACAATTCACATCTACGAATGATCGAACGTGGTATAGCATTATTCAAATAAGGCCTTATTTCATCACATGCATTCCTGATTCTGTCTATTAGCATATCTCTTGTGGTTACGGGAGTCTGGTACACTTTTTGTTTTAGAAATCCCTACACAAAGAAATCTAATGGATTTAGGTCAGGGGATCGTGGAGGCCAGGCTACTGGTCCTCCACGGCCGATCCATCTTTCTGGATAATTTTCGTCCATGCAGTTTCTAACTATTCTCGAATAATGAGCTGGACAATCATCAAGCTGGAACCAGGCCAATCTTCTTAAATCTAACATAACATCATCCCACATATTTGCATGTTCAGCCTTTAAAAATTCCAAGAAGGTCGCAGCATTTAACCTTGCAGGCAAAAGGTAGGGTCCAAATAGTCGATTACGGTAGATACCAATCCACACGTTCACACTAAATTCATGCTGAAAATTTCTTTCTCGAACTGCATGCGGATTTTCATGCGACCAAATATGTTGATTATGAAAATTTACCACTCCACGTCTAGTGAAGCATGACTCATCGGTCCATAAAACGTTACTTAAAAACTCCCTATTATTATCAGTTCTATCAAGAATCCACTGACAAAATGTGATTCTTCGTTCTCCGTCCCCTGGCTGTAGTCCTTGCACAGGTTGCAAATGGTAAGGACGTCTATGGTCATTTCTAAGAACACGGTGAACATGGCTTGCTGAAATTCCCAAGGCACCAGAAACTCTCCTAACACTTGTGGTCGGATCTCTATCAAACTCACGCAGAATCATACGGGTAAATCTGCGCTGACGAACATTTATGTTTTGATCCCTTTGGAGATTTCCAAAACCATTTTCAATTATTTGGCGATGCACTCTTACAAATACTGAGCGAGTTGGATGTCGTCTGTTTGGAAATCTTCGTGCGTATTCTCTGGCTGCTTCTGCTGAGTTTCTATTTACAAAGCCATACACAAAATGAATATCCGCTAACTATTGATTGGAGAATAAAAATGGCATTTTTATAAAACAGGTAAAAGAAACTAAATTTCGTGCATTCACAATTGCAAAAAAACGTTTCAGGTTTAAACAGACGACAAAACTAACTGTCAACTAATTGACGTTTAACCTTATTCTGCTCTCAATTTCAAAAATATTTGCAGGCACAGCCTACTTCTAAAAATTATCGAGATACTGACTTTTTAACGTTATTTTATCATAAATAATTAAGAATGCATCGAACCTTAAAAATCGAAATATCTCAAAAACGGCTAACTATAACGAAAATTCACGAGAGAGCTTTTTTATGTTGAAAAGTGCGAAGAATCAGTTTATGTTTTTTTGTGTTTATTTGGAGTTAGGAATTATTGCTGTGTTTAAAAACACAATCTAAACGATCATCTTAATTACTTGTAATGACCAAATCTAAAATGTAAAAAAAATGTTATTTTCCCATAAATAATTAAACATGCATCGAACCTTAAAAATCGAAATATCTCAAAAACGGCTAAGTATAACGAAAACTTACAGGAGAGCTTTTTTATGTTGAAAAGTGCGAAGAATCAGTTTTTTTATTCAAATAGCAAAAAATTGCACTAAGAAAAATTTTTCGGTCATTTTAATACACTACAGGTACAGTAGAGAGCGGCCTCTAGCGGCTACAGTAAAACTGTGCCCATGGTTCGTTTTGTCGTACCAAAAAACCCTTGTATACCAATTTTCACTGTTATACATCAAGTATTGTTCGAAATATTTAAAAAAAAACTATTTTAGAAATTAAATTTAAACACCCTGTATTTCGGAAGCCATGTATTTTTCGACCCATGTTTATATAGACTTTATGCATTAATTTTAAAAGTTCTATGGAATCTTAAAGTGATGCAACAATAAACTGAAACACCCTGTATACAAGTGATTTTCAAATAGTCATTTTTACAGTCTGATAATTGTCAATAAATTGCATTTTTAAAAATTTTCAGGTTCCATTCTCGGTATAACACTATAATTTTTGTGACTTGCAGGCTTGTTTCTCGAATACAGTTATGTTTTGTTAGCTGTGTGATTTAAATTCAATGAAACTTGGGAAATGAGCTTGGTTTGAAAAATGCAATGTGAATACCGATTTTCTACAAAACTAATCGCCTAGCATTATAATTGCAAGTATTATTCTATTTCAGAGGATGATGAAGTACTTCCTTGTCACCAGCCACAAGCTCCGAAAACTCCAGTCTGTCATCTAAAATCCCGGACAAAATCAGATTTTGAATTCTTAACTCCTGTCAATTATCTTACTGGTATTCAAAATTTATCCGCATCAAAGGTTAGTTTACAATTTCATGATATTTGGGGGTGTTTATTGTTATTTTTTTTATAGAATTTGAAACATTCGCCAACAATTTCACCGTTTAGGATGCCCACAATGCCATCTCCACTCAAAGGTAAAGAGTGGCACTCGGATTTACAGAAAAAGTTGTTTGCTGAATCTGAAATTACTAATTCTCAGGTTGGTAAAATTTTTACTTGGATAAAAGACAAAGACTTAAGTACAGCAGTAACCTAACGCTGTTAAATGACTAAAATCGCTTGTTGTTGGGACTGTCTAGGCACAAGCAATGGAAAACCTTTGCAAAACCAGTTTTTCGTCAACTCAAGAGGAACCGGATTCGACTGCTACCACTGTGAATAGCATACCAAAATCTACAGAACACGATTCACAGTCTCTAGAAATTGTATGCAGTGTTCCTCCGAATAGTCAAGATTTATTAGGAATATGTTCTGGTATGTTACAAAATATCATGTTATGTCTAATTAGAATAAAATTCGATTGTACTATATTTTGAAAGAGATTTATCTCATGAAAATGCATGATATCCTACCAAACTATGAAAAGCATAAGAACTGCACAGATAATTATTATAGCCGCATACATCCATATTCTGATGATATGGTTGAGAAAGATAAAGGAGGTGGATAACGGCTTTTCAATGCCCATCATATTCGTGAAAATTTAAAGTTTTTGATTAAGACTTTTATATTATATTTATATTAAGTTCAAGTATCTAGGCGAAATTTGGTACTTTTAATTCCGGGAAATAACTTTGAAATACACATTTCACGGGCTACAGCCCAAACGGCTTAATATGATTTGACATGAGGTGTCAGTTGCTGGTCCGACCGAAATGAGTAAGGATTTGCAAATAGGGCAGTTGCATCGTGCATTTTCTGCATTTCGAAATTCGTTTTCTTAGCGTGATAGTCTTGATCTCCCGATTCCGATTTCTTATGTGTATTTTTTCACTTAAAATACGAGGCTTGTTCAATTGAAACCCATCTTTGGCCCAGAAAGGAATTATTGGCAAATATATCTACAAATAATTACCACCCAATTAAGGCAAATATCCCATTGCTTCACCAATCGGTTTGTGGCTGCTGCTGAAGAATTCTTTTACGGCATTTTGTAATTTTTCAGAGGCCCCAAGATGTGAAAATCGCAAGGCGATAAATCGGGACTATAGGGTGGATGCTCTAATATCCTTCATTTCGTTCGCTTTCACTACTCTGGCATCATGAGGCCGAGCATTGTTGTGCAGAAGAATGACATCACCTGAGAGCTTCCCTGGACGTTTTCGTCTTATTGCTTGTTGGAGATTGTTTAATGTTTCATTATACAGGTTTGCTTTGACATGGACTCTAGGTTTTTAAACTCTATGAGCAAGGGTCCTTCATGGTCGAAAAAATGTTAACATGACCTTGCCTGAAGGAGGTTGAACTTTAAACTTCTTTGGTGATGGAGAACTTGCGTGTTTCCGTTGCATCGATGATAGCTTAGTGGATGGTTCAAAATAAAGACACTAAGATTCGTCGCCAACAATTATTGACGAAAGAAAGTCATTACCGTTTTGATTGAATTTTGTGAGATGTTGCAAAGATAAGCCCACTCGCAAGCTTTTTTGGTCCTCTGACAAAACGCGAGGAAACCATTGCGCACAAACTTTGCTGTAACCCAATGATCCTATACTCACATCAAAATTTTTTGAAATTGCTCTGATTAAAATTTGACGATTTTCTTCAACCATGCCTTCCACACATGCCTCACTCCTGACTATCTATTGATGCAGTACTTAATGCACTTGGTCTCGTCTCATCTCTTCCACTCTTAAATTTTTGACACCATTCCTTGACAGTTAGATACGCAAAACATGCGTTTCGCTACACTGCTTGCATTCGAGTATGCAATGGTTTCAAACACAAAAATTGAATGACCGCCCGCTGATTATATTTGGACGGATTGTTACAACAAACGCTATTTTTAGGTCACAATACTTAAAATCCCAGTCAAATACAAATGACAGGAACTGATCCGTGTGACGTTTCCAAAGCTAACCTGACCAAATATGAGTTTCAATTGAACAAGCCTCGAATAATACTGAGAATACATAGCTATTGCTTTGCTGTTAACCGTACTTTAGGAACACTTTGTAAATAAATTGCTTTCAAGTTAGTTGTGTGCTTTGCGTGCTATTGTGATTTAATTGTAGTTAGATTAGATATATTTATCGGCTTAGATTTGTTATAATTTGTGTTACTTATTATTGGTAATTTTTGAAATTCCCGGAAAATGCAAATTTAATCTTTTGTAGTAATAAAGCTCCGGCCACGGGAATTGTTCCCAAAAAATCTATACATTTACACTACAAATAATACAAAAACGTTGTCTACCAAAATTCCTTGAAATAAATGATAAATCAATGGAGAACTGTACGTACAATTGTCACGTTACTCTAAGTATACATGTTAAGATGTGCCACACAGGCTGTGAGATACTTCACGCACCATTTTATTGCGGTTACACGTTTGTAATTACATTATTGTTGCATTAAAATGTTGAATCAATATGGTTGTCAGGGTAAGTATTGCATGCTATTGAATATAGCATTTCTTAGTCCGAAACTAATCTCATTTAAACTAATACAAAACGAATGACCTATACTTTACAGTACTTCACGCAAGCGGGGCCGCTCATTTTAGCTAGTAATAATATAATAATGACCTAAATCGAGACTTTCTTTTTTCTCGAATTTGACGGGCGAAACAAGGCTGATCTTTACCCACCTCCTTTTCATAAATGTCTTAATATATTTTTTTCAAGGTTCTTTCACTGGCACGTCTAAAATCTGTGATACGATAAACAATGAAGGTGCTAGTGATGACATAACATGCAGTGCTCAACCGACTACCCAGGATCTATTGAATATTTGTTCTGGTGCCTTTACCGGAATATCTCAAGTTGACACGAGTAATTTAAGGTAAGTTTAATAAGATCTATAGAGTACGACTTGAAGATTTATGTTAATTGAAATATACCTCACATTGGCATTTCGGAAACTAAGAGATACAAAGTACCCTTAAATGGAGGCAAAGTTGCATATTTAGGTAATCAACAAAATGCTGCTTAGAAAGTTTCGAAACTCAAAGTACTTCCGGAGAGAGACGGAAAAACCGAAGTTTCCCAAAATAGTTTAAATTTTTTCCTGACTTTATTTGTTGTGGGATATAACTTGCACATTAACATCGCCAATTTTTCTCCTCTACAAGATGGCATAATTAAAATTTTAATATGACATTTCGTCGCTTATCCTCCAGCATCAACCTTATTGTTTCTTATGAATGCCTTATTGGATTTTTGCACGGATGAACAGTGTTTTTAATTCTCTCGGAGGCTGAAAATTGTACTTTCTGTGTGCATATTATGTGATGTAGTCTTGATAGTCATTCAATTTTAGCGATCATTCTCCCCCGAAAGCAAATCAAGAAATAAAAAGTTTGGGTCCAGAACAAGACATTATTATATCTCAACTACTAGATGAAGAAGAAATGGAGAAATTCAAGAGAAAATTTGATTCGCCTGTCTACACAAACACTCAGAGGAGAATCGTTGAAGAGTTTGAAAAAGAAGTCACTGGGGGTGGTGTCATCGACTCAGACGACGATGAAGAGATTGAGCTTAAGAATAAGAAAAGAAAAAGGCAAAAGAAGATTATGTTTTCAGGTAAAACTGTTCAAGACAATAATCAATTGCTATGTTTAGTTAGTGCATTGAGATGAAGTACTATGCTGCTTCGTTGGCAGTTCATTTAAATGGTATTCCTGACTGATGACCATACGCAGCAACTAACCAATGATCATAAGTATTTGAAATCTCAATAGGAATACTTTATTTACCGTCTTGCAGATGATGAGGACTCAAATGACACAAATGGCGCTGAGGATGAAGAACAAATTGAACTGCAAGATGATGTGCTGGATGAAGAAGAAGAGGAAGACGTACCACCAGAAAATGTTGAATATGATTCAGAGGAAAACGAGTATGAAGTAGTTCATGATATAGGTAAATTAATACAATATAAGAGTTAGCTATTTCGAAAAATGTTTGAACATGTTCACTGACCTGTAACACTACTGACTTTCTGGATTTTATTAATGACAATTCAAAGTACACACGTTTTATTTGTTCTTCAAATTGAGATTTTTATAATCATTTTGAATTGAAACGTTATGTTTTTTGGAAGTTGGAGTCCATGTCAAACAATGTAAGAATGGGTGAAAATACCTATTTTTTTCAGAACGGGCAAAGAAAAAAGCCAGCGAGTTCTTTGAGAACGAGGCTGAATTATCTGAATCTGAATGGGGAAGCGAAGATGAAGACGAAAAAGATTTGGACGATTTAGAAATGGAAAAAGGTGACGAAGAGAAATTTGATGAAAAAAAGCTCAGGACTGACTTAGAGAAGATCCATATGAGACGAATGTTGGACGACGATACCAGAGAGGTAATAAGCTACGGATTTAGAAGGACTTTATTAAAGTTCAAATTAAGAAAAAATAATGGTTTATTTTTTTTAAATGTAGCATCTCCATTTCTTTCTAAAATGGTAGATGATTTTAGAAAACTCTTTTGCAAGAAACAGCTGTACTGCCAAAAAGTAAGCAGAAACTTGATCTTTGTTGCCAGGAGCATTTATTCTAATTAAGCAATTTTTTGCAAAATGTCAGAGCCAGGAAAACCTTGCTGCTAGTATGGCCTTTCATTTTTTTTTTCATTGAGTATTATTTTATTTTGTAGATAATGGAGTTTATAAATGTTCATTTGTTATGCTATAAAATGTAGTTTCAGTTATAATAGTAGCTACTGAACTCTACAATTTTCAAAGGTTCACGAAAAAAAAACAAGTTATTCTTGCTCTCTGTATACAGGGGTTTACAAAGTAAGGTAACATATTTAAGAGGGATATTGTTGGGACCATTAAAAAAACTTTGTATGAATGTTTCCTAAACGCTCTGAAGTTTGAAAAAAAAGATGTTTTTTATTTTGTTTGTTGAAGATTTATTTAGAACTAATGTCAATTTTGTCCAATTAATCGTTTACACATTTTTTTAAATCAATTTCCTGTAATTTTTCATTCTTCCCTATTACAATTGCATCACTATGCATTTTGGGCATTCATAGTGATTTTTTTAATTTCACCTTAAACATTTTTAAATATGAAAACTATTTAATATCATTATTCAATTTATTACATTCAAATACTCCCTTTTGAAATACAGATTTGCCAGTTATGCTACTATTACAATTTTGTATATGAAAATCTATACTGCCTCTAGTTTCGTAGTTATAACAATGACTATTTAATTTTTTAAAGTTTTTGTGGTGGTTATAAATGAGAACTAAATATCATATGCTTTCTTTTTTACAATCAACTACTGTAGTTACTCCAACATAGACTTAATCCTAGCATATTTGTTTTCATTTAAAATATAATAATAATTTATTTTTTTTGATATCTGGAAATAATGTATTCATTATGATTTTGAAACAGTACTTTACTATCCACATATATATCCAGACATTTGAATGATTCGACTACTTCAATCTTTTCATCATTAATGAAATTTGGCACTCGGCTACTATATATATATGCCTTAGGAGGTATTTTTTCATATACATTTTTATCCAGTAGCGTTCGTGTGGTATTTAAACTAGTTTTATGTAGATTTAAAGGAGAATTACTTCGCCACTGCTTCTCTTCGTAACGAAAATATTTATTATTTCTCTCACTTCTAAGCAAATTTGATACCTCGATTTACTGTTTACCGACTTACGGCTTTCGCATAAAAAACATTTTGTTGGTTGTCGTATTAATGTCGGTAGAAAAAAAGTCGGAGGATCAGATTTTGAGGAAAAGCGGTTGCATATCATTTTTTTCTTTGAAACTATTTAACTCAAATTGTTCACATTTTGATTTATTCTTATCGCCTCTTAGTACGCTACCTTACTTTTGAAAAACCTGTATACATTACGTTATAAAAAACTGCAAAATTGTCAAAATCGAGGAAGTGTCGAGATAGTGATCCTGACAAAAGTATACCAGGTCTTCCATTTGCTATATTTTGAATCAAATGATACCATCAGTAATCATAAAAACAACCTGGGGTGACTACGTGCACCAAAAATATCTTCATTAATTCATTCCAGGTGAAACTGCTGCAAGAGCTTCTCTTGGAGGATGGCGAGTTGCATGGCAGCGGCAGAGAGCGTCAGTTCAGGTGGCGTAACATCGACTCGCAGCTCGAGGAGGGGGAGGAACGCAAAGACGGGGAGGACGACTGTTACTTGGAGGAAGATGAAAGCGAAGAGCAGTGGAGGCGAAGGAGGTACGAGAGGGAGGTGTTCCTACAAGAACAAATGAGAAAGAAGGCTGCCGAGGAGGACGATCTACTTGCTGAAGGCAGTCAGATATTGAAAGTTGGACAAAAGGTTAGAAATAAAAGTACTTGATTTGATTAGGTGGTATTTGCACTTTTATTACTCTACTTTGTACTAAGCAAATGATTGTCTTTCGGCACTCATAATCCTTTGACATCGCATGACGTCATTATATTACACGAAACCTCCCGTTTGCTTAAGATGCCACAACCCAATGGGATTTTGACTGACAAATATTCAGTTAAATATCCCATTCATATTTCTGCTTCTATGATTAGACTTTGATTATGGTAGTTTACAAAGATCAAGGCACACAGAACCTTCTTACAAAACCCCACTGTAGAGAACAGACAAGCCGACGTTCAGTCCAGAAACAAATATAAAGCAGCGGTTCGCAATGCCAAAAACCAGCATGATATAAAAGTTAGGCGCAGGGTAATGTCGCAGCGCAATGGCAGTCGGTCTTTCTGGACGCTGGCCAAGCAGATTGAAAAGAACTTCTCACACAGTAGCCTTCCACCACTTACGTGTCAGGATGGAACTATTGTACTCGACTCAAAGGCCAAGGCGGAAGTGCTAGCCAAGATCTTTGCTGCCAACTCCACCATGGACGTCCCCACCAACGCCCAAGTGCCGTCAATTCAAAGGGTTCCCTACACTATGCGGGAGGTAACATTCAGGCATAAGACCGTAAGACGAGCGCTCTTGTCGCTCGACATCATCAAAGCTTCTGGTCCAGACTTGATTTATGGCATTGTACTGAAAAGGTGTGCAGCGGAGCTTACTCCAGTTCTTTCGCGCCTCTTCGTGTCTCTTCCAGATGTCTTATGAATCGGACACCTTCCCAGAAAACTGGAAATTTGCTCATGTCCAACCCATACCAAAAAAAGGATCTAAGACCGACCCTTACAACTACAGGCCTACAGCTCTGCTTTCTGTTATAAGTAAGGTGATGAAGAGGTGCATAAACCGCGAACTTCTGGACTACCTCGAACGTCACAGTGTGATTAGCTACAGGCAGCATGGTTTCCGGCACAGCGATCCACAGGGGACCTTCTAGCTTGCGTCACGCAATTGTGGAGTAAACTCATTCAGTCTCATGGTGAGGCTCATGTTGTTGCTCTTGACAACACGAAAGCGTTCGATCAGCTGTGGCACGCTGCCCTCTTAAGCAAACTTCCATCCTATGGCCTCCCAGAAAAGCTTTGCAGATGGATGGCTGACTTTATCTCTGGTCGCAAGATATCCGTCGTAATTGACGGGTTTTCCTCTTCATCCCACGTCAACGCGGGTGTTCCCCAGGGATCGGTCTTGGCTCCGACACTGTTTCTCTTACATATCAACGACCTCCTGTCCTGCACGATCAACCCAGTCCAAAGCTTCGCTGATGACAGCACTCTACATGCAGGAATCCAGAGCGACAAGCCTATCTCTGCCACTGAGCTGGAGCAAAGAAATCTAGCGACGACTTCATCTCTGACGAGAGACCTGGAGGTTATCACTGCTTGGGGACGCAATAATCTCCTCAGTCCAGATCACCGAGTACCTGATCTGGCACGAACACGTACCTCGTCAATAGCGGCAGCTGCTGGGAAAAGCTAGGCTATTTGTTTAGGGCTAAGAAGTACTTCTCTCCGCATGACCTTCTCACTGTATGCAAGGCCCAGATAGGGACCAGCCTCGAGTATTGCTCACACGTTTGGGGTGGTGTCGCCACGACTACATTATTTATGCTCGATGCTGTCCAGAGGAGGGCTGTCCGAGTGATCGATGACTCTTCTCTAACAGACAGTCTCGGGACCCTTTCGCACCGGCAGGCCGTCGGCGATCTAGCTCTTTTCTACCGCTACACCAACGAGCTTTGCTCCTCAGAGCTCTCTTCCATGATGCCGTCGCGCTATGTGCCTGCCAGACAGACCGCCTGACTTTGGCCTCCCATCCTAATCCTGTTGAGCTTCGTACATCCAGAACTGGCCGATACGACCGCTCCTTTGTCCCAAGGGTGTCGAGATTGTGGAACAATCTACAAAAGGATGCTTTTCCCAGTTCTACTAACCTTAGGCAGTTCAAAAATCGGATTAACAAAAATTCTTTTGGATCATCATAGCAGCCGCGGTGTCTCGACATTTAGGCTTCTGCCTGCGTGGCTGCTTCGGTATATAAAGAAAGAAGGGATATAGTCATTTTCAAGAACCGATTAAAATATCGATAGAATCCGGTATATTATACGTTCAGATCGTCGGCAATATAAAATTGTAATTATATTAGAATAAAAAAAAAACGGTTTCATCACACACAAACTTCGTATATACATTCATTTATTTTAATGGTATGCCTTCTTTAAAATCAGGTTGTACAAAAGATGACGTCGAGGGATAGTCAAGGAAGTCAAGCTGATTCTCAAAATGAAAAAAGCCCTGGAAGCCCGGTTTTGATGAAGAGCAGGTTTACTCTATCCGTAAGTTGAAGTAGTTTTTATGACAGTGTTTTCTGTAAATGTTCGTAATAGCTCAGGTAGTGTTGATGGTTCTTAGACAGCAACGCTTTCAATTACATTCACCGAAAAAAATGTTTTTCACGAATTGAGCGGTGCACGACATGATACAATTTTAGTTATTAGTGAATGCAGATAGGTATTGAATTTAATTGTAATTTGATTCACTCTCTTACAGCATACTAGAGGATCGTTCTTAAACAGAAAAGATCAGGTGCTACAAAGATTGGCTGTGTTTAACAAGGATACGTCAGTGACGGTTGGGTCTACTAAAATTACTGTTAAAAATTCGAAGAACTTCGTATTCCAGTCAATTACTGCAGGAGATGAGGAGGTTACGGAAAAGGTACATATCTAATCTCTAATCAGTTCATTTATTATGGAGTAACCATTTCATTGAACCTCAGTTGTTTATGTTGACTGTCAGCTACTTTCACATTTCCCATTCACAAAACCGTAGATATTGTACGTATGGGACATAAAATATTGTATTAAAGGTATGGAAGTTAGATTATTTAAGTGTTGTCGAATTTTCCCCGAATTACTTAACATTAGCAATTATGTTATGTAGATTTTTTGATTTGTAAGTAGTCGGATTACAAGGCACACTTATCCAAAAAAATCCGGACTATAGAGGGTCTTAGGCAGTACTCTATAATCCGACAAATTCGATAATCCGACATTGCCCTGCAAAACTTTTGTCGGTTTACTGTATCAGATAACTTTGCTATGGTCTTCTTGTACATTCTCTAAATATATGTTTCCATTATTCAGGTTCAAAATAAAAGGAAAGCAAATGACGGCACACCTAATATCTTGAAGAAGTTGAGGTTATCAGACAATTTGAGTCCAGCTGATGCCAAAAGGAAATCGAAGACGCCGAGCTCAAAGACAAATCTTTTTGCTAATTTGGCAGACTGATATTTAGTTAGTGTATTTTAATATTTTTGATTCATAGACTGTTTATATTTTATTATCATCTGAATAAATATTTATAATATTAATTATTTTTTCACTTTGGAATGTCGTGTTGCATACTGATCTTCATCTTCTCCGAAGAGGAATACATCTGATATCATCAAGAATATAGAAGCCAAAGCCAGGTGTCATAAAAACTATAAGAAAACTAAACAGCCCTTTTTATTAGAAAAATATAACAGGCTCAGGTCACTCATCAAGTCACAAGATGTAATTGCTTATAAAAAATATATTGATGATGTTCAAACTTGTATACATAATGATCCTAACTACGTCTGGTCATTTACTAGGAGCAAAAGGGACTCGTCAAGAATTCCTTGCAATATGTCGTTTGCTACCGTTCAGTCAAATGATCCCCAGGATATAGACCATCTTTTTGCCACTTTTTTTTTAGAGTGTTTTTGTTAAATCCGATTTGATAGTTAATACAAGGAATGTCAGTAGTAGCCTCATTATTATTACTTTGCCAACTGTCTCTGAAGACGATGTATGGCGAACTATAAAAAAGTTGAAAAATCCAGTACAGATGGTATTCCATCTTTTCTCGTAAAAGACCGTGCTCGAGTTCTTGCAGCTCCGTTAACAGTTATCATCAACCTTGCACACATCTCTAAAAAATTTCCAACAGCCTGGGAAAATTCAAAGTTGACCCATACAGAAAAGTGTCGGTTTGACTGAAATTGAACTATATCTATTTTGACAAATTTTTAAAATTTCAAATGTTTCTGTATGACCACATTTATTCCTTGATCTGCAACCAAGTTTCCACTTCTCAGCATGTTTTTTTCAAGAGTAGATCTACAGTCACCAATTTGGTTACTTTCACGCAGTTTGTCAATGATATTTTGGATAATCAAAGCGTTTGACAGGATAGATCATGGTATTTTAGTGAGCAAAATATGTAATTTTGGATTTAATAATTTAATGGTTAATTTCTTTTAATCATATCTTGGAAATAGATCACAATTTGTTTTTTATAAGGGTGTTTTATTTCCGGAATATATAGCAGCTTCAGGTGTACCGCAAGGTTCCAACTTAGGCCGCCTTCTATTCTTACTGTACATAAACGATCTGTGTTGTTTGAACTTATTATATCCCGATTATATGAACACCTTTATAACAATAAAGGACATTTCAGATTGCCGCATTCTACAACAGAACCTTGATTATATCTATGATTGGTGTCTAGCTGCAATTCAAATTTAGGATTGAATTCTCCATTGTCTTACATGCAGTCTAATTTCAATATTATTAGTGACGTGTGTGATGTCAACGTTGACTGTCTAGTTTTTTGTTGAGTAAATCAGCTTGAATTATTAATTATAACATTATCTAGGTAATCACTCCTTTTTTATATTCTTTTTTTTATTTTCTTTGGATATGTAGATATGTATATTCATTCTTTTTCTGGGTTCATGGTTTGTCCTGAAAATGGAACCAATTGCGTTTGGCAGTAAAGCTTTATTATTATTATATACTGCAAACAGGGAAATAAATAAAATTTATCTTAAGATACGAAACCCTGGAACAACATCATCATTAAAATATATTATAGGTTATATCCCAGAGCTAACTGAGAGAAACGTGTTGGTCCGGGTGCGAGATAATTCCAGAAGTAATCGATATGCTTCACCAAACTCCATTGCAAACCCAGGTTCAAATGTAGTTTGTATCAAAGTCCATTTATACAGAGACACGATAAAGTTGCCGCATATGTTTCATTTCAGTTCAAAGCTATAATTTTTTTTGCGCAATCTTAACTGAGATTTGACCATCCAGTGTTTCAACAAATAAAATATCCCTTGATTTGTCCTGAAATTCCCCAATTCGTTTTCAGGCACCCATGTAAACTCATTTGTCTATTTTATGTAAACACTATATCCTAAACTCTGTAGGTACCATAAATACATAACAACTTACATAGCGGCAAACGGCATCCATGGACCCTAGATGTCCTGAAATAGACAGAAACAAAAATATAAGAATTAGCACCACTAGAATACTTGGTTGTGGTGTAGTTTTCAAACTAAACATTTTTTTGTCTAATTTAAATGGATCATATTGTATGTTTTTCATCATTGGAGATACTTCACATCACATTAATTAACTCTGAAATTAAGGGAAGAGGTCCAAAAAGCGTGTCAATCTATTCGGTCAGATGCACAAACATCGTTAAACGAAACGGCATATACGTATACGCATATGTTTTGTGTTCGTGGACACTACGTCGCGGCCACTTGTTCAAACAAAAGACAATCTCCGGTTGTCTGTCTGCGGTTACTCTCTTTATTGTCCCCCTTTTCACGGTTTACCTATATGTGCTTTAGAGCAGAGTTCTAGCATCATCATTTTATTTTCCACGTCAACAATCAGATGATGTATTTTAATTCGATGAATTTTTTTAGATAGTCGCATAAGTTTGCATGTTTGCCATCTTTCCTATTCGATGACCGCTTCGTTTCAAAGATACAGGGTGATATAGCTTTCGAAAATAACATGTTTTATTGGCAGAAGTTAATTTGAAGATTCTTAATTGACAAAAATGGCTACATTCAGGACGTCTCCACAATGACATGCTGAATTCATAAGAATCACGGTCATTTCCTATTAAATTGCACATAGTAATTATTCGATTCCTCAGATCTCCACATTTTTTCACTAGGGTCCCACTAAAATATAGCTTGAGATGGCTTCATATCCTTATGAATAATGCTGTCTGTTGAGTCTGTCTCAATAAAAAATTCGGCAGTCTGTCATGAGTAGTTAGTTCGTAATTATGTTAGACATTTTTTGAAGATTCGGAAGCCTTAGATGTACATTATGCTGATAAAAATGGGATCTTCTAAAATGCATTTCACCCTGTATCGCTGAAACGAGGCAATATTTCGAAAATTTACTTCTTTATACAATGATGTTCTTATGGACGTATTATTTACCCTATATAAATAAAAAATGGCCATTTAAAAAAGCCAGGCGCAAGATCATATTATACAGGGTGAAGCATTTAGCTGTGGGTAGGGGTTAGTAAGATTATTGTAAATAATAATAATAATAAACGTCTTTATTTCCAAATAGACTGATTATATAAAAAATAGCCAAATACGGGCGAAGTTCAGCTGTAACTGCTCTTCCACTTAACCCGCAAATAACCTGCGGTTAATGGGTTAAAGACTATAACCGATTTTGGCAACTTTCTGAAACTTGGTACGTTTACTCAGCTTATCATACTGTAGAATCGACTATGAAATGACTAGGAAAAGAAATACAGGTCCAGACTAACTAAAATTTGACAAAACCGTTTTACCCAATAACAACACGTATAATGTATATTCAAATTTCTGATTTCCTTTCACATGTTTGGAAAGAGCATAGAAACTTCATTGTAACGATTCACTTTTGTTATTTGAGTAAACGATTTTTTATGAGCCGCTGATACTATTTTGTTCATTTTGGAGTACAAGGCCTTATACTTTATCGTCTATTAATTTTATAACTATATGCGCTGCATTCAGAAAAATGCCATCTTATCGGTTAGACTCGAAATGCATCTCAGCTTTAAAATAAAATAAAAAATAGTGTTTTTTCGATTTTGGCCATCCTTTTATGCCCCCCCCCCCAACTTTCCAGCAAACCTGTATATATTTTTTAAACTTGGGATGCGTATCCAGTTGTGTGATACTAACATGAAAAGCAGTACAGATCTGGCTTAAAGTCCATTAAAAAACAACTAACCGTCTCCTGCTTCATCAAATCACACGATATTTGGATAGTTTGTGTATGTTGGGGCTGTGTAATCGTGTGTATGTAAATTTAAGAGATTTCCTCAACGGAAATTTCCTGAAATGGGCTATACGCAACCACCCGCCAACCTTCAGTTCTGAATACAGTGCTGGGAGGATGGTTTTATTAGTCTAGATACAGATACGATGACCTCCTTTTAAGTCTAACAGTAATGTAGCGCATACAGTTTTGAATAGTAAGTTATAAATTTATTAGAATGGTACGCCAAAATGAACAGTCGATATCTGTGGCACATATAAAATCGTTGGCTCAAATAATAAAAGTGAGTTAGAATGAAATGTCTGGTCCCCCTTTTCAAATATGTAAACGAAATGCATAAATTCCAACATATAGTTTCAGAAAAATATAACGGGTGGTTGAAAAGTTGTGAGGCACTAACAATCCTTGCATCTCGGTTATAAGACCTATCAATATTATAGGTTATTTATAATCACCTCATGATCCCTACGAATTAAATATCTCCCTCTCCCCATGAAATACCCTATAGAAAGCTGTCATGTCATTGAAAACAGATTGAGACATTGAGATGAGTTTTGGTACATGTAAATAATAATAATAATAATAATGTTTATTGTCACAAAATACAAGTAAATATCAAATATTGTGCACAATAAACATAAAGCACCCAAAAAAAGTTTGCACTTGTGTTTGGGTTTGTACAAAATAAAAACTAATAGTACAGTCAGTGTATGAAAAAAAAAAGAAAAAACCCGTTAATACTGTATAATTTGGTGAATTATTATGGTAATGTCAGGAAAAATATCCAGACAATTAGAACTGAAGTAAAAGTATGGATGTTAGTGTAAGTAAAATATTATTGATTTTGATAATGATTTTTCAGATCTACAATTTCGTGGATGGAGTACCTTGGTTGTTGTAAAATCCATTTTTTTAGTTGTTTTTTAAATGATTTATTTGATTTAATTACTTTTAATGACTCTGGTATGAAGTTATAGAATTTTGGTCCCAAGAAAAACAGAGATCGTTGTGTAATGGTTTTTGATGTTTGTGGAATACACATTGAATTTTGATTGAATCTTGTTGGGTAGTTATGAATGGTACGATTAAAGTATTTTGAATATTTGAAATAATGTATTAGACCACAATAAAAATAAATTTGTCTGCAATCTAATAGCTGAGCCTCCACATATAGAAAATCACTTGAATAACTAATCTCCCTATGGAGGATCAATTTTAGAATTAATTTTTGGATGACCTCAACCTT